GACGCTTTTCCAGCGTGATAGCCACAAGGGTATTATCCTTTCCACGCCCTTGCAGTTGACTCTGGAGAAGAACGCGAACAACACTATCACTATTGGTGGGCTGTGGAACGGCTTTGACTTCAAGGGTGCTGATATCGACCGTATCGTGGTGTACCCTCCCGAGGGCGGCCCTGTCAAGTGCAAGAGGGGCATTGAGAATGTCGAGTAATGCTTTGATTAGAATAATTAGCCAATATCAGCCTTGTACCGAACAATTTCGTACCAAGGAATGATTCTCTCCAAGATGTTTTGTCAAGGTTCATGCCTTGTGTACCCAGCAACATGTGCTCTTTCGTCTAATCTTTAGTCAATCTCGACCCACTGGCTTGAACGCAGAGCCATCTATATCTTAGTAAACTCTACTGAAAGCCGGTTGTAAAGACTCAGAATCGGCCCTGCGGCAAAGGAGTGTCATAAGCTAAAGAAGCTCCAAGGTTGGCAGAGCAAAGAATGGCAGGCTGTTAGCGGCCGTGCTCGAGTACAGCAATGAGAGCAAGAAACCAAAACGATTCCAACAACACATTCTCCAAGAATTATAAGGCGTATTTGATATCGCCTACCAAGTGTAGCTGACCGTACGATCAAGGCGTCTTGCGGGTAAAGACGCCAGGCGAGCGAATGCAATAAGCACAGCAAGAAAGACGTAGTCAAGGAGTAATTAAATAATCTGCCGCTCGTATCGAACAAAGGGAGAAAATACAGACGCCCAACAACTACTAAAGAGGGCATAAAAGAAAAAGAAAAAGAGGGAATGGAGAGGGAATACTGACCTTATAATTCACGCCCCTGCCCGGACTCGAACAGCGCGCCCCTCTGTCAACCCGAACTCTGACTTCATGGGAGTATTTGTTTTTATTTTAACCATTCGACCACCTCGCACACAGCTTGACCTGACCTCGCCGACCTAGACGGGCGCTGCTGTGCTGGTGACAGAATTCGACGTTGGGGGGGTATAAGTACCGTGGTAGGTAAGATAGGTACGTAGATGGCCTCACGTCAGGCAGCAGCGAGGCAGAGGTGCCCGTTCAGGTGACGGTATGCCTGGGATACGTACACTTCGATTCGACGGGATGGAAGGAACTGAGGGAGACAGCCTGGGTCGTACCTTCTTACCCTATGAGTTCACTTTACCTCCACGAGGCGACAGTCACATGTCCTCAATGTCCATAATCTGGTCTCGTTGAAGTGATTCCTACTTCCTTCATCTTTAGTGACTATCATCTTCGCGGTTTTTGATTTGGTATCTTACCATACACCTAATCAAAGAAACAGAGGAACCCAGCGGACTAAGCCCCCTAACGATCCCTCAGAGCAGTGAGGTGCAACTATTTAGCAGAATAGAGGCAGTCAACGTTCCGTTTGATACACAGACTATAGCATTAGAAGACAAACAGGGAGGTAATCTCCTATAATCAAGCTACAGAGCACATGCGTGACGATGAATATCAAATGAACCAGGGAAACACTTTGTGATTCTTCCAGAGACAATGGTTGACATCTATCTCTCATGCCTAGCAATCAACTCATCAATCATCCGCTGCAACCATAATCTCTCTACAACGCCAATAATCATAAAACGCCTACTCGTCTTACTCTACTCTACGATGTGTGGACGTCCGTCTTGGAGATGGCCTCTGTTACCGCCTCAATGGCCGGGTCAGCCTCGGCCTTCTTCTCGGTAGACTCCACCGACGCTCCAGCTCCGGCCGCCTTAGCCTTTTCAGCCTCCTTCTTGGCCTTCTTACGTGCCTTCTCGGCGTCCTTTGCCGCCTTCTTAGCAGCGGCCTTGGCCGCCGCCTCCTCCTTTTGCTTCCTGACTTCCTCCCCGCCAAATGCGTCCTTCCACTCCTCAATCTTGGATGCCGCAATCTGGGTGAAGAGATGCTCAGGGGTTCCAAGCTTGTGACCGGGCTTGATGGCATCAGTGACCCAGGTATCGGGGATGAACGGCTTGGGCTCAACGCCGAGCTGCTTGAGGATAGCAGTCGAGGTGTTGGGCAGGTAAGGAGCGACGAGAGAGGCCAAAAGGTCGATCTGGTTGAGCGCAAGACCGACAACGGCAGCGCAGCGGTCAGGCTCCTCAGTAAGAAGTCTGTTGTCGAGCTTGTTGTCCTGGAGCAGCTTGTTGCCAAGGCTATCGATGTTATTAGCTCACGTCATGAAATAACGGGGGAGATGAATGGTTGGCATACGCAGAAATAGACATGATGGTTTGAAGGCCAGCCCTCATCTTGGTGGCCTCCATGTTGTTAATGTACTCCTTGAGCAGGGTGTTGACCTCGTCGATGTGCTTCTTCAGGTAGTCATCAGTGTATTTGGTGTAGTCGGGAACTGCGCCTTCGGTCTTGGCCTGGCAGAACTTGTTGACTCTCTGGCAGAAGTTGCCGAGGTTCTTGAGGAGCTCGTTGTTGTTGCCGTCGACCATCTCCTGCCACATGAACTCGGAATCGGAAGTCTCGGGGCGGCGAGACAGCAAGTAGTATCTCCATACATCGACGGGCACACCAGTCTGTTGTACCTGATTGCCAAAGACACCAACACCTCTCGACTTGCTGAACTTGCCACCCTCGTAGTTAAGATACTCGGTAGTGGAGATCTTGTGCAGCTTAGTCCAGTTCTCACCCGTGCCGAGCTGAGATCCAGGGAAGATGATGGTATGGAATTGGACGTTGTCCTTGCCCATGAATTGGTACAGCTTCACGTCATCGGGGTTCTTCCACCACTTCTCCCAGTTCTTGCCCTCGAGGTTGTCGCCGTCGGTGTAGTTCTTGGTGATGGAGACGTATCCGATGCAGGCGTCGAACCAGACGTAAAAGACCTTTCTTGCGTAGTCCTCTCCGACCTCGTGAGTCGGGATCGGGACACCCCACTTGAGATCTCTGGTGATGCCACGGGGCTTGAGGCCCTTGTCGATCCAGGCTTGGGTAATCTGCTCGGCATTGTTGCTCCATGCGCCCTTCTTGCTGGACTCCTTGAACCACTTGACCAGATCGTCCTTGAGAGCGTCGAGTCTGAGGAACAAGTGCTTTGTCTTGCGCTTCTCCGGGGTAGCTCCGTCGAGCTTGCAACGGGGCTTGATCAAGAAGCCAGTGGGCTTGGCAGCAACATCGTCATCGGCAGAAGCGTTGGCTTCGGGTTCGGGCTCGAGGGGATCGAGAAGGTTACCGCACTTGTCACACTGGTCGCCTCTAGCACCATCGTAAGCGCAGATAGAGCAGACACCCTCGACAAATCGATCAGCGAGGAAAGACTGGTGGGCCTCGACAGGGCAGAAAGGCTGGACGGTCTCCCGCTCCTCAATGTATCCGTTCTTCCACAGCTTGGTAAAGATGTCCTGGACAATCTCGGTCTGTTGGGCGGTCGGGGTTCGGCCGAAGATATCGAACGAGATATCAAAGTAGTCGTAGATGCCCTTGTGGAGAGCATGGTACTTTGCGCACAGCTCGGATGGGGTCACGCCCTCCTCAAGGGCCTTGGTCTCGGTTGCAGTGCCATACTCGTCGGAGCCGCAGACTGTAGTAGAAGGGGTCAGCCGGGATTGGGCATTGGAAGACACTCAAGGGAGAGAGGTAGTCGCAACATACTGTAGATGGTGGGGTTTCCGCGAGCACGGGAGTACCGCGCAAAGACATCGGCAGACAGAACACTGCCAATGATGTTTCCGAGATGAGGAACGTTGTTGACGTAGGGAAGGGCGGAGGTAATTAGAACATTGTTCTTGCCCTTGACGGGCAGAATGGGATTCGGCGCCATGATGTGTTTGTTTGCTGTGTGTCGAGAGAGGAAGCGGAGAGGAGAAAGAGAGGAAAAGAAAGAATGGAAACTTGAGATGCCGACTTTCTCGGGGAAAGGAGTCAGACAGCCCAGCACGGTGTGCAATTGCGCCCACGGTGAGGTACGTCCCCCACTGCCCAGGGCAACTGCCACTGCCAACTTTGAGTCGCACCTACCTGACTGACTCTGAAATGTTGCGCGAGCCTTGGACCCCGCACTATCCCCTTTTGGGATGAGGGGCACGGTCGAAAAGCTTGGGCCATTCTCAATCGTAATCGCTGAGTTCTCATCCTCACTCACTCACTCACTCATGTAAGGTACTCACTCACGAAGGCAACTCATTCAATATCTGGAATGAACATGATCATGAGATGAGTTTCATTGTGAGCTAGCCATGGTGGAATGAAACGCTATATTCTATTACGGCTTCAGAGATTTAGCATATATCCGCGTTGAAATGCCATTGATACCAGCTTCGGATCTTACAACCAGCAAATGCCATAATACCTACAAAGGCGTGATTAGAAGGGAGCGTTGGGCGCAGTGAACAGACTTTGGGGCAGGCGGCTCAATATCCAAACATTGGTCATCATGCCTCGACTTATGACTCCATCAATTGATGTACCTTGTCGTCTTGTCCTTGTAAGGTAAGGACCTCGACATGTTGACTCAGTAAGCTACCTAAGCTGCGTCACCTCCGCAACCTTTGTTCGCTCAGATAGCACTGAACGTGTTTGTGCTCGGCTGGTCGCGGACAGAGTCACGCGAGCACACGGCTTACAGTCTAATCGAAAGCAGGAAGTATGTTTACCTTCCTATTCTCTCAACCTAAACATGCAGCCCAGGCACGATATATGAAATTCATTTACATGTCGCATTCGTTCTGGTAGCTCTTCTCGATTTTTAGTTGTCCAAGACGATTGACGAACTATCAAGTGGCATTCATGATAAGAACAGCATCCCTTCAATGATAGAAACGACTAGAGATGCTGATAATAATCCAACTGTTTTCGTCCGAACTAGGAGACCCCGCCCCAATTGACTTCTACAATAAGAGACGACATAATTCAAAATAGATGAGCGAGTCCAATTTGTGCACTGATTTTCGGCGAAACGCCTTTGAAGGTTTCCAAATGAAATCAAATGCCCTGGTGATAAGTCAAGAGATCAATTCCTTGGGGTTGAGACTCCGTATCATGCTCCCTCAGATGAGTTTTCGATATGTCCAACTACGTATCTGTATACTTAATATCCCTGATTTTCCGTAAATTTTGACCAAGATGACACTTTTGCCTGATTCATCGCTATTTCCAATATGAATCCAATAGAAAAACATCCCCTCCCGCATCGTCATAAGTAGTTCCAGACAAAACACAAACTCCCATCATGGCCCTTCACAATCCTTCGTAGGGCGCCAAGTTCCACACATCAACAACACCACTATGCCTACCAACGGCCATCATCTTCCCATCCATCGAAAAGGCCGCCGCCGTCACCAGCCCGTCGATCCCCACCGCGGTCGTCACTTCAGCCAGAACCTGTCCAGAGTATACATCCGAGATGTCCATCCCCTCCTCTGTCCGACACGCCAGGAACCGACAATCCGGTGACACCGCCAGCGGCCACCCTTCGTTGTTCCGCACTTTGTTCATCTCCCAGCTCGATACCCGCCCAGCCTCGTGCTCCCACACATACACGGCCCTCGCCCACACCGACACAACCACCCTCCCATCCGGCGATACCCCCAACGCCCGCGCTCCCGTCCCCGTCCCCGTCACAACCCCATCCACCTCCATCCGCCGTAGCGTCCTCCCCGTCTTGGCTTCCGATATCCTAACCGTCCCGTCCCTCGACAGCGTCACGAGGTCCGCACCATTCGGCATAAAGAGAACATGTGTCGGCGCAGCATGGTTCATCACACCCGCCACCTTCTTCGTAGGCGGCATCCCCGGCGGACTCGTCGCCGCCTCAAACACGACAACAACACCCAACGGGTCCGCCGCCGCAAACTTCTTCCCGTCAGGGCTAAACGCCGCGGGACGCCCGACACCGTTCAGCGCGCACCGCACCCCTCGCCCTTCCTCCCCGGCGCGGAGCTTCACCCGCCACTCCCGCTTCCATCCCGCATCCTTCTCCACCACGGCCGTCAGCTTCCCGTCCGGGCTGAAGACGACCACGGGCGCGTCGTTGCTGATGTCCGACGGCACGAGGCGCGCGCCCACGGCGCCGGGTTTCTGGGAAAAGTCCCAGATCTTGGTGCTGGAGGGAAGTGCGGTGCCCGTGTTGTCTTGCGAGGTCGCGACGTAGCCTTTGGGGCTGACGGCGATGGAAGTGACGGGGCCGTTGTGGCAGATTGCGCGGCCGAGGTGCTTGAGGCGCAGGATTGATGGTGGGAGGGTGCCGTCGTGGAGGTTGAGGGATTGTATTGATCCCGAGACGGAGTGTGTCCTCACTGCATTCCGCTGCGCGCTGTAAATATGGTCAGTTCTTATTGCATATCTTGAGTGAGGTTGAATCGTCGCGGATCGTGTGCGTAAATGTCAAGCAGAGAAAACTCACCCCCCGGCGACCGCCTCCTCATAGCTGGGCATCGAATCATCCGCCGGCGGGCCATTGCTGGCGTCCAGGTAAGCGCTCATGATGTCAATGTTTCTCTCTCTCTGTTTCCTTTCAACCCAAACACAGCATCATCCACTGCCGTCCGGCGGATTCCCCAGTGTAACGAATGAGCAACTTTTGGATAAAACAAAATAATGTGGTTGATGGACGAAGTTGGATTGAAGACGCTAGACGTTTTTCCCCAGATCAATCGATCAGATCAGTCATGTCACCTTGCCGAGACCCCGGTCTCCTCGGGCGGCTTGGGATGTCACCGCACACAGCCGCAATGGCTGAGCTCCTCAGACCCCTGTCGGCCATTGTCTCTCCCCGCGGAACCTTGTTTGCGTCGCCGATGACCGGCGATCGCACCGGGCCAGTGACCCAGCGAAAGAAGATGAAAGGAAATGACTTACAAATGCGCCCAGAAAATGTGCGCCCAGAATGGCGGAACTCTTCCATTTGGTCGCATTCTGCCGTGACACTGACACATGATGAAGCAGGAACATTTGATACTTTACGAATTTGATAAGTGCGTCCTCCAAGATAGAGATCCACATGATATGCAATTGTAGATGGTCATTAAATGGTATTCTTTTGCTTCGCTATTCACATCACACCCACACAGTCCTCATGCCTACTGGCCAAATGCCTCCTCATAGTTGGTCAGGCAGTATCTGTAGCGGACACTGGAATCCTCAATGCCGTTCATCGCCGACCTCAAACCATCGGCGCTGATGGGAACCTCCTGCACCCACGTCTTGATGCCCTTGTCAGCAGCAAGCTGCAACATCTCCAGCGTCTCACGTCTGCTACCCAAGTGGGAGCTGCCAATGAAGCAGCCGTTGGGGAGGAAGTCCTGGTTGCGAACAGTGATGCCACCACCACCGGGGAGACCGACAGACACCCACTTGCCGTGGACGTCGAGAAGGCTGAGGTAGGCAGACAGGTCGAAGCCCTCGAATGAGTTGGCCGTGTTGAGAATGAGATCGAAGGTCATCTTGTGGGGCTCGTTCCAACCCTTCTCGCCGCTCGCCAGATAGCCGTCGGCACCCATCTTCAAGGAGTCCGCCTCCTTGGATCGCGAACGGGAAATGGCCCAGACCTCAGCACCCAGAGCCTTGGCGAACATGACGCCAAAGTGACCGATGCCGCCAATACCGACAATGCCCACCTTCTTGCCAGGGCCGCATCCGTTTCTGATCAGAGGGCTGTAAGCTGTCAGGCCAGCGCAGAGCATAGGAGCAGCGATGGTGCTGGGAAGGGCTTCGGGGATGGGGAAAACCCTGTTACTTGATTAGCATGCATCTCATTCCGAGGGTAGCAAATACACGTACCAGTGCTCGTGTGTGCGGACGTGGGAGGAGTATCCACCCTGGGAGATGGCGCCGGAGTCGGGGAACGTAGAGCCGTAGGTGTCGAGCTGGTGCTTGCAGTATGTCTCGTTGTCGTTCTTGCACTGACGGCACTCGAGGCAGGCGTAGGACTGAGCTCCAACACCAACACGCGAGCCCTCCTTGATCTTGGTGACCTTGGAGCCGACTCTCAAAGCCTTGCCAACGATTTCTGGACACAACGGAATTAGCCAGCAGGTCATAACTACGCAGTAGATACATGGATTCACCGTGACCAACAGCCAGAGGGTAGGGCTGAGCACCCCAGTCACCCTTGATGGTGTGAACATCACTGGCACAAACACCGCAGCACTCAATCTTGATATCGACGTCGTAGTCACCAAACGGCTTGGGGTCAAACTCCTGCTTCTTGAAGTCTTGCCAGGTCTCGGCACTGTTGACCTGGAAGCCGGTGAACTTCTCGGGAATCGACATGATGGGTAGATGAGTGTGAGTGAAGAGCTGTCTTGTAGATTCGTCTGGCTACTCTTGAGAGACGACCTTGATTTGATTTCAGGAAGTGATCGAATGGCACGAGAGAAGAGGAAGAGAAGGAGGAAGAGGAAAAAGATTCGGAAGTTGCTCACGGCGGGCAGAGGGAACCGCGCCAGATGAAATACCCTGACCATTTTCAGAGCTTCTCCCGAAACCCCCCACCATCTCGTTTGTCGCGGCGCTGCGCGTAGAGCGTAGGACATCTATCCTTGAGTGAGGGGCACCTCCCAGCTCGGTCGAGGAGGGGCTTATGTCGCGCCGCAATGTCTGTCCATGGGAGCTAGATGGGGGTGGGACCCTTGCTCGAGGCTAGGCGCCTGTTGGAAGCAAATGATGGCTCTCTCATTCGATTCTTCCACAACTTTGCGCCATTGACTTCCTTCCCTCATCCGCCCGTCCGTCGCAGATCGTTGTGTTCGTAACGGGACTGCATAAGAAAGAACATGTTTCTCGAAACAGAATCGGTTATTGTCGTGATTGCCGTTCAATTCTCTCTGCTGTAAGCCTGTCGAGCTCGCATCCTTCTTCGTCACTTTCTTACACTCACCCGCCCTCCATTCATCGTGTCGCGCTGCCCCGCGATGATACCCCACCATTGCCCGCCAATTGCACCCCATAACCCACTCGATTTGAGGTGGCTCCTCCGGGGGTTGGGGAAGGAAAATTGTCCGGAAGATTTTCCGAGGCCGGCTGCCGAAAATCCCACCATACAGCGCGAAGAGATCCCCTCTTCGACATTTGACGGCGGATGGGAACTCCACGATCACAGATAACATCGGGCTTGGCCTAGACCAAAAATTCTTCGTCAAGGGGCCAACCTCGCTGCATTGGATGTCTGAACTCCCTTCTTCGCTGTATCTCGGCAAATGTCTCCGAGTGCATGTGTGTCGTGCAAATGTCCCTAGCCAACCATTTAGTCTGGTCCTGCGTACTGATTCGATCCTTTCACCGCGCTGCATCTGATCGAGGTATGCGTGACGCCGTCCGGGTGAGTGACCAGTCCAACTTGTCGGTACTGGCTCGGGGTTGTCCCAGCCTTCGTTTGGAATGTCTCTTCCGGTAGCCAGCATTTCCTCTTCCCCCCTTGCCAACGGCGCCTTTTCTTCAGTTCGTCTCCTTACACCTTCACTTTCGGTCGCGGTTCTGTGCGGACCGAACATCGGCGACTCGGGCTCGGTGCAATGATCGGGCGGTCGTCCGGCGCAGAAGCAACATCCCGGCCGGATAGGCTATTTGAGCTTGGCAAACTCCCCCCATGCTCTACTGTTGCTTTCTTACAGGTGCCGGTCGTCCGCTTAATCCGACGCCGGCCAGAAATGCGACCCTCATCGAGGCACCAAAGTATACGAACGGGACATTTCCCCAGTCGATTGCGTTCCACTTGGTAAAGTTGTAGTACACCTCTGGCCCCAAGCTTCGAACTGTGTACAAGTGTCCAAAGTCGGCTACAAGGAGCACGAACAGGACGGTCTTCCAGACGCGCAGGTCTGATGTGGCGCGAAGAACGAGGGCTTCATTGAGAGCAAAGAGCAGGTATAGGTTGGCGAGCTGGGAGAGGACGATCGAGGTTCCTTGGGGAATGACTTCGGGTTTCGAGACGGCATGAGTGAGCTGGAGATAGTCGTCGGGTCGCACGTGTGCGTAATAGGCACCGACAAGAGCAGAGATGGGCTCGATGCCTAGGAAGAAGACGCGGTAGAAGAGCGGAATGACGAGGCCTATTCTGCCGAATTGGGCGGGTTTTGGCGGCATTTTTGCAGCTCCTTGAGGGTGATGTGCGGTCGACGAGGGGACAAGAAGGTCAACTTCTCGTCAGGAATGATATAGAGAGGAAGCTGGGAGAATTGAGAGGGGACGTCAAGGCGGTTTCGTCTCATCACTGGGGATTCTGGCGTGACAGGCACCTTGATGGACTGGGCCTTCCGTCTCGTCATCGGCAGGAGCAAGGAAAAACTTGAGCTCCGGAAGACCGGGGCTTGATGCGCCGGAGCCGACGGTACCTTGACGGTGAATGGCCCGTGCCCCAAACGCAATTCAGATGGGAATTTGCGATTTCACCATGGAACATTGCTGCTTCATCGCTGCTTCACGGTCGACGGTCACAGGTCGCCGTAGAAGCTTGTTATATCGCCCATCAGTGGGACTATTACTTTCTACAATCAATCTATCACTCAAATTTCTGTACCTGAGTCCGTGACTTGGCCCGAAAAGCTCCCAATCTAACATGAAGGTTAGCTAACCTTCGTTCGACAGAATCTGGGGAAGCGAAAAGTCACAAAGGCATCCCTGACGAGGAGGATATTGCTGTGATTCACTCTCATGTCCGAAAGTCTACTACGTATATAGTCTTGAGATGAAGAGTTTCCCAGGCGCTCGCTTATCCGCGCCGCCTTTGTGTTTCAGACGCACCTGACAATGCAGCGCTCGGCCAAGGGAGCCCACCGCCATGGTAGAGGTGAGACCTTCATGGCAATACTCGGGTAGGTACTCTACTGCATAGTGGCAGAAGGACAATCAAGAGGAGCAGGCGGTAAGGCACCGGTGAGGTGTGATGGTGGATGGGCGGAATGTTGCCCTTCATTTGTCGGCTGCATAAGAGTGTGACAGCCAATTTCCCATTGCAAAGGTCTCAGAGCCTGGTTGCCACAATGCCAACGACGTCCGCCATGCTGGGTCAAAGGATGAGTCGTCTCTGGACCGGAATGGGTGAGGGCAAGTACCGAAGCTGATCTTTGACTACTACGTAACTGTTTCCGTATGCTTCTCTGGATTACCGACCTCGAAGACGAAGAGCCACACACAAACTGAAGTCGCTGTCTCTGACACCAGGTCAGCTACTTCGTGACAAAGAACCGTTGACCAGACCGGAGCTTGCAAGAGAGGGAACATCGGAAATTGACTTTGGGATCTCCGCTTACAGGGTTGCAGGCGGCCTGGCCTGAAGGATGCGATGCGGGAAGGGTGGGATTTCCAGGGTATTTGCATTCAGGGACCGAGACCCCGGGAAGTTGGACACAATCGAGACATATGCTGCGGCCTGCCTGCAAGTAAGAATTCAATGTTACGAGCTGGCTGCCAACAGTCATAAGTTTTGTAGATGAGAATAGGATTTCGGGATGGGCGAAGATGGAGGGCAGCGAGAATTGGCATCGAGACGGAACAAAATTCTCTTTTACCTGAAGTATTGAATACGTCTCTGGTCAGTGGGGAAGTGACAAGTTTCGCAGTTCTGTGACTGGAAGATCCGAAACACCAAGTACCGGTACCTTTGCCCCCTTCTGCTGTTTGACAACCCTGATACACCGTACGGTACACCCACCACGGCGCCCGCGAGGCCTGCCACGCTGCAATTTCATTGTGGTTGCAGCCAACCTTACGAGATGAGGCGGCGGTTCGGGATTTCGATCATGGCTCGTCCCTTTTGGAATGTAAACATTGCGACGCTGTGTGATGAAAGTCAACAGCAACAACGGCGCATGTTGATGTGGGAGAGTCGGTATTCTTGTCATGGCACGCTGGCTTCAAGTATCGCGGTCACTCCTGAGTCCTCTATCATCCGATGCCCACATGATGTTGAATTGTCACGGGATACCTTCTCCTGCTGTGCTTCCTTTTCGTCCACCGGGATCAACTCCCACTGTCTGATCATTTGAACACACCTACGACTCCCTACCAAAGCATACAGAACAATCTGGATCGCACAAAGACGACTCAGTTCCCCGGGCTACCCCGTGCAATCTGCAACAGGCGTGGCGCACGTCCAACTACCTACCTTTCTTCTCGCCAGCACTAGTACCTCCACAGGAAATTGAGGTGAAGCCTGACAGTGGTAAGCCCATACGGTACCTATCTATCGGCCAGGCCGTCTTTCATCCTTTCTCGTTCTTATGGGTGTGTATACTTACGAATACTTGCCGGCTTCTGGTTTCCATCTCTTCTTCTCATTCTACGCACCATTCTCCCACCTGTCAGCGCCAACCTCACGATCTGGCTTCCATTGTTGTTCTTTTCAACGGCCGTCAACTTGTTTCGTATTGACCTCTCACAGATCTGAGAAACAGTAAAGTACCTAACTGGGGGAGTGTAATGCCTAAGTTGGTGAATCTTGCAGAGGCGGCTTTCCCGTTCCCCGAGACCCAAGAAATACCTGGACACAAGTACAAGAACGTACCGCACTCGGTACCTTCCAGTACCAGAGGGAAAGGACCGGGACTTTTCTGTGCCCTTCCCATCGCCAGCTTGAGATTTACCGTACATCAACATTACTCGAAACCCTCGCCCAACAACAACAAAAGACTAGTCGCCGCCAATCACCACACAAACCCGAGGCTCGCACTTGGCTGGGGATCTGCACTGTCGCCTTTTACTTTTTTCTTTCCCTTTCTTTATTGACTCGCGCTCCCACACCCGGGCACACACCAGGACACCACAGGGCACCACGGCACCCACAGCTCGACGGGCAGATGCTCACTTGCCCATTAGGCACCGCACGAGAATACCTAACTTACGCCTCTGCCCAACTGCTCCAAGGTCATCGGACCTATCTGCCAACTTGGATCTCCTCCATTAATCTCTGTCTCCGTGTTACCGTCACCGTCCTCACCCTCATCTTCCACCTCTATCCGAACTTCGAAAAGAAATCTAACACGGAAAGACTCCCTGGGTGGCGGCGCGTTCTGCCCGGTAGTGTGTCCACCACCCTATTTCCCGCAGACGAATCCAGCCCCGATCCGGTAACCCCAGGAAGCCGATCCCTCTTCCCAGCACCCAAGGAGGACGGACCCTTGAAAATCCATAGAGAAAAAGGGCCAGCCGGGGGGGACGAACACCCTTCGACCCTGACATTTCGAAGCCCCTAGGCCTGAATAGGTCGTCTCCAGCAACCCCCAAACAAACCGTCCCCAGGACCCTCACCAACTCTTCCTTTCGCGGCTTGCTCGCCCTGCCTTTCAGTCCCCAAAGAGCCCCAGGAGCCACCGGCCGACTTCCGTGGTTCAGCTTTCCACTGCCGCCCTCCGCCTGCACTGCAACTCAACCCCGTCCACGGCTGCTGCAGCCCATCTCGCTCTCTGTCTCAATATCTTTGAACCACGCCCGAAAATCTCCAAAAACTTCCGCCCAACCGTCTCCTTACTGGCCGCCACCTGCTAATCCACCCATTGTCCACCCTGCAGTGGCTCCAAGCCTTTAGCTGGGAAGTCCGAGACATTCCCGTCCTGCGAGTGTACAACTTCCCGGCGCGCCAGATAGAGTCAGGTTTAGGAAGGGGGAAAAGAAGCAAAAAAGGGAGAAGAAGCTAGGACTCAAGGTATGGAACCGAGACAGGACCCTCCGTACTTCCTCGAACCACCTACCTATTTCCCTCTCTTATCTATTCCCTTTAAACCCTTCAAGCCTCCCACTGACCATGTGATGATCCCTAGGTATTCGTGCTGTGTTCGCTTCCCCACGAATCCGTTTCGACCTCCCCTTTCTCTTCCACGTCCCCGGATCCTTCCTTGTCGTCCCGCCTGCAAGGCCAGCTAGAGAAGATACAACTCGAGCTCTGATTCTACCTGGTCTCTGGGCGACTGCCGCCAACGTCGACGTACGCATCTACAGCATGTCTGCACGCATCCAAAACTTCTCCGATTGGGCTCCGGCCCAGGAGGCTATCTACGACGAGCCCTCCACTTCCGCCATTCAGGAAGATGCTTTTGATGGGAACGCCAACGCCAGACCTTCTTTCCAGCAACATCGCCTTCGTAGCATGAGTCTCTCCCTTCCATGGCGCCGCAAATCCTCCATCTTCCACATCGAACCCGAACTGTCGAGCCATCTCGAAGAACTCTCCCTCGAGCGATCTCGAAGCCACGCCGGCCCTAGCAACGAGAACACTGAGAAGCACGGTCACGGAACACCCGCGGGAGGCAACGGCGGCAATACCAATGGCAGCATCAAGGGCATGTTCCGTAGGGCGTCCATATCGTTGAAGGGCATTGTTCACCATCACAAGAGACATTCGATCGGGGGTGCTCATGGCTTGGAGGAGCCTCAGCATTACGCCCGTCCCGGCACTGCTCACGCCAACTCCCACTGGCACCGCCTTCGCCAGGCAACGAGCTTCCGACACTCCAAGACGTCCCATGGCCCCGACTCACAAAGCGATGCCTCCGCGTCTGATCACTGCTTTCCCTGCCTGCCACTCCCTGGAAGCGGAAGCGCGCCGCCCGTCATCCCTTTCCACACAGGCGCCGCTGCCAAGGCTTCTGCCGCTGCCTCAAACCAGGCTTTCCAAAACAAATGGCTTCGCGCTTCCTCCGATGACTTCACTGATCGCGAGAGCGGCATCGGCATTACTGTCACTGGCGCTGAGTCGGACGTCGATGTGGAGGTGGAGATCCAGGACGCCAACATCAGCCGAATCAACTTTATTGCGCAGCTCCCTGTTGAGTTGGCGATCCAGGTTCTCGCTCATTTGGATGCCACGGCTCTTGGCGCTGCGAGCAGAGTTTCGCGGGAATGGCAGCAGATGGTCAAGAACCAACACGTCTGGAGAGAGTCATTCTTGCGCGAGAAAACTGGAACCTACGCTACCAGTCTCCCCGTTCAACCTGGCACAGGACAGGGCGTCCCGCCCATCAACCCAGACGTGAACTGGAAGCAGATCTACAAGGCCAAGGAGGAGCTCGACCAGCGATGGAAGGAGGGCAAGGCCAAGCCCGTCTATCTGAATGGGCACCTGGACAGTATCTACTGCCTTCAGTTTGACGAGTGAGTATCAAGGTTTCCTTCGTGCGAGCCTGGTCAACTAACATTTGCATAGAACGAAGATCATCACCGGTTCTCGCGACAAGACCATTCGAGTCTGGGACATGCGGACATTCGAGTGTCGTCTGGTCATCGGCCCGCCCGAGGTCGTCAACGACGTCTCTCTGCTTCTCGATGACGAAGGACAGCCGGTCCATTATGCAACTCTCCCTGATAACCAGCGGGCGAATCCTTCGATGCCTGCCATGGTCTCCTTTCCCACTCACCACAAGGCATCGATTCTTTGTCTGCAATACGATGATCGCATGCTCGTCACCGGTTCGTCCGACGCGAGCTGCATTGTGTACAACGTTCGCTCGGGCTACAGACCAATCCGCCGTCTTCAGCATCACACTGCCGCCGTATTGGATCTCGCTTTTGATGACAAGCACATCATCACGTGCAGCAAGGACATTAGCATCTGCGTTTGGGACCGAGCGACCGGCACTCTCCTCCGTCAGCTTCGAGGGCATTCCGGTCCAGTGAATGCCGTCCAGATGCGCGGCAATACCATTGTCTCTTGTTCGGGCGACTTCCGCGTCAAGCTCTGGAACATTGACACTGGCAAAAACATTCGAGAGTTCCAGGGTCACACCAAGGGCCTGGCGTGTTCTCAGTTCTCCGAAGACGGCCGCTACGTCGCCTCGGCTGGCAATGACAAAGTCATTCGCATTTGGGACGCTAACACGGGCGAGTGTCTTCGCGAGATGAAGGCCCACGATAACCTCGTGCGCAGCCTGCATATCGACTCGGTCAGCGGGCGTCTTGTCAGCGGCAGCTACGACACTGACATTAAGGTCTTTGACATGGAGACTGGTCGCCAGTTGCTCGACTTCCCACGATGGCACGCTAGTTGGGTGCTGAGCGCGAAGAGCGACTATCGGCGAATCGTCAGCACCGGACAGGATCCCAAGATCCTCATCATGGATTTTGGTGCCGACGTCGCCGGCATCGAGGCACTTGAGAGCAGCGGCGGTACCTGCGAGATAGAGGGCGGATACATATAGAGGGCACGAAAGACGCATACAACCTACATAATACCCTAATACCGAGAGCGGCAAGGCTGGACCGCCCTCACTGACGACTTTTCTTCTTCATCTTTTTTTCTCGGCCATCACGACTCGGTGGCGATCCGGCGTAGTAGACGGTATACGAAAACAAAAGAGATGAGGCGATTTCTGGAAAGAACAGAACCCTCACGGAGGCGTATCGGATGATGATGGATACTCATCCACTTGCATTGGGATTGCGGGTGTCTGGTCAAGATTTGGTTTCTTTTCGTTCGGGTTGGGATCCGTTCAAACATTGGGACCGGACTTTGTTTCTTTCGTTTTGCATGGCATCCTGGGCTTTGTTGCATAGACGGCTACTGGATAGAAGCATTATAGACTCTGTTTCGCCATCACTTATTTGTCCGTGGGTGTTCACCAAATGCGGCCTGCCTGGTCCATTTTTCCGACGTCCTGCGAAGATGGGGGAGTTTTGAAGTGACACTTTTGCCACTGATCTGCCATGCTTTATTGTCATGCTATGAGACGACGGGTTCATGGTATAGAATGCGGAGAAAACGACCGTTTCATTCCAGACAAAGAAAAGTCAATGGGCCAACGAGGCGGCAAAAATCGGTGGGACGGGGGTGAGCCTCGTTCCCATCAAAGCGGCGGCCGGTGTGGCAATATACCTGCTGGTCCATTCGGGTTTCAGAACGGGTGCAAGCAAGATCAGACGTTCCGTTTCGTTTCGACTCGAAAGGGTCTTTTTATCTGATGGGCGGTCGGTCGGCCTGGTTTGCGACTCTGCATGGCTTCGTTTCCCTTGTTTCGAGAGTGTGTGGTGCGGTGGCACCCGGGTGACAGAAAAAAGCGCACACCTAAGATGACAACGACGCCTATATGAGGTTTAAAATTATACCAAAATTTCAACATCAGAAATGAATAGTAAGCTATTTTCTGATTATTTTTGTATAATTTTGTCTTTATTATATGGTATAGGATTGCTATTAGAAGCCTGCCTAGAGAAGTATATTCTCGGTGTTCAGCTTTAAGGTGTGCGCTTTTTTTTGTCAGCCGGGTGGGTGGTTACCGCGCGTCTTGGGTTGATTATCGGTGTGGTGAGAAGGGATGAATCTGTGCTACGCGTCCCCTGGAATTGGGATGGAGATGGACATTTGGATGGAGATTTCGACTGCTGTGCTACATTACCGTTCTTGATGTTCCATGTCCTGTTCGACCGGATTGTGATGCTTGTTTCTTATGTTGTCCGCTGCAGATGTAGACCCCGTGAGAATTCCGTGGTGTAGCATGCTTCTAGATGCGAGTGAGGTATAGATGCAATGGGTGTCCGGTTACAATGACGATCAGCATCAAAACATGCGCATGCGAAGCAGATGTCGACGTTGAGGCTCTTCTACAAGCTTGGCTCCATACCTGCGGCCTCAAGAAGCTGCCCCGGTCCAGAGTCCAAGAAGATTATTAGGACTCAGTGCGTCTCTTCTTCGGACTCGGGCCCGGGATCAAATCTCATCTTGAGCTTGCCCACGTCCCGTCCACGGTCCGAGAGCACGTTGGTGGGAAAACTGGATGATTGAGATCAGCCTAATGCGGACCTGACACACGGAGGAGGTCGCGGTCAGAGGGCAACTGACGGGTTGGACAGATCACGGACCGTGCCTTCCGGTATCCGCGAGGCGGCTGTCTGCGTGCTTGAGGTTCGGGGGTGTATCTGAGCGGTGAATCTGGAGTTGCTGATGTAGTTGGCCGCCGACATGGTTCACTTGAAGCTGGCGATTTGACAAAAGGGTTGGAAGGGCGCGACGATGATGCTGCTCAGAAGTAGTATCATCTAGTCGCAGGTGGGATGTTGTTCATCATATCGATACTAGCAGACGGTGGCGAGGGGAGCACTGAGACTCGTACGACTTGGGAGCATCCAGCTGCCAGAAGCACAGAAAAGTAGAGTAGTTCAAACGAGAAATATGTCTTTGATAGCTGGGTCACCAGATTGAGGCTCTGGGCTGCTCTCCCATCTCCCTGTCTTGTACACACGCCAGCATCATGACGAGTGTGAAGATGGGTCGGTTTGTGGACGGCAAAGTGGCAGAGCTCAAACATCGTGTGTAGCTGTCTCGCGAACACCGAGGTTAAAAGAACCATCGGCCAAATACTTGGTGGCTTCCCACATGCCTCTGCCATGTATCGTGAAAACAATCACATGTGTGAAAGAACACACAAGAAAAAGTATCAGTTTCAGCTGCGTTATCCGCAAATTGTCTTGGGCAGTTGTTTCGGGCCCTATTCGAGCGAGAGGCATTGGTTCCAAGATCCTCCAAGATGTCAAGATGGAAGCTGAAATTGGGCCGAAGAGCAGGGGTCGTTCCAGAACAAAAGTCGAGTATCACGAACCGACCTTCCACTTCTGTCCTTCCCCGGACCCCATTTCCCCTCAGCATCCACGGCCCCAGACATCAGGTTTGAGTGGGTTAGAGGCTGGGGGCAAGGGACGGAGTAGAGGCAGAGGAGAACACAAATATATTGGGCATTGCACATTCACAAGAGCCGCCGTGATGATGCCGGATGCGACGCTGCTCGGTCGGGCCGGATGGGCAGCAGAGGACTTGAGCCTTGTTGTGAGGAACTTCATCTACGTGTGTTCGTCTCATGTTGCCTAGCCTTGTCTTCATCTCACGATGCCTGCCGCCGGAGTGTAGATGCCGCCGAAGCGTTAGGCAGGGAGGTATTTTTGTTCGACCCCCGGATCGAACGGTGGCCCCGGAGGCGCTTCGGTCTCATTCAGTGGATTGAATTGCCTTGGATGAATCTCCCGCATGCCAAGTAAAGAAAACCCCGGATTCCCTCTCCAGATTTGTCTCCTCCAATACATCAAGGCCGCCAGCGCCTCAAGAAATCACCGCTCTGCAGGCTCTGCAGAATAAAATGACGCCGTAGAGGAGCCGGCTTAGACCACGAGGCTTTGACGCTGATGGGGGAAATTAGACTTGTTCGAGTGTCCCATGGGGATGATCTGCGCTACCGACCGACGCGGAGGATCTGCGAGGAAGAAAAGGGTCACGACACACTAGGATGAGGTGGACGAGGGCGCAAAACTGCCACGAGGACATGGGGTGGATGGGATTCGAGGGGGGGAGAGATTGGGGTTCACCCCAGGTCTCACGACTCCACGATTCGATTCGCGAGAGAAAGTCCACCACACGTTGCAATGGTCTGTATGTATGTAGAACACTCACAAGGTGTGCCCAGGCCATGTGGACAGGAGGGAACATGGTCAACGCCACCTGACCGCGAGAACGAGCAGTAAGTGCTCCACGGAAAGGAGGCTAGAGGCGGCAGTCGTAGATCTTATTTTGGGATGTACCCGGTTTAGAGATGATATTGCGTATTGAGCAACGCTCTAAATGAACCCAAAGCCAAGCCAGGCGGAGGCAGGTCTCTAGTAGTAGGGGCTGTCGCGAACCGTTTATGTCTCCTTTGGGGGGAGAAGGGAGAAGTTTCTGAACTTTCTGGGCCCAGAACCGTCCCTTTAGCCTTCACGCATGAAGGTTAATTTCCGTCAGAAATACTGGGGACGAGATGTGGTGTAGCGGCAAGCGGCACATGGTGGTCCTGGTTTGTGCTAACGCTGCCTCTAGTGACATGCAGCTAAAGGTCTAAAAGGGGGCGCCGACAAGAGTTGCCAAGTCGCTTGTATTTTGGTACTCGTGAGTTGCAGATGTCAGTTTCTGCTATGCTCGCTGTTTTTTCCATGGGGGAAATTGGGGGGGGGGGACCAAGGCGCAGGCGGCGGACACGTCAAGCGGCTAGGAATAGGATCATCGATGCGCAGATAGAGTGCGCGCGGGACGATCAAGCGTTGACGGCCCGTGAAGAGGACATGACTCTGGCGGGGCTGGTGAGAATAGAGAGGTTGAGTATCAATAGTACCAGTGTTCTTCAAACACACACGGTATTATTAGGTAAAGCACTCAGGGAAGGATTCAGAGTTTTGCGTGTACATGAACAGCCAGGGAAGAGTGAATCACAAAGCGATGCTGGTGTACTCAGAGTAGTAAAGGCAATATCGACGTCGTTTCGAAACAGCTGCACTGGCAAAGATGGGACGTTGTGAAGCTGCGTTTGTTTGGGACCAGTGTAGACTCCTGCATCAATCGATACTTCAAAGTCTAGGACTGGACAGAGAGACTAAGGCCGCGTATCTACAGTATGTGAGTACGCGGTGCGGATATGTCTCGGTAGGCCTAATCGAAAGTGTATCTGCGATCCGCAATTCCAGAAACTAAGCCCACGAACTCAGACTGGGTCCGCAAGGTCATGACAACTCAACAAGAGTAAGCATATCGAGTGCCTGGGCGCACGCGATGCAAGTGATGTGTCCTCGAGGCTTCAACGTTGCATTAGGCATGGATGTACTCAGGTACGGCGATCCAGCGGTTGCATGCGGTCCAGTCACTGATGTCCAACTGGGGTCGTTTCCTGCACGAGCTATTGTCAGCAGCTGATGTCTGGTCATCGACGGTCCTCGTAGAACTCGTAGTCGTAGTCGGTCTTGGTAGCGATGCGGCAGAGGTACTTCTCCCGGGCCTGTCCTGGCGAGTTGACAGCGGACATGACTCCTGCAAGGGGCATGCAAACCGCCGGCATCGTCAGATGGATCCTGGGGGCATTTGGAGCTCGATGGACGGGATGTCCCCTCCGACTGGCGTGCCGAGGGCCGGTTCTGGTGTTGAAGTGGTACTATAACCCGGCAATAGATGAGGTTTTTTTTTCAACAGCATCCCTTTTGGACGAGACTGGTCTCACAAGGCTCGAAGCGATGGTTTTTCCCCACAATCCAATAACCTTCTCAAAGTGAAAGTGACGCGCCGAGCGGAGCAGGTAACTGTTTTTCTCAACGTCTTCTCATGTGACAGCGCTTGGCTCTGGAGAAGGGCCGAGAGCATCGAGTATTGCGGGGTGGTAGTGCAGTAGCTTTCAATATTCTGCAGAAAAATAGGCAAGTCGCTGGTGAGAAGACAGTCGACCCGGGTGACTATATCTCACCACAAGGTTACAATGAGCAGCATCACGGGTGAGAAACTTCGAAGGGGGCCGATGGTAGCCCAAGCTTACAGAACGCCATGTAGGTGGCGTGGCTTCAGTTGACAGGTCGTACAGAGTCAATGCCCAGGGCCAGCCACTTCAAGGAACCTGACTACCTATTTCATGGGAGACCTCTTTGTGAGCGCTTCGATGCCGTCATAGAAGAGTTCCAGACAGACGGACCGGTCCAAGATTCTGAGTCTAGTCAGCGCAGTAAAATGACATTGTAGGACATGAATGGTGAGAGGGAGATATTCATGGCCAAGAGTCAAGACATAGTCACAAGCGCCTCGCCCATCTGGACCCTCCCCGTCCTCATCATCTCCCGCAGGAACAACTGCCATCCAACCAACGGCCACCAACGCACAACCACAGCCAGTGCCGCTGCGGGATCGGGTCGCAACGCGCCCAGCTCTGTGACGCGAACCCCATCAAACCATTTCTCTTCGAGCCCTTGCTGTGCTCGCTGAAGGCGTCTACCGATGGTGGAGGGTGGACGGGCTTGAAACGGCGCTATGCCCGATCCTGAGCTACCCCGGCCTCTCTATGTCGGCTTCTTTTGGTGACAGTGCTGTTTTTCTGCTGCTTCTTGAACATACCCTTGTCCCTGTTGCGTGTGCTCTTGGAAGTGAAATGATCCTTGCTGCTGCTCATCCGTGGAGGGGCGGCTTTGGTGGGGAAGAGAACACAAAGTGGCCAAGCCAGGGGCGCAAGAGGCGAAAAAAGGGAACGGGGGGACTTCGAAATAGGGAGAACAGCCGCCGGCGTCTTGTCTTGTTCCCCCTCCCCGATATTGGTACGGAATATTACACAGCAGTACTTGGCCCCTTTGTGCACGAGGCATTGGAACAAGACGGGGGAGTAAACTCCAAGAGCCATACAGAATGCATACAGTACTCGGAGATCAAAGACCTCTCTGCAACTATAGGACAAGTTATTCCGTGTTGTCTTTGACCTTGCTTCTTTTCATCTTTGACTGTTCAGTCAGCTGCCCGATTCGGAGTAGAGTTGACTCCCTCTCTCTGACAGACTGGACTGACCTTCGTTCTGTTTCCTCCAGCCACAGCATGGCTCGTAGATGAGCCGTTCGATGACATGTCTACAGTTTCCTTGGGGGCGGGCTGGCTGATCCTCCGCCTTCGCTTACTTTGTTCTCCCTGCACGTGGAGTCTCCTTTCTTTCCCCTGGAATCGACTGCCCAAGTGGTCAGGTTCCTGCGTCCCATCACCAAGGCGAGGCCTCGAGGACCGACAGATCTCTCCCGAAAGATCATTTTCATGCGGGAAACGGAGGCGGTGCAGGGATCATGACAGTCCCTTGGGAAACCAAACCTTGGGCCGTTTACCTATTCCTGCATGCGATTCAATCAACCTCTCACCACCAGAACACCACCAACGGTGGATATACCCAGAACAAGGTCGACAGATCGCCAGGTTGAAGGGGGGCCCGGTGGTCCAACCCGGACTACTGGACTAGGGGCGGCTGTCGCATCGCATTGACTAACCCCCTGAACTGCTCCGGACAGGGCCTTTTCGTCCGAACTACTTGCGTATGCTTCTCACTTCTGTCACTCTCACTCTCTTCCTCACTCTCTCTCTCTCGCCTCGCCTCGCCCGCGCGCACGTCGCTTGACTTACTCTGTCTGCTGCTGGCAATACCTCACAGCGTACCACCCCCCCCATCCTAGCTCTGTTTGAAGCTATATCCCCTCCCAACCAATAGCGCCCCCCTCTGGATCCTTGTTTCATCGCATTTTTGTGCTCTGCCAGGATTACCTTTCCAGCGCGGCAAGTCGGCTGGACGAGGGGTGGTAGTAAAGAAAGGAAAGACTAAGGTTAGCTGTTGTACTTGTTGGCTAGGTTTTTTGTCGAGCTCGGGCGGGCCACGGACGTCCAATATCCCCCCTTCTCACTCAATCATTCAGTTTCCCTTGCCCGGTCATACAACCCTACTGGTCCTGCTTGGCTGCCCAGAAGGCCGAGATCCAGTCGTTGAGTATCCGTACCTTTCTTTGACGGACGGCTCTTGGGGGTTGTGAACCGGGATCCAGGGCCCTGCTTTGCCTCAGACTGGGAGGAGGAGAGGTCCGACTGCCGCCGCCGCCACCATGGCGATAAATCGTCCGGCGAGGCAGGGGACTGCCCAAAAGGTAAGGTCAATATAAGACGATCATGTTGCCGTCAACCTCTTTTACGTTTGTGGTCCCTCCCTTCTCCTGCTGTTGTCTCGACCTCACACCCTCGTCCTCTCATCGACGTTCTTTCTTTTCGTTGCGTGTATCCAGAAGCCAAGAGGTGGGATATTATACCACACTCTGCTGTTTCGATTCGTTCCAAGTCACTCTTTGCACCAAAAACCTGAGCCTCGATCGGCCGTCATCCGCTGTTGTCACTTTTCAACCTTTCTCTGGTGAGTGTTGTACGCCGTTGCTCTTCGATACCGGTCCCGTGGCTTGTCTTCCTCTTCCCTACACCCTCCTGGGCCACCGGCCTATTGTCTCGGCTCTTAATATCAGTTCCTCTTGGCTTCTTGGGTTGGTGGCAACGGTATCTTTCTACAAGAAGTGCCGTGACGTGGGACCTGTCATCTGAGTCCTGGCCAGTCTGGGTCGAACGGGGGCTCGCCGAGTGAGAGAGACCTTGTCTCGTCTGAAGGGGGAACAATAGGACATGATCCAGGCTTGTGATGCACAGCAGCCCTTTTAGTCACTGACAACAAGGCTGTTCGTGGAGAGCGGGACGGTGCGAGTCGATTGTCAGTTAGTCACTGACACTCACGCGCCCTCCATACTTAAGGTGTGGATGGTTCGTGATGTCGATATCGAGGGTCATCAGCTTCTAAGCCCTACCACACTTTTCACATCACCCCAGCCTGGTACAAAGAAAACAAATATTTCACTCTTTCCTTTCTTTACACAACTTCCCTCGAGTAGTCTCGAGCTTCTTCCACATCCCCTCGAAGTTGCGATTTGTTTGGAATTTTCTTCCATCATCATCATCATCAACACCTTCAACACCACTTACTTCAGTCGAGACTGAGAGCTAACTGCCAACCTTCTTCTCAGTCTTCACCTTCCTTACAACCATCCAAACACAAGAGAACCTCAAACAGCTGGCTGTGCTTCCTCGCAATGGGTTTCTCTACGGTCTTTACGGCCGCCGTCCTGGCCTTGCGCCTCTTCTCGGCGGACGTCCTCGCAGCTCCCGCGCCTGCTCCGGCTCCCCAGGCCGCTACTCCTGACGCTGCGGCCGGCTTCTGGGTTGCCTCGATTGAGCGCCGTGGTGTCTCCGCCTTTGGTGACGCCAACTATAAGATCTTCCGCAATGTTAAGGATTTTGGCGCGAAGGGTGATGGCTCTACCGACGACACTGTCGCCATTCAGGCTGGTAAGTAATTTCCTTCTCTTGAAGCAAAAGGAAATAATGTCCTAACTCCAGACCAGCTATGGACGAGGGAAACCGCTGCGGCTTTGGCTGTGACTCCCAGACTACCACTCCCGCTCTCGTCTACTTCCCCGCTGGCACCTACGTTGTCTCCAAGCCGATTGTCATGAAGTACTACACTCACATGGTTGGAGATGCCACTCAGCTTCCCACCATCAAGGCCGCTGCTAGCTTCACCGGTATGGCCGTCATCGATGCCAACCCGTACGACGACCAGGGTAACAACGCCCATACCAACCAGAACAGTAAGTGCTTGCTTGATGTCCCATATCTTTTGAGACGGCCAGTTGCTAATTTTTCCTAGACTTCTGGAAGCTTGTCCGCAACTTCAACATTGACCTGACCGGCATGCCCTTCACCTCCGGTGCTGGCATTCACTGGCAGGTCGCCCAGGCTACCAGTCTCCAGAACATCGTCTTCAACATGCGCACCGATGGTGGCGACGCCAACGTCCAGCAGGGTATCTTCATCGACAACGGCTCTGGAGGTTTCATGACCGACCTGACCTTCAACGGAGGCAAGTACGGTGCCTTCATGGGCTCGCAACAGTTCACTACTCGTAACATGACCTTCAACAACTGCAAGACTGCCGTCTACATGAACTGGAACTGGCTGTGGACCTTCCAGGACCTCAAGATCAACAACTGCGGCGTCGGCATCGACATGTCCAACGGAGGTGCCAGCGCGCAGACCGTCGGCTCCGTTCTCCTGCTCGACAGCGTCATTAGCAACACTCCTGTCGGCATCTTGACTGCCTACAACCCTTCGTCTTCGTCCACCAACGGTAGCTTGATCCTTGACAACGTCGACATGACTTCCAACGTCCCCGCCGCCGTCCAGATCGTCGACACCAAGGCCACCGTGCTCGCCGGTAACCAAAAGATTGGATCCTTCGTCCAGGGCAAGACCTACACTGGCACTGCCGGTCAGGGTAAGGCTGTCCAGGCTGCCCAGGATGCTATTGTCAAGCCCGCTGGTCTTCTCGCTTCCGATGGCAAGGTTGTTACCCGCAGCAAGCCTCAGTACGCCAATGTCCCCGCCAGCTCTTTCCTCAGCGCCAAGGCCAACGGCTGCAAGGGTGACGGTAAGAGTGATGATACTGCTGCCATCCAGGCCCTGTTCAACAAGGCCGGCCCCAACGACATTGTCTACTTTGACCACGGTGCCTACATCATCTCCGACACGATCGAGGTCCCCAAGGACATCAAGATCACCGGCGAGGTCTGGCCTCTTCTCATGGCCAACGGTGCTGCGTTCAAGGACCAGGCCAACCCCAAGGTCATGCTTCGCATCGGTAAGGCCGGCGACGTTGGTACCTTTGAGATGAGCGATATCATCGTCCAGACCCAAGGCCCCCAGGCTGGTGCCATCCTCATGGAGTACAACATTGCTGGCTCTACCCCTGGCGCCGCTGGCCTCTGGGATGTACACTTCCGCATTGGAGGCAGTGCCGGAACCCAGCTTCAGTCCGACAAGTGCGCCAAGAACCCCAACGTCACCACGACCGCCAACCCTGAGTGCATCGGTGCCTACCTTCTCACCCACATGACGGCCCAGTCTTCTGGCTACTTTGAGAACACCTGGTGGTGGGTTGCCGACCACGAGCTCGATCTTCCCGACCGCAAGGCCCAGATCAACATCTACAACGGCCGTGGTGTTCTCTGCGAGGCTACCAAGGGCACCTGGTTCTGGGGTACCGCCTCCGAGCACAGCGTTCTCTACAACTACCAGTTCAACAACGCCTCCAACGTCTACATGGCTCACATCCAGACCGAGACGGCCTACTTCCAGGGTAACCCCGACGCCAAGACGCCCTTCACGGTCAACAACGCCATCCTCGACCCCAACTTTGAGACCTTCTGCACTGGCCAGAGCGACAAGTGCGCCCGTACCTGGGGTGTCCGCGCCATCAACTCCAAGGACATTCTCATCTACGGTGCCGGCCTGTACAGCTTCTTCAACAACTACGACCAGGTCTGCGTTGGTGAGAACAACTGCCAGGACCACATGGTCTCTCTCGAGAACTCGGATGTCAAGTTCTTTGGTCTTAGCACCAAGGCGGCCATCAACATGGTTACGGTCAACGGCAAGGGCGCTGCGCTCGACACCGACAACCGCAACAACTTCTGCGCCACTGTGGCCATGTTCCAGGCTCCCCTCTAGGAGAGGGCCAACATCAAGTGGTACAGTGTCGAGGCGGTTGCTGGATCCCTTTAGAAGAGAGTTACTGTGCCCCGAGAGGAGCGCCGTTATCCGCACGTGGTCGCAACGATCCCGTACGCTCCAAAGTACACGGATGCCTACGTTCCGGGTGAAGCTTTCCCTATTCCCAAGGGAATTACCGACCACCACGTCCGCCACCATGTCCATCACCACAACCACCAGCCTGTTGGCGAGCACGTCCGCGAGCTTCGCTTCTAGGATCGTGGCTGTGTTTACTTTCTTCCAGATGTAGTCGTCCGCCCCAGTGGTGCGTCGCTGCATGTTCTTAACACACCCCTTTTTTATGCTATGGGATTTGGCAGGAGGCATACTTGCATCACGGGAGTTTACGGTTTCTAGAAAACGGGATTTGGCCGTGGATCGTGAGAACACGAGGGTTTTTACGGCGGGATTGACATTCTTGTTTTGCCTTTAGGGCATTTTGATACCATTCAACGAAACAAAGTTTAACCAAGTTATCTCGTTCTTGAAGTAGACTCTGTGACTGTGAATTTGTAAAATTTGATGCTTCTACGAAGCCGACTAATAATCAAAGCGTCATGACCTAGTCATATCTCAGCATCGCGTCTTGCCTCTCTGTTTCCTTTGGTGTCTTTCGAGTTCTCTCGCAATGTGTCCTCACCTTGTATTCCTCACCTTGGCCTCTCGGTGTGAGGCGGCGAGTGACCTTCACCGAGAAGGAAAGGCGATGATTCGCCGGTCGGCGTTTCCCAGTGTCCGACTGCCCGCGTTCCGCCCCCGAGACCCACTGAGGGTACGTACTGCCTTTCTCCGGTAGGTACCGTGGTACCTCGCTTGATGTGGCAGCAACGTCATACTCTGTGCATCGATTTCTCCCAATTCCAAGCTCTGGCGCCATTCCTCCCGCCGATTTAAGAAGACCATCGTCACTCACGATTCAGCCCGTTCTCAGCTTCTTCTGCCCTTTATGCGATAACAAACACTCCGAACTTCCTCTCTCTCGCACCCCAAACCATCACGATGGACACGCCACCAGCAGCAAACCTGCGGTCCAAGACCAGGCGGGCACTTGACGACCTCAACGGTGCAACGGCGTCGCCGCCCTCAACACCCCTCAAGACAACGAGAAACAGCCCCTACCTGCCTACTCCAATCGAAACGATTGTTCTGGCTGCTTTCCCTGTCATACTGTTCTTCGGTACCGTCTTCTCGCTTCTCTCCCCCGATGTTCGCTCGTCGGAATACGACCCCGCAGCCCAGGCCCACGTACAAGACTCCGCGCCGTCGTACTTTGCGCGAAAGTCGAACCTGTTCAACGTCATATTCGTTAAGCGAGGCTGGTTCTGGATCACGGCCGCCTTCTTTGGCTTCATCCTCACGCACCCTGCGACTGCGCAAGCAACCGCGCGCGTACAGGGCACTCTACGATGGGCGCTGGTCACGACTTGGTGGTTCTTCGTCACGCAATGGTTCTTTGGTCCGGCTCTCATTGACCGAGGCTTCCGCTGGACAGGTGGAAAGTGCGAGATTATTGAAGAAAAGGTCGAGATGGGTGAAGGAGATGCCAAGGAAGTCTTCACAGCGGTCGCATGTAAGGCATCTGGCGGACGCTGGCGCGGCGGTCACGACATCTCTGGACACGTCTTCCTCCTGGTTCTTGGTACCGGCTTCTTATTGTCCGAGGTCGGGTGGGTGGTCATGCGCTGGAGAGGCTCAAGAAGAGAAGAACGCAGCGTTGTCATGACGGATGGTGCTACAAAGACCGCAACCGTCGAGGCGCAGGGTTTGAAGGGAGAGCCTGTCCCTGGTGATGCTTTGGGCTTGGGAGGCAAGTTTGCCGCTGCCATTATCGCCCTGAGCTCCTGGATGCTGCTCATGACTGCCATCTACTTCCACACATGGTTTGAAAAGGTACAGTACCGCATTTCTCGCCCTTGTACAACATCGCTAACGTATAACTCAGGTCACCGGTCTTATTACCGCTCTTACCGCGTTGTATGGCGTCTATGTTCTCCCTCGATTCATTCCTGCTATCCGCCAAGTCGTTGGTCTGCCTGGTATATAGGCAAGTCGGCATATCATGTATAAGAAAACCGAAAATAGGCAATACTGCCAAATAATACAAGAAAATACATTCCACTCGAAAATTAATCTGATATTGTTCCCGAGTCGCGGGCCGGTCTATGGATATCTCGACTCGGCGAGTAAATCGTAATGTTCCCAGATCCGACGTGAATCAAACGGTCAGACTACTCTGTGATCTATTCGTAGGCTGCTTTTCTCCTAAATGAATGTGCCGCCGTGATTACTGCTCTTTCGGTGTAGACCTTGGTCGGTGAGATACTCGGTGAAAGAGGTGAGGAAGGTGAATGTGGGGGTCCGAGGTGGGGTTCCTGGGGTGCCCGTAGCTCCCCGTCCCGTCCCTTCCTAAAGTGACCTCATCCTCTTGGTCTTCCTCTTCACTTTATCCTCAACGTTACAGCAACACCACACTTTACTTCAGTTCCTCTGACCCGTACCGGATAGACCAATGTCTCCAATAAAGGCCCCGGTCAATCTGCCGGAGCTTGTCAAAGCGGCATTCAATAAGGCTCGCTCCAATGGCGAACTGACCTACTATGCAACTCAGGTCACAGTGCTCAACGCCAACTCAACCCCAGTGAGTCTGTCTGCATTGCATCACGCATCCCTCGCATGAACTCCAACTGGAACTCGATTAACTCTTCCACGCAGTTTCAACTCCGCTTCTCCCCCGCCTTGGCGAACAAGCCGGTCGCCCAGAAGCCCAAGAAGACCGATGAGCCACGCAAGCCTTTTGATCCTTTTGAGAGTCCCGAGAAGGGCCCGCTGTTCATCGCCGAAATTCCATCGTCGTCGGGCCACAACTTGGTGCTGAACAAGTTCGCCATTGTTCCTGAGCACTTCATTCTAGCCACCAAGGAGTTTAAGCAACAGACCGATCTCCTTGAGCGCGACGACTTGGCAGCAACGTACTCTTGCATAGAGGCTTACAGACAGTACGGCGAACAACATCAGGGGCATAACAGCGAGCTATATGCCTTCTTCAACAGCGGCTCGCACTCGGGTGCAAGCCAGCCTCATCGGCACATTCAGCTGCTTCCGGTGGCGCGGATGATGGACGGTTTACCCGACGGCGCACGATGGGATGTGCTAGCGAAACAGCTTGGCCCGCAGCACGTCTCCGGGCTGCCGTTTTTAACCTTTGCGGAGACGATCCATCGAGGCATGACCCCGGATGAGCTTCACGGCATCTATCTATCACTTTTCAAGTTGGCGGTTGATGCAGTGGAATCTCACGTCGGCGCTGAGAACGACTCTGGGAATGGCGGCGCGCGCATCAGCTATAACCTTGCCATGACGAGCGACCGGCTGGCGGTACTGCCACGACTTGCCGAGGGCGCGACCATCTTCAAAGACGGTACGGCCGTAGGAAACCTCGCTCTCAACGGCACCGTCTTGGCGGGAACGGCTTTGGTCAAAAACGAGGCCGAATGGGATGCGCTAAGGTCAGGAGGCGACGGTGATGGCGTCCAATTACTCGAAGTTTTATCGAAAATCGGCGTTCCCAAGGATGGCGGCGGAAGCCACACAAAAAAGCTGTGAAGGCACCATATACATCATGCACGTCCATGGAGAAAGGGAGGAGGGGGCAAACACACATTGCAGATGCGATGCAAGCAAACATTGGCCCAGCGGCAAGACTCTAACTAATAGAAAGCAAACATGATAAGTCAGCCGCATCCCACTCGATACCGAGATCTCCATACGAATACAACCACCGATGGTCTACCATCAATCGACATGTCACTTGTCAAAAATTACTAATCCGCTGTCCACATCACATCGTTGCCCCAAGCATCAAAGCCGATCGCATCGCCCCGTGCCTTCTCGGTCTATACCCACACACTCAATGCAATCGAATTCATCACTCCATCGCGTCGTATACACCCATCTGGTGCCCCGAAGCACCCATCACGAGCTCGTCCCATTTCTTGCGACAAGTGGCGTTGCCAAAGAGATAGGAGCCACCGTTCCTCTGGATGTATTCGGCGACTTGCTTCCAGGGGATCTTGATGGAAGCGGGATCGCTACCCTTGGCAAACTTGCGGACGGCTCTCTGGAGCAGATGAACCTGCGAGTTGTAAGTCAGCTGGCGCCAAGAAATAGAAATCACAAGGAAGAATGGCAAGCAATAACTCACGTCCTTATCCGTCCACTCAGGCTTCCGAACCCGTGCTTCCTTGCTCTTGGTTAGAGTGCGATAACGTCCACGAAGAGTCGACTCAGCCTCGCTGAAGTTTCCTTTGACCCGGATCTCGCGGTACGTCAGGCCCTCTTGCTTGGCCTTCAGCAGGTATTCGTCCTTGGCTGAACGCTCTGCGAGGTCAAGCGTAGAAGGCTGGGCCGGACACGGCTTGGGCTGCTTTGGCCGGAGCTCAGTCTTGTGCGTAGAAGGGACAGGCTTGCGAACCGGAGATGCTCTGCGACGTGATGAAGTGGAACTGCTATCACCGGCTCGCGATGAGCGTGGCTTCTCGGGGAGCTCTTTTCTGGGTCTGGACATCATGATCTGTTGGGTGGGCGGCTCATCTTTGACCCCCCTAAAGCTACCATGGCTGCTCATTGCCGCCTGTTGGCTCTCCACCTGTTGCTGATGCTCGACGAGCTGCTCCTGTGGAGTAGGGAAGAAGAGGATGGAGTTTGGCTCGGAGAAAGGGGGCGGTGATTGGGGAGCTGCCTTGATGCCGTTGAAGTCCTCAGGTACCATGGATGAAGAGGCGAAGGGTGAGTTGGCATACTCGAACTGGTCTGAAGGGCTGGTGATGATGGTGCTGCCGTCTGCCGAATTGAAGGAAGAGGAGTCGAGCAAGGTGGGAGGGGCACCCGCAGAAGAGAAGCTGCCAAAACTAGTGCCCGGGTCCGATGCCGTGAAGACAGGAGAGGAGGTGGACATGCCATGACATAAGGTGTTGGAAGCCGACAATGGAAGACCATCAATAGGCGAGATATCGTATTGGTACGGCATCGGGGCGAACATGGACTGGACATCAGTCGTGTCGGCCACCCCAAAGGGCTGCCACGTTTGACTTTGATCCATGACTTGTCTTCTGCCATTCAAAGAACCATCAAGCCGTTGCATTCTGGCAAAGAAGATGCCATGATCAGGGTCAGCGTACGGGCTGCCCGCGGTGCCAGCTAGGTATCTGTTCCGAAGCTGTTGAGCCTAAGGCAAGAGGATGAAAGTCAGCAATATTCTTGATCACATCTCACATGATGATGATTATGATGATGATGATGTTGATGAGTGTTGATTGTTGAGCGAACGGAAGAAAAGGGGAAGGAAGATAATTCAACAGCCAACGCACCTCGAAACTGTCTTGGATACCGTCTGGAATGACGCCCAAAGACCAATCCTCACTCGTCATGGCGCCCGGTTGCTGGGTGGATCTGAAGGTGAAAGGATTCTTGTGATTGTTGCGTGCGAACAGCTTCCTCTGGCGTCGGATGTTGGAGCGTTGCTGTGCCCTGACTTTCATCTCCTGCTCAAAGGCAAAGATGTCCGAGCTATGGAAGCCCCAAGGGGCAGCGACCTTAAACATCTTGAACGAAAGGGACTGCTCGTCAGACAGACGGACCGTCGGGTTGGGTGAGGAAGCGAAGCTGAAAGGAAGCCGAACGTCTCACCGCTCCTTCTGCTGGAAGTTCTATCAATGTCTTCTGTGCGAGTTCGGGTTTCCAACTCGCATTCAACGATGTCGTCTTCCGGATGTGCGTTGAAGGAAGGATAGGGTTGTGGGTGATTGTGTTCGGCGGTCAGTGAAGAACTTTAGAGCGGTTGATGCAAGATGCAAGTGTGGGATCCCGTTGGCTGTTTCCACGTATGTCTACGAGAGCAGTATATGGCGTTCAGGAGAAAAGCGGTATGGGGGGTGATCGGCGGATACCAGCGGGAGCGGTGGCGAGATGAACCAGTTCTCTCTCGTGGCTGGCCGTCAGGGGTGAAGACGTTTTTGCTCTTTGATGCCGATGGCCAATGAGCAGACTGTTGCAACTGTCCAGTCACTCGTGGCAGATGTCAAGGGCAGAAGAGGGAGGAGGATGCTCGAGCACAGGAGTCAGGAAATAAGGATGAAGGCTTGTAAAGCAATAAACATTAACGGCCACGAGGCGAGGTGTATTCGACGAACAGGAAACAGCCAATGTGACGAGGACTGATTGTTGGGATAAGAATGATGAAAGAAGAGTGATTGACTATAGACAACGGCTCATGCCATCGTCGGTTTGACGGGAGGAAGGTCTCTTCAAGTACAAAGTCGAATTTCGGCTGCTCCTCCCGCAGATACAGGGTTTGGTTTCATTCGAGAGATGTTACGGGATGTTGAAAGTGCTTCTCGACTACTGATGGTCCTGTTCCCTCTCGAGTATCTCACCCAGAAGAGCCTCATACATGAGGTCCCCTTTGCCTTTTGGGTATCGTGCGTATCCGAAGCCGCTTTATTTGTCCGGGCCGGCTTCTGAGCCGTCCCCGTCAACACTGATGATCATACAGCCACGGGCGTCCCATCTAGGTATGGAACGTCAAGAGCACCCTCCTTCATTCTACTAAGCCCCGTTCAAATCTGTCAGAATTCAGCCTCTTTCGAAGTGTCCCCCACCAAACTGCAGGGTATCATCGTACTTCTCGGGCGGTGCCTACGGCCCGGGTACATCTTCGGCGCGTAGATGGCAGGATGGGTTGTATTTATGCGTGAGCTCAGGGATCAGGACAGCCCGTGTGCTCATCTGCAGACGGATGGCTTGGATTACACCCACTAGGGCTCGATCGCGCATCGCCATGTTGCGAAGTTCCACTTTCATCGTCAACGATTTGGAACCACCTTTGCTCTCGGGTACCGACTTGCGCATCAACACTCATACCCTGGCTTGTATCCCAGTAGGATCGCCCCCCGTGGAAAACGCCACGATTCCAGGTGCTTTCCCACGGCCGGGGGGTAGGTACCATTTCGGCGAGTGTTTACCTGGACAAGGGTAGTCACGGGATTCTGGATCGAGCGGAAGATCACGGATTTACTGCCATTCAGGGTGGCGTTTTGGCCGGCTGTAGGCGTTTGACTATTGCAGCAGCCTGTTGTCTGTCGACGATCGTATGTGGTTGGCAGACCGGGACCCTTGCTTCTCGATGCCGGCGTACTGATCCCGGCTCTTTGGGCCCTGGTTCGGGAGGTAACCGGGCTCATGCAGGAAGACTCTGCGCCTGTCCCTCCTTAACGAGGTGAGCTTCGACGGATGGAGGACCACGTCAAGGTCTGGAGCTGGATCTGGTTCGATCTGGGCTACACAGAGAATCAAAGCACTGATATATTCATGGCATGTGTATTTCTACCAAGGTATGCGGCTGTAAGGTCTGGACGGTGCATGCCGTGATCTAGATCCTCGGCTGTGGAGAGTGGGGGTTGCGGAAGAACACCTCGTAACCTGGCTTGCCACGTCACTCTGGATGATTTCCCTATTCGACTCTTACGAGATGAAAGCGGACGGAGACCAGACAGCGAGAAGAAACACGGTCAACAATGGGGGCAACATTATGACATGAGAGAAGAGCGGCACAGCAAGATGTCCACGTGGGAGATATCGAAAGCGGCATTGCCAACTCGACTCTTCTCGGACTCAGAGACCTCGTGGTAATCGGCCCATGACCCTCCCTTCCCCGGTGCCATGACAGGGCTGATATGGCAGTCAGTGGTTCCTTTCTCAGCATGCTGCATACCGGCAATATGGTACTGGCCCGGAACCACGTCTGGTCATCCAGCTATCCCCACTCAGCTTGGACCAAATCTGTCTGGAAGGAAGCGTGCAGGAGAGGCTTGCAGGACTCAGGATGCGCGGGGCTTCAAGTGCTGGATAGATCTGTCGTTGAGTGGTGTCCATGCATGTCATCCTGGATTCATGCAGGTGTGTAGGTAAGCAAAACACCCTCTATCGAAACGGCCGAAGCGTATGTTAAACGGGAAAAGACCCCATTTCTAGATGAGGGGTAAGTGACAACTCACTGAATCAGGATGGAAGTTCGACTCCTGGAATCCAATCGAGATGGCGCTCATTTTGCGGTTTGATATGTTGAGTCGGGAGCTAAACCAAACAACAACAATGATATTGACCCTGCGTAAGTATTGAGAAAACAGGACCCGTTACCATTGCGACAGTGTTGCGCGGCGAAAATTGGGCACCAGTCTGCTTGTGTCTATATGCAGAAAAGAATATCTTAGTTCTTACTGGAGACATTCAAAATGAATCGCAATGAAGGTTATCGGTGAGCAGGCGGGAACCTCTCCATCTTTCTTCGTGGAGGTGTTCATGTACAGCTCACCGGTCGTGAGTCTACGCTCTGCAGAATATATGAGCTGTCATGCATGCGGGTTCTTGAACTCGCACGTATGCTTGCATTAAGTAGTCTACACAGCCTACATATCCATGCATGGCCAGCATCTCATGAAATGGAGAAGAAGAAGAAATGACGACTTGCATGCCTTACGGACGCACCGTTGGTCCCCTGTTCTCGCACGTCTCCTCAAGCTTTGAATTTCTGCCCGTCTTCAAACGCTGTTCTCTCTCATGGGCCAGCAAACCGGACTGTCTGCCCGGCTGTCAGTAGTGACATTCTGCAAAACATGTTCTGGTGGCGTACGCTGCAGTCTGCATACACTGCGTGACTGACAAGGGTGACGATTGACTTGGGTGTTGGACATGTTGCTGCGGGACGTCCCAGCCCGGGCGCACTAATCTCAACTGAGGAAGACGATAAGAAAGGGGAACGGCTGGAGCCAAGATCTGCGTGACACTTGTTCGCACCATACTCGCAGGAACGGCTGGTCTTCCAACCTGGTGAGAGATGGCCCGCCCAGAAAGAAACCTCCGCCGCATGGTTTTTGAGACCTGTCATAAGTCGGGACCCGTTGGGACGAGGTCGTACTCACGGGTTGACGCAGAAAATCCCAGGGATCATGTCTCGACATTCCAATGACCCAGGGGACGTCTACAGATGTGCTCGTAGGAAAGATTAGACACTGATGGTTGGCGGGAAGCTACCGTTCCAGTGAGCTGGGCGAGGGACGAAATCCTCCTATAGTAAAATTTACTAATTAATGTGCAGAAGATTTCGTCAACTCAGACGGTTTCGATCCAAATCGAGATTAGATCATTGCCGTCTCCAATGCAGATGAGGGAAACCGACTGGAATTGCGGACTCTTCGGGATCATGCAGAGGGGGGGAAAGGGCCATGTCTGCCGGTGTCGGATGACTTGAGCCTGTCTCCCCTAGCGAGATACGCCTACCGAGCTAGATCAACTCCCATGGCAAGGGAAACCAAACGGGATGTTGTCAAGTAAGTATTGGTTGAAGTTAATCAAAAAGCAAAACTTCGAATCAGTAGCAGTGGATCATCGTTCAACGTCCAACGCCGCAAACGTCTGGACGGAGTCGCTTCCTGTTTTCCCACGTTTCTTTTCTTCTGGTAACCTTCGGATCGATCCGAAAGAAAGATTGTCTCGTGTGTTTCTGTTCGACTGATGGCATTGCATCACCGGCTTGAAATTTCCACCTCTCGCGATGCTGATCTCAGTTTGATGTTCATGGAAAGATCTAGGTTTAGTGATGTCTACTTTTGTGACTAGCTCTCTTGAGAGAGTGTCACTCTTCGAAGCGACTCGGTCAAAGACAAGTTTTGCAGAACGTTTGGATCCGGTGGTAACTGAGCTTTCCACCGCGGCCGGCGGTGACAGATACCCCTATTCAGCCCGGTCGAGGCCCGTTTGGTAGGTACACAATGGAGGCTACAAACACCACCCTGACGAAACGTCGAACACAAATTTCACAGTGAAAATATTTCTTTCACAAATCAGATGACAGACGTCTGGATGCTTCGAGACGTTTCATCTCCTCTTCTTTAATTTCACATACATGGAAATTCACTCGAAGAAAAGCTGAGGCTGTTCGTGAAATCGCCTTATGTCTAAGTATGTTGTATTGTATACTGAACTTTCAGAGTTACTATTTACACCGCGATTCCAGGTCATCATTGTTTACAAAGGACAAAGGTAATTGAAGACTTCTAAATTTCTTCACTGTACATGTACATCTTGGTTTTCTCCGACCATCGCAGGGACGTTGATCTTCTTGAAAGTATTCGTAGCCTTCTGAGCGGTGGCAATTGTCTTACTAAAACCATTATCGGGGCTTTCAAGAGTGATGACGGCATCTAAATACTTTTATGAAGCAATAGTAAGACTGCAGTTGGCGTTGCACTCGGTTCCGGTCCCATAGCCTCTCATAAAGGGGCCAGACTTGTGCTCAAACGAGCTGGGCTTTGTACCGGTGTCGGCATCGGTGACAGCCTGGCGCCATGTACCGTTATACAAGAGGGGTTCATATTAGAGCTTGGCTTTCTGACTGCCCGATACGGCAGAAGCGTCGCCGCTGAGTTGCCCAAAGGATCCGAAAAGTGAGGCCTGGACACACGACTTGCCCTTTTTGGCGCCACACCAAGAGTTGTCCGGCCAAGATTCGAAGGTCGTTAGACGAGATCGCCTGTCCCATTCACCTGGTCACATGGCCAGCACTCCGTTTTGTGTGGGAAGTGCTGTGCCCGGGATAATTGTTGTCACGGCTTTGATGATGGTTGAAGTTGTTGGGCCAAGTGATATGGAGCTGCCCGAAGCATCGACTGCGACCGAAGTGTCAACGATTGCCGCGAGTATCGCTGCCTTGAAAGTTCCAGAGATCATCTTGCGTACCTTTGGTTTGAAGTTTGATGAGAATCGAGAATGGTGGGCTTGATCGACCGAGGTGTCACTTTTATCATGTCTCAGAAAAAATAGCATGTATTTATGTAGTTTTGCACACTGGAGCGAATGAGCGAAATCACATCCTCACACTTTCTCGTATTCCATTTAATCAACTCCATCGTATATGCGGTAGTATTCGCCTGGCCTATGAAATGCTCTGCATCGCGGATTCTTGTAGGAGACAATTCTCCACGACGGAGACACGTGCTCAGTGCAGTTCGAGGTTGGATTCGACTTGCTCAACTCTTTCGTGTCCACCAATGAGAGTAGTCCAATTATCCAGGTTAACCCTACCAAAGGTCCTTGCCAGCGTCACAACTGGCCGCATTTCTACCAAAGCTTGCCGACTTGATCTTAGTGTCATCTGAAGTATATTAAGCCATTTCCCTTTGGGGGAAGCCCCTGCCTTTTTGGACTAAAGACCAATCGTCCCAGTGTAAGCGGAACCAATCGTCCATACATGTACGCAACTCAGTGCATGGGCATATCGCTCTTGGGATCACGAGGCTTCTACTCGGGGAAAGACTAAACAAGCAACTCAAGTGCCGGCTTAGCCGCCTCTTCATCCGCACGAAGACTCGCAGTAACGCTAGGCCATGATAAGTTGAGTGAAACGACAACCCATGGCGGGGAACCTGATGGCCATTGCATCTTTCCACTTGAGGCAAGCCTCGGAATATGTGAATGAGGTGATCCTGGTCGCGAAAGACGACGCCTCGGTTTCAAGTTCGGCGATTTCGGTCTCGTTCTCCGTGAGAGCTTCTTGGATTCTGCTTGGTCTCGATGCGACCTAATGCATGCCTGGCTGTAGGCGGGCCGTGGAATACAGCGGCACTTGGATGTCTCAGCAACTTGAGAAGATCGTGAGCTAAACGAACCCTATCCGAGTCTGATGCGAAGAACCACTGTTTATGCCGTGAAATGGGTGTAACTGTAAGTGCATCTCCAGCCCCAGAACAGGATACTACGTGCGCATGTGCTCCTTGGACCATCTTCTTGATCAATTCAAAAACCGTCGCAGGGACAGGCGCCAAGATGATTGAAGTCCACTTGTCAAACTGCTACGGTAGTTCAGGCTTCTTAGAAGAGAGATAGTACCAGATTATGTCACGTAAGATCAAGACCGCGGATTACGAAGTACCTTACCAGAAGACTCTTTACCACGTACTTTGCCAAGTCTCACGAGCCTCGGCATGATTCTCGATGAAGTATCCGTAATCATCGCGGATGAGTGTCAGGAGTAGCTTCCAAAAGCCCGCAGTTACACGTCTCTCCCTTCAGGATTCTGCAGTCACAGAGTTGCTCTTAATGGCACTTATGAAGTCAATCAATCGCCAAAAAACCAGGACAAAGTGTTGTCCGAATGGAAGGTCTTGAGACATGTCTGAATCAATGCCGCTCATGTTGACGTACAACCCCTCAATTTTGAAGCGCGACTTCGCATTGCTGTCTGTAGCATGTTCCATGACACACGGCAGATGGAGCAGCTCTCATGAGACCGATGCACATTTGCAGTCAGGATAGGCTGACCAAAGTATCGGCAATCTTCCTGGAACATCCTACTTGAAGAGACGTACAATCAAATACTAAATTATTTCCAAATCCCAGTGTCGTGGTCCATCCCACGATCGACCAAGGCATCACATTAAGGTGAATGTATGCACCGATGTCAGCGCATGCGATGAAGCTTGCCTGCACGTGAGCGATAATACACAGAAACTAGGCATCGTTACTAATACCATGCTGATTGTCTTGGTGCCGAACGATCATTATTGCCGGAAAGTACTCCGTAAACCTCGAGCGCCAACGCGTAGGGCCCCAGGATAATGCGACCCAACCAAACCCTTTGAACGGTCCGTCATGATTCTCAATCTGGGGTCGTAAGGCTGTCCTTGTTGCCTATTGCTAAATCTTCTTGATCACAATACTATAGATTACCCGTTCTCTGTCCGACGACTTCAGGGTTTGCGGAAGGGGGGAGCAGAGTTTCTAAGTGGCTGTTCGTACAATGTGGTGTGACGGCGCCAAAACGCTTTGTTTCTAGAGTTCAGAAGAAGGTTTAGATTTGTTTAGTGAAACAAAAACGTTAAAAAAGGCCCGCGGCGCGAATTGGCCAGCGAAACTTCAGCAAGCGGACATCGAAACGCTCCTGAAAGTGTAAAACTTCTTGAAAGTCCGAAAGATCTTGTTCCTCTTGTTCCTGTTGGCTACAACTTGCACAGATTGCATCGAACAAGCGACAGGGTTCCAACCAACCTCGCTCCCGCAACCCGGGAATGAAGCTGTCTTGCCCCGAAGGATCAGCCCCAGCATTGCACAGAGCAGGTGGATGGTGTAACTCTTTCAACTTATGTGCCGCACTCCCACGACTCTTCCGATTATGGTGCCGAAGTCCCGACTTGCGAGCACCGATAGCAAAGAAATCCCAAGATAAGCTACCGTCGCAAAAGCATAAGCGGCATAGTTCAGACATTGGTGACGACTTAATGGGAAACGGTGATCTTGGCATTCTGTCAACGGTATACCCGATCGAAGCCACGCCCACCTGCTGGTCCTGGTTCATCGCATCACGATAATTCTGCATGGTCCTAGTGGGCGTTTAGATAAGATGGCGGTGGAACCTCTGCTTGTTTGACGTTCCATTGCATCTCCAAAGTCCCAAAAACCCTGGAGCCCATGATAAAAAATGTTCAGCTAGACATCCACCCTCGTCAAGCAATATCGGCCATCGCCAATTCTCGTCAATCGGCCCCCATCTCAGTCGTCAGCAAATTCGATAGTACAGCTCCTTGCTGACATACTCCACACGTCAACTCCGCAATGCACAGGGTACGATGACCCTTGTGAGCCACTCCCAGCACCAGCAATTGCCACTATCCGGATTGGTATCTCCATATTCCTACCCACAGGCTGAACCGACATCCAGGCATGTGGTTCATAGGGGATGTGATCCAGGTCTGCAGCCGTTTGACGTTCACCTGCATCAACCGAGCTGTTCTGTGAGTGCGGAGCTGCCGCCGTACCCTGTTGCCGTGGTATGATCCCTCGATCCATGTACTTCGCAGGGACTAATCCATTCCAGCCAATACATCACGAAATTTCAACAACATTGCTTACAGTTGTACCATCGACAATCGATGGTCCAACTTCTTCTTGGGGCCCAGTTCCTATTCATGACGAACCGGCTCAAGATGATTGGTCTTTTCTGCACCAACACCCACACAGAGACCGATCGGGACCCTTTCCCGTGATGGCGCATAGTTCTCGGTGCAGCCAACAGAGGTTGGGCAGAACCCAGACCTGCCCATTTAGCCTGACGAAATCAAATCGGGAAATGCCTCATACTATTCCTCGCTGTTTGCAGAGTGTACACAAGAGTGGAAACGGTAATGCCGTGCCCCCATTCTGGAGAAGAGATACGACATTGTGACTGATACATAAATAGCTGTACTGCCGGCCGTTGGGAAATTCAGTTTCAAGCGATCAAGCGCAAAGGTAGAAGCAACTCCAGAGATTGTCTTCATCATGACGTGGTTCGCTGCATTCTCGATGCCCGGCGCCCTAGACGATCTTATCGTCAAGGCGGTTTATCTAGGACTCTTCTACCTTATCGTCAAGTACACCTACCGGATGTTTTTGTCTCCTATCGCCAGTTTTCCCGGGCCGAGGATTGCTGGTATCACCAAACTTTACGAAGCTTATCACGTTCTGCTAAAGAACGACTGGCTGGAGAATCTTGTCACACTCCACGAGAAATATGGTAATTTGTGCACCTGTTGCTCGCTTTGTGGAGTTGACATTAACTAAAATTGTCACTACAGGACCGGTTGTTCGCATTGGGCCTAACGAGCTGCACTTTGTCGACAACAAGTTCAACCTCGACCACCACCGGCGGCCCGACCTCTTCAAGTGCAATAATTACTATGGTCTTCTCAACAAACTCCTTGGCGGATTGGCCAGCCCTACGAAGCATGCGCAGAGGGCTGCAGTCATGCGGCCAATATTCTCTGGCCAGACTTTGGCCGAATACTCCAAGACGTTGGATAAGCACATAGAGTCACTTCACTCGCGCCTTGCTGATGCTGCTTCGGATAAGGGAGTTATTAACTTGACGCATTACCTTTGGGCTTACACCAACGATGTCATGATCTCGTATCTCACCGAGGAAAACTATGGATTTCAGAAGGTCTACGATTTGCAAGCCACTCACGATGCGACACGAGCCTTCAGCGCCATCGACCTCGCCACCGTGCTGAGGTGTATGCCACCGGTCAAGATTATGTTTGATTACGTTCCAGCTCTTCGATCATTTTCACCCTTGGGGTGGCTTGATAACGTAAGCTCATTGAATCGACTATCCCCGAATACTACATCAAACATGCTAACCTCTTTGCAATTAGTTGATTAGTTCTCACGTCAGACCTATGGTTAAGTCTTGGGACGACGAGAATAGTCATCAAAGTGTGTTGGCTCGAATCTTCAACGAGATAGGGAACGAGACACAGACTGTGCACGAGTCATCACAAGCTATTTTTATTGGAAATGAGTCTCTTCTCAGCAACTTGACTTTTGTCCTTCATCATCTTATCCAAAATCCGGAATGCATCAAGAAAATTCGATCCGAGCTGGATACTTTGGATATTGGGACATACGGACACCGAATCTGGAGGGACCCAAAGACCGCTCAACTCAGGTATCTGGTAAGTGGCTTGTTGATGTTGACCTACACCAGATCGGCGTTGGCGCTGACCCCCTCAGGATGCTGTATGCAGAGAGTCGTCCCGCTTGAGCTCACCCAGTTGGCATCGACAACCACGACAGAGTGACACTCCGGTGGAGTACCAAGGAGCCATAATACCCCCAATGGTAAGAGGATGTTAGCTACTTTCACTCTGACTGTATCTGACACGTTGTAGACGAGTATGAGCTTCACCTTACACTTGCTCGAGCGCGATGCCACCCTCTTTCCAGACCCGAATACTTTCAAGCCTGAAAGATGGCTCGGTTTCAACCAAGAGTCGAAGACAACCAAGGGACATTCAGTTTCATTTGGTACTGGTACAAGAACATGCTTAGGGCAACAGTAGGTTTAGTCCGACCGTCTCAAGAGTTTACCCCCTACTAACACACATGCTTCACAAGTATTGCTCACAGAGTCTTACGCAAAACAGTCGCTTTTCTCATCTACAACTTCAACATTTCATTGTGGAACGAGAAGGCGGATAGGGCAGACGGATTTCGGTATTTAAACACATACCCAAAGAAAGGTCACGAAGGCTACATGAAGGTCCAGATGGCTCCGCGCTTCGGATCGATTGCATAGCGACCCAGCGACTGTTTCCTTCATTTGAGAAATACCCCAAGATTCCCAGATCATCACGTTTTCCTTCACTGCTATTTCACTTCAACTGAGTTAGTCACCTCAGAATGCTTTTAGAACGAGGCTGCGGTGCAGAGCAAGAGATAGTATTGAATGATACCCAACAATAATGAGAACTACTTCATCCAACCTTGACATTACAAACATAAACAGAAACACCCACAAGCTACAAAGACAATGAGGGCTCGAGATGCGCGAAAGGACCGGGCCTAACCCGCGATTGTGTTCGGTGGAAGAGGCTGGTTCGCGGCCACGAAGGGTAGGGGCGGCCACTCGCCCGGGTCAAAAGTATCCTCAAACTTGTGAACCCCTGACTGTACCACAAGTCCATGACGTTGTTCGTCTGTCTCCGCGGCAAAGGACCTTGGTAATCCTGAAGGGAGAAACACCACTGCGGAGCAGTTTGGTGGCACTTCTAGCCTCATGTTGAATTTCGTCCCTTCCAGCACCCATTCACAAGCCACTTTTCCATAAGGGCCGTCGAAAGTGACAGTAGTGTTCGTCAAGTTCCCACCCGGAACAGGCTCCACACGAATCACTCTCCAGCCCGGCTCTTGGGGTGAGATGCCACCGACGGATCCGTGAAGCCAGTCTGCTACTGCGCCAAGGGCGTAATGATTGAAGCTGGTCATCTGTCCTGGGTTGATTCGTCCGTCTGGGAGCATGCTGTCCCATCGCTCCCATATCGTTGTTGCCCCCTTGGATACGACAGGGTACAGCCAGCTAGGACAAGTTGTCTCTAGAAGCATACGATATGCCAGTTGCGGGCGTCCGATCTTAGTGAGCGCATGCGATATCACTGGTGTACCCGCAAAGCCCGTACTGATGTGGAAGCGCGCAGTCCGTACCAGCTTCTCGAGAGCCTTTGCCGCAGTCTGGCGTTGGAATGTGTCGTTGGGATACAGGCCAAACTGAAATGCAAGGGACAGCCCAGTCTGAGAACTCGACATCAGGTTACCTTCGAGCGTAATGTAACGCCTCTGGAATAGTTGTTTCAGCCTTTCGCCATCACTGGCATACTTGACAGCCAAATCAAGCTTTCCGATCGCCGCACAGAGGCGCGAGAAGACCATGGTCGTGTGCACCAGGTAAGCATTCGCGACAAGGATGCTGTCAGTACGACCGTTTCCAGGATCATCGGGAGGTGCACTTGGATCAAGCCAGTCGGCGAGCTGCCACTTTTCCGGGTTCCAAAGACCGTCGGAAGCTCGATCAACTCCTTCGTCAAGCCACGCTTGCATGCTGACAAATTGCCTCTCAAGTAGTCCCTTGTCAGAGCTGTATTGATATAACACGTCTGGCGCCAGAACAGTCACGTCGTCCCATACAGCCTGAGCGATGTGTGGCCAGTTAGGAGAGATGGCCAGAGGAACAACCAAAGGAGGAATGCCTCCTTTGCCTTCTTCCAGTTGTTCAGCCGCCACATCCTCAAGCCAGTTGCCTAGAATTCCCAACGTATCGTATAGGAATGTTGCCGTAGGACAAAATACCTGCAAATCTCCGGTCCATCCGAGTCTTTCGTCACGTTGAGGACAGTCCGTTGGAATCGACAGGAAGTTACCCCGCATAGACCAGACCACGTTCTTGTGAAGTTGGTTGACGTAAGGGTTCGAACATTCAAAGAAACCTCTGCGCCTCATATCCGTGTGCATCACGAGAGCTTGGATATCGTCTTCGGATGGGCCACTGCCAGGCCAACCATCGACTTGGACATATCTGAACCCGTGGAAGGTGAACTTTGGCGACCAGTCGAGAAGAGGCTGCCCTGATCCAATGATAGTATCGCAACACTTCGCATCTCTCAAAGGTCTGGTGCCTAGTTCGTCGTTTTCCATCACTTCGGCGTGGCGGAAAGTGATCTCTGCTCCCTTCTGGGGGTGGACTGACTTGACGAAGAGCTTACCGACAAGATTCTGGCCAAAGTCCAGAATCGTCTTTCCAGTCTTGCTCTGAAAGACCTTGATACAAGGCTTCGTCTCAATGACTCGTACTGGCGGTGCGTCTGGTGCTACCATTGTGGCTTGAGGCCATGGTAGAGGTCTTGTGGCTGATGTCGTCTGAGTCACTTCCGGAGACTTCCAATCCCCCTCCTCTTCCCGCATATCGTATACCTCTCCATCGTAAATCTCACTTCTGACAAGCGCGCTCGGAGCACAAGACCAAGATTCATCTGACAGAAGGCTCCATGGCGTACCAGATCCTCGTTCAACTTCAAGTTGCGCGAACAGTCCGATAGTGTCGCCGTACCGAAATCGAATGCCGCCCTTGAATCCGAGGCGTCCGGCGTACCACCCCTCCGCAACCTCGACGCAGATCGTATTCTTGGCCCCTGTGATCAAGAGCTGTCGCACGTCGAGGATTCGATAGACGAGACGATGCTTGTAGCTAGTCCATCCCGGAGCCATGCATTCGTCCGTGACTGGCTTCCCGTTGATCCAGGCTTCGAAGACACCCAAGGATGTGATGTACAATCGAGCTGAAGCGGATCTGAGATCGAGCTCCTGAGGTAAGATGAACTCCTTACGGAAGCGAATAGGTCTCAAAGGGCCATGAGGTCCAATCTGCTGTGCCGCGGTGATGAAGTTGGCTCTGAAGTCGTCTTTCTTCAGCAACGCAGCTTCCACAGTTGCTGGTTCAGACCACGCGCTTGGCTCTCCTTTGGCGTAGGACTCTTCGACCAGGCTCTTTCCACACACCCGCACTCGTACTATCGCAGCTTCGCGGGAAGATAGGTCTCTTGCTGGCCATGGTACAAGCACAGACTGGTCGCTGACCTCGGTGAAGCTCCGGGGCTTCTCGTCAGAAGCGAATTTGATCTCGATCTCGTAAGAAGTCTGGACCCAGCCAGCGATGGTCTCGTCGTTGCTTTCGAATCTCCATGAGATTTTTGGCCTTGGTGTTGCTACACCAAGGCCACTGTGGTGGTGGTCAAAGACAGGCTTCGTGATTACTGGGCAAGACATGGTTTGTTGTGTGCAGCTAGGTAGGTAGTGCTGGTATACATTGACCCATGCATCTTGGTGAATCTGGACTTCGAAAGGTGAAATAGACTGAATAAAACCATTGCGGTCTAATGGCCCCCGTGCTTGGCAGGTTCCGGCGCAAAGAGGCACCGATTCGGTCTCGATTTGGCACGAGGTCATGATCATCGCCGCGCGGTAAACTGCCGGTATCCCAGGGGCTGGAATGTACGTATCGGCATCGGCAGCGGTTCCGACGCAGCCAAGTCTTTCATCGACCACTCACGAGACGTTCATGATGTGGGATTTCGAGGCTTATGCGGAGACTCCGCGCCCCCGCATGCTCTAGCTCCCCAGTCGTTTGAGCGAGCTCAGGGAATCTGCCGAAATGAGTCGGGGCAATCATGATTACTAGACGAGTTCGTCATGACTGCTGCGTTCTGGCCTACTGTTTGGCAGCATCTTTAAGGCGTAAAGCCGAGTTTATCGGTGTACCTTTGCACCGAATATGTGGCAAGGTAGATAGCCATTTTGATATAGAAGATAATCAAGCCCCGGATTTCAATCTGCATAATGGAACCACACTTCCCCAGATTTGTCTCGACTCCACACATCCCTACTGTCAGTATTTTCGTGACTTTGGTATGGGTTCCCTCATCGTCGCTGTGGCGCTTGTCGCCGCTCAGGGTGGCTTCATCTATGGGTTTGATTCTGGTTTGCTTCCAACTTCTTGGGTGCAGCTACTCAGGTAATGCTAACTCAAAGTAGGAATCATTGCCACGACCTTTGGCCATGACAGTTTCAAGCTCAAGATGTATGGGCCGTCTATGGTCAACACTAGCTATCAAGGTAATATTATCCACACAACCCGGTACCATCCCATTTGGCATGGAGGCACCGCTGACTCTTGTCTTCACAGGCGCCATCGTATCGGTCTACAATGCTGGTCAAGCCATCGGCGGAATGACAGTAGGCTACCTTGCCGACAAGCTTAGTCGAAAGTACACGATTCTCCTCGCTTCGATCTTGAGTTGGTTCTCCCCGCTCGTAGCAAAGCACATACCATGGCAGCGTTTCTGATGTTTTTACCAGCGATCATTGGCTCTATACTCCAATGTGCCGCTGTCCAAGTTGGCATGATGATTGCAGGCCGTCTTGTGGCTGGCATCGGCTGTGGTCAACTACTCTCGGTTGTTCCCATCTATCTTGCCGAGGTTGCGCCTCCAGCGCGTCGTGGCTTCCTTGTCGGACTTCAGGGAATGATGATAGCCATCGGCTTTGGCGTTGCTAATTGGGTATGTGCATGTATGCATCCTATTTCTCTCTCATACACTGACCGTCTTCGAGGTTGGCTACGCAGGTGCTTTTGCCATGGGAGACGGCCAATGGCGGATTCCACTGGCTATGCAGCTCCCCATTCCCATTCTCCTCTCTGTAATGGTCTTCTACGTACCGTTCTCGCCTCGTTGGCTTATACTGCGCGATCGATACGAAGAAGCGAGAACCGTCTTGGCGGATCTACACGGGGCTGCGGACAACGATGATCTGGTTGGACGCGAACTCATACAGATCCGTGAGCAAATTCTCCTGGAGAGGTCTCAGGGCAACATGGACTGGATGACGGCTCTACGTGCACTGTTTTCCCGAAAATACGTCCGCCGTACACTCACTGCCGCATTCATTGTCACCATGGGACAGCTCAGCGGCTCCTCAGTCATTCAAAACTTTCAAAACATCTTCTACGCCACTGTCGGGTTCACTGGTAGAACGGCGCTGCTCATCAGTGGTGCTTACGGCATGATGGGGATTCTGGGCCAGGTCATCTACCTCTTCGTCGTCGCAGACCGCTGGCCACGAACACGTACTCTATGGAGCGGTTCTCTTGTGTTGAGTGCCATGATTGCATTATGCATGGCTCTCAGCGCAGTCTATGGTAACAAGAATAACGACAACGAGGCAGGAGCAAGGGCGGCCATCAGCGCCATCTTCATCTACTCGATGTGTTACGCCATTTTTTTCAATGCCATGATCTGGGTTGTGCCGTCGGAGCTGTTCCCCTTCTTTCTCAGAACCAAGGGTCTGGCGTTCGCCGTTGCTACCAAGTCTGTTACAGCAATCGTGCTCTCGCAAGTCACCCCGCTGGCTATTGCATCCGTTTGCTGGAGGTACTACTCACTTTTCATCGCAACAAACCTAGCGGCCGCTGTCTTCTACTTCTTCTTCCTTCCAGAGACTGTAAGTCATATCATCAAGTAGCTTGCTATCTCTTGCTAACCTTTGGCAGTCCGGGAAATCCTTGGAGGAAATTGCGGAGCTATTCGGAGATGACCTAGCAACAAACCGCCTGGGCGAGCTGGACGTGGACGCGAAGAATGGAATCGGACCGGAGGCGGAGCTTCATGAATTCGCCGAGAGGCGATCTCAGGCTTGAAGGGTTCAGACGAGAAGTACTCCGTAGTCTTGCGGACGCCTCTTCACACCTAGCGAGAGCACAACACTGTGTCTAGCACATGAATTATTATCCCGTAAACTAAGTGTATGCAGTAGGCAGCTCATCAGGTCCATCTACTAAGCCTCGGCCTTGCACTATTAAGAAGTCGAGACCACTTGTAGTCACTAGTACTGCTCTCCATGTGGTATCAATGATCAAGGTAGGCGACTGCAGAACCCACTGCCTCACAGACTTGGCTACTGAGGTTGATTGAGAAAACCAGGAAAGAATCATTAACAAGACACAATGTTGAATCCTAAGAACCGGGGAAGGCAGGAAACTGCTACTCAACTTCAATTTCTTAACTTCTTCAAGTTGCTAATCGCTGGAACATCGACCGAGAAGACCGTTGATTCGGTGACAAGTCCGATACTCCCCGCGATCTCACTGCCGCGAACCATCGAGTTCATCGCTGCGGGGCCGTGGATCATGCGGGGTGTAAGCGTTGCCACCCGGACTTCTTCCCGGTGCGGAGATGCATCCCCGGAGAGAGTTCGGAGAAAGGTCAAGTTGAAGGAAAGGTCATGATGCCCATGTCACCGTTGAAGACGCAGTACTACCTAGTGTTAGGGTAGGAAGATGTGGATAGCATAAAGTTGAGGATGTCTGCTGAATGGGCGCATTTGAATCACTTCAAGACATAAACGAATCGTTTGAGAAATTTCCTATTCCACACATCGTACTGCATACACTCAGACTAATCGAGTTCATCGAAAAACCTACTACTTCATTTCACAGGCTTTGAATCCCGCCTTGAACGCTCTACAAGCTCGAGCAACAGTGTCAAATTCTTCTATGCTACTTTTTCGTCCAAGATACACAGTTCAAGCCGCAACATGACATCTGAAGCAGATCACATCCTCATAACCGGGGCCGCCGGGTTCATTGGCCAGGAGCTCATCACCGCCCTCCTTCTCTCATCGTCTTCCATTCATCTCACAGCAACAGACATTACAGCCCCTCCGATTCCGCCCCAAGCTCTTTCTCACGCATCTCGCGTGACATCACTTCAAACAGACCTCACTTCATCAGAGGCAGTCGCTTCTCTTCTTACGAGTCACTCGCGTTTCAACGCAATCTACCTTCTCCATGGCATTATGTCTGGAGGCGCGGAAGCGAACCTGGAACTAGGTCTTGCCGTAAACCTAGACAGCCACCGCGTAATTCTCGATGCCTTGCGCCAAGAAGCATCTCCGCATCGCGGATCTGTTGTGGTATTCCCCAGCTCGTTGGCAGTCTACGGTCCTGCAGCACCGGGACAGATCAACACCGAGACAACTTGCCCGGTACCCCAGTCTTCGTACGGCGCCCAGAAGCTGATAATCGAGACGCTTCTGGGAGATTACTCACGCCGTGGGCTGCTAGATGGGCGGATTGTGCGGTTACCTACCATCATCGTACGTCCAGGCGCCCCAAGCGCGGCGGCTTCCTCCTTTGCTTCGGGCATTGTGAGGGAGTCGCTCAAGGGCGAGGAAAACATCTTACCAGTGGGACCGGAACTACCCATGTGGGTGTGCTCTCCGAAGACGGTGGTCAAGAACCTGGTGGATGTCAAGAGCATTCCTCATGAGAAGTTTGGGATTTCTAGAGTTCTGAATTTGCCCGGCGTTACTGTCACCGTGGCGGACATCCTGAATGCGCTAGAGGTTGTCGGAGGTACAGAGGCTAGGAAACTGGTGCGCGAAGAGAGAAGCCCGCAGATTGAGGCGATCGTCGGTAGTTGGCCGGCTTATTTCGATGTTTCGAAGGCCCTTGGCCTCGGCCTTTCTCAGGATGGGGATCTGATAACCACAGTCAAGGACTTTGCAGAGCGCCTTCGGGCCGGTGTTTAGATAGCTTCCATCCCGGTGAGTGGATGTTCAATCTGGTGGCATTTCCTGCACATAGTACATTTCTGAGAAGATTAGCATGGAATCGGGAAGTCGCTTTGACATAGAGGGGAATCATAGAAGAAGCTAGACCAAATATACATTCTGCGGTATTTTCGGTGTCGGCTATCAACCCTCATCGCCCAATTCCAAACAACACGCCAAAGACAGTTGTCCACCTCAACTTTTTAGTCTTCAACATCTCAACCCACTCAGGCAGCAAATCATGCAAGTAATGAATATTCGCCTTGCGCCAGTTCCCCGCCTGGTTGGTTCTATACGGCAGAGGCGTACTTTCCCAAGCACTGGTGTATAAGTAAACAATCCACATGACGTCTAAAGAGGTCATGCCAAACTTTTCAGCCTCATGGCCAAGATTGCCAAGCACTCGCTCGAAGAAATCATCCCAGAAAAAGGCATCTGGCTCAGGATCATCATCTCCAACAGTGTCGTGTCTCAGTCTCATGACTTTGGGTTCGATGCCTTCTTTGAGCTCTTGGATGGAGTAGTCAAAGACGTCGACCAACTTTTTGGCTACACAATCGAAGGGCTCCAACTTTCTATAGTATTCACCCCATGAGAGATTGAGGTTGAAGTCTTTGGGTTGAAGATAGTAAAGAGCCGCAGAGTGTTCAGGTGGGATGAGGCCCGGGATTTCGTCAAACGTGAGGCCTGGGATGCGCAAGTAGTTCTGTGGCGCATAAAACCGCTTCAAACTATTCATCGACCCAGTATCTGGCGGTGCAGATCCATCTGATGACGGTGTTGAGGGCATTTCTGAGGACAGAAGTGACTCTGATATGCTAGATTGCTGATGTTCTTAGAGCAGATGTAATGCTAGTCTCTGATTTGATGATGATTGAGTTTTCAAGTGATGATTACTTGCCCATTGGTATTAATGTTGATAAGTGAGTTGAAACTCACCCTTTATATGTGTCGTTTACATAGCTCACTATTTAATGACAAAGCCACAAAAGCTCTCTTAGGTTTCCAAAATGGAGGTGGCACAAGATGGTTACTGAACTAAGTGGTGAACTCGACAAAGCATCATCCCCTTTGAGGAGTTTGTTCTTACAAAGATCTGGGTAAGATTGAAAAGATTCTTCTTTAAAACCACAACTATTGTGCAACAGTAGCGCCCGGAATAGATTGCGATAAGCTGTCTGATCGCTATGAACGCCACTTCAGCTTAAGCCCCGCCTGCATTCACCATCAAACCAACTTAGACCCCTGCTTGCAGCTTGCTTCTCCAGTCCTCAACCCCCTTCAGAACAGGCCTAGGGCTCCCATCATACCCAGTCTTTCGCATCCACTCAGCCAGGCTCCGAATACGACCAGGATGAATGCGATCTAACAACTCCAAGTCTCTCTTATTGACGATGCCCTCTCCCCAGAACCGCCACCACGCCCCAAAGTTCTGTCTCCAGGTCATATCCGACTCGTCCCGGGCAACTTCCGGACCGACGGAAAAGTTAACATAGGCACCCGGGTACGGCTCTGCGAGCGGCGCGTACTCCTCAAACGGCACGCTCTTGTGGATGCCCTTCTTTCCTGTCACCTCGGTGAAGATCCTCGCAATGTCGGCGAAGCTGACTTCGTCGGTCGTTACTTCCAGGTTCAGGCCCGCGGACTCGTTGAGGTTGTCAAAAAGCCAGAGGCTGTAGATGCCGACGTCTTCGAGAGCGATAAGCGGGATTTTGCCGTCCTCTGTAATATTATTAGGTTGTTGCCCAAGACATCGTGGTAACGATGTGACTAAGGGCATGATACGTACTGGCAGGGTTCACCCAGAGAAAAGAGCCATCCGGCTGCTCTGTCGGTGGAAACATTCCATCTAGGAGCATGTCCATGTAGGGACCTGTCGTGAGGACGGAGCTCTTCATGCCGTCCTGACCTTGGGCCAAGATGAAATCCGTGACTCTTCCTTTGGAATCGTTGTGGCCCCAATGGTATCTCTCGTTCCCTATTCAAGCCAATCAGCAACGCAAATCAACAGCTCGAATGAGAAAACAGAAGCCTCAGTTCTTGCTTACATCCTGACTTCTTTAGCGCATAATCGGTGCCAGCCCAGACGTAATGCTGAACACCTTCGTGCCTGGCAATTTCGTACGCGCGGATGCCGTAGAAGAGCTCACTCTTTTGGCCCAGAGTGAAGCCGTCCGTGTTGACCCATGCGCCGTAGACACCCTTAAATGCCCGGTGAAGATCCTGCTGGCTGTCTTGTTTGCCCTGGACGAGGGTGACGTTGGGGAGCGTGGCAAGTTCTTTGGCGCGGGCGTTGCCAACGTTACGGGTGAGGACCCTGACGCTGTATCGCTTGGTTTCGGCGAGAGCTGTTCAACGATGTTAGAGTGATGTGCAGATTTGGTTCTGTCGAGAATGCTGAAATTACCCTTAACGACTGGTCTTCCCTGGGCACCAGTGCCGCCGATGACGAGGATTTCTTTCAATTCCGACATAGTTTAGAATACCTTAGGTGATTGCTTTAACTGATGATGCTGATGATCGTGTTTGATAATAATGTCAACCGACTCAATGATGGTGACACTCATTGTGTCTTTTATATATCCATCTTGAACGAAGTGGCCTTGGCTTGCGGTCGATCCCCCCTTCCGCAAGCCCCAAAGATCAGACTGTCATGATGATGAAGTTAATGATTAACAAACCAAAGTGCACGATTTACAAGCTCTTCGGAGCTGACTAATTATCAGTTTCCATTTCCTGAAGTCGCCGTCCCTCCTGCAATAGCAAGCCTTGATGGCTATTCTTGAAAAGACGTGGCAGGACTTACATAATTCCCCCGGTGTCGTCTTTGTCATAAATCTTGGATCGCAGCGCACTCGGGAAGCAGAACTTTACGCACATGTCAAGCGCAGATGCATTGTACGCTTCAGCTTCCAGTTTATTGATTAATGATCAATGGCAAGTTTCGGCCTCTATGACATTAGTTGGCGAGAAACGCGGGATGAGTAATCGTTCAAGATCAAGACTCGGTAACCGCTGACAATGGCTTCGGATCTCTAAGTTGGCTGGTTTAAATCTCGGCGTGAAAACAACGATAGTATTCAACCAAATAAAGGTTCCTGTTATCACATTCTACTCGTGGGATTGCAGCTGCTCCGAAAGCTGCATTATTCAGACAGCCCCAGCTTGTTGCGTACAATTTGGTCTCGGCATTTACGACAACATCTTTCACCAGATAGGATACACACCAATGTCGTCTTGAGGCATACACCACCCATTAAAATATGAATTTATCTGTCTTAGATGAATAGATTGTTTTTCTCCTGGCTTTGCGACCATTCCCCCGCAGTAGAGGGTCAGTCGTTATAAAGCACCTTGACGAGACTTGACGAGGGAGTAAAAGGATCAAGCCTCGACATACGGCTTTCAAATAACGTACACGATGTTTCTTCTACTCACCCACGCAGTTCAGCAATATGGCTCTAAAGGTGCGGAACGCATACAATCAACGCACATCGATGCGACCTCCATCTACCCATACGGTAAACTTGACTTCTCTACCACTCCATGGCGTCTTGGCAGATCAAAGATCACTGCGCCTACGCAAACAAGTGCAAGGAGCAATAAAGAGCAATAAAACAATGGATGATGTACACAGGCGCAGCCGAGTGACGTATTCTCCTTTCAATGCTGACCTTGCATCTCTAGCTACTGCTGCCTAAAGACTCTAAAGCAAATACTGCTGCCTATCACTACCTTTTCGCGGGCCGATTCATTGGCGGACTCTAAAGACGCGGGCTATGCGATATCATGTCTCGGAAATTCGGGTATTGGGAGGAGAGTTCTGTGGCGAACCCAAAAGCGAAAGCGAAGTCAGGAATCCTACTGACCGTGTAGCTAGATCGAGAACTCTGGCAGCACATCGCGACCAAGAAAGAGCAAGGCAATGGCCACAAGTTCACGGCTATCTCGGCAAAACCATACAGTGGATAGGTGCCCTTGGAATCCTATTCTCCTCAAGACTCCAAGGACATGACAATTCCATAATTCCAGAATTTGGCACAAGGGACTGCCAAGAAACAACTCTCATATCCTCATCTCGATAACACTCCCATTAAGGGCCGGATTCATCACCTCAAAGACCGGCTCCCGGCCCCGTCGGCCACCGCTCCTCGCAGCTCCAGCAGGCAAACAGGCCACACGACGCACGGATATCTCGGCTTGGCAAATGAAGTCGGGCAGCGGGTGCTGCCCTTTCGTTCCCAGGATCAGCCGGGCGCCAAAGAAGTCCTGCAGGGTCAGCGAACAATGTCCCGGAATGGCCTACACTCATTCAAAAAGCCAATGACATGTAGTACACGTTGTACAGACAGTTGATCCTTTTCACGGACAATCGAATCGGATCTCCCTAGATCCACCGGATACGGACAAGCGACATGTCGCGGGAGCTTAAAAAATGGACATTTCATCGATGTGGGTGTGGCGGAGCTTCGGAGAATAGACAAACAAACAGGATAGATTTTCATTACAAGTGCTAGTTCGGCACACACGGGATTGACCCAGGGGCATAGTGTGCAAAGATATAAAAGGAGGCCTTTATTCCTTTCCCAACGCCTCTGCGATGCTTTAAATGGACGACTCGTCAAAGAGACCTTGATTCCATGTCTTTTTGACGCGCTTTTCCCACACAACCGAATTCTCTACCGGACAGCAATGTTCTTCATGCGGCCCGTTGTCGGCACCGGCTTCTCCAGTCTCAAGGCCCAGAGCAACATGTCCTCAGCGGGGAGGAAAACCAGCAGGGCACGATTGCAGAGGTACGCAACCAACGCGCAGAAGGTAGCGACGAAGGCGTCCATGAGGTAATGGTTGGCGGTGCCGACGATTGTCAACAGAATCCAACTCGGATAAAAGACACCGAAGCAGAACATGGCCCAGCTCTTCCAGCGTGCGCGGTTCTCCTGGATCTCCTTGAGCTCGACGTCATCAATATCCAGCGACTTGTCCAAGTCGTTGCGCAGCAGGTAGTTCCTCAAGCGACCAAAGAGAAGGTTGAGGATGGCCGAGTCGGCGATGAAAACACAGCCGATGGCGAAGGCGTAGCCAAAGTGCATAGAGGGCATGGCAGCCAGCTTGTTGACGAACTTGCCGCTCATCCAGACACTCTCGGCGTTCTCGAGGTTGACCGTGTCGACGAAGCCGTACTCGGAGGGCATCAGACGGGGCGGCGCGCACGGGTAGAAGATGAAGATGATGAAGGCACACATGTTCAACAAGGTCATTGTGCGACGGACAGTGCAGAAGCGAGCGTGAGTGGGAGCCATGGCGAAGTAGTAGGCAATGAAGCCGACGGTACCAGGGATATGGATCAGGGAGTATCCGCGGTTCAGGATGGTCAGCCAAATGCCACGGAAGTCGTCGATTTGAGCGCCCTCGAGAAACCAGTGAGAAACGCGCCATTCAACCCAGCGCTCGGGACCGGTTCTGGTACCCTCGCCGAAGAACTTGGCCTCGGTCTCGAGAAGAAACAGGCCGTGCTCCTGTGCGACATCCCAGACAGCCTTTCTGCTGCCGTAGTAGCTCTGAGCCAGGGTTGCCGTCATGCGGTAAAAGAAGAAGGAGATGGCCCAGTAGAACATTTCGATGAGGAAGGGGAACTTTTGCAGAATTCTCGAGTGAACATGTCTCGCAAAACGGCTCGAGTTCGGGGTCTTGACGCGATAGCATCCAAAGATGGTACGGTATTTGGGCGGGAAAGGATCGGTCCGGATAGGATCGTAGGACTCGTCGGAGATGCGGGGTGAGTCCCCTCTCTCTTCAAATAGAGGTTCGTATGTCGCGTTTCCGCGGCGGAGGATCGAATAGTTCTTCCTCCGACTGACGTACAAGCCGATGAGCATGATGGATACAATCAGCTGGTGCTGGTGGTTAGCCTTGAGGATTCATATGACGTGAAGCTGCGGCTGCGGTGGTCTGGCAGCGAAATGGCCGTGATCCTTACGATTGGTTCTACCCAGTCCGGAGTTCTCCATGTGTGTACTGCCTTCCAGCCGCCTTCGGGAGTGCCATACGGCAATTTTCCGCTAGGAGGCTTCACGTCGGCCATGATGTCTGAGTTGCGTGGGGTTCCAAGAGTGTTATGGGAGTGTGGATTCCGTTCCTCTTAGAATGTTGTGTGCTCGTCCTGTAGTGGTTTGAACCGGCAAAGGACAGCCCTCGGGAATCAGATCGGGTGGTTCTTGAAGTCGGAAAGTCTAATCGCTCGAAACAACAAGCACATTCAATGCAATCGGGACGTCGTGTGGCTGGTCGTGATGATGTCGTCGTCGTGCGTAGTGAAATGCTCGTTGCCTGTTTCGTGGCTAGACTTGTTGGTGGCCGTGTATCTTCCTTCCGTCGAGAGGATGGTGAATCTCGATGCCGACTTCTGGTGTAACAGCGTCAGACAGCGAGTGGTAGACAGACACTGATCATGCGACCGACTCGTAGAAGAAAGGGGGATAGGAAGGAAAACAAGATGTTGAAGAAAGGGGACAAGAAGCGGCCGACGGGGGGTGCAAGCAGCGACTCACGAGCGGCGTAGTAAGAGGCGGGCTCCGCCGTTCATTTAAACGGATGGACCATTTTTTCGGTAGGAGTTGACGGTAGGCTGGCTGAGCGAAACACACAGCAAAGCCAAGCAAAGCAAGAAAGGGCGGATTTGGCTCGCGGGCAACGCGCAGTTGTCCAGTGAGTAGCAAGAAGGTGGGAACACACGGCAACAGTGGGTGCGATGCCAAGACTTTTGGGTTTCTCATCTTTTGCGCTGCATCCCTGCTGCTTTGCGTTGCGGGTACATCATACAAGTACGTACTCCATACATGCAATTCGTACCTGCCCCATACCTTAGTATAGTACCTTACCTAAGGCACTTCGGTAGCCTGTAGGAGAAGAAGAGCCTGGGCATGTGCAAATCAGGCAATTGTTCATGTCGCTCCTTGCTTCGCTTGGCCCGGGGTGGCTCTTGGCTCTTTCCTGCAGAGGCTCAGACTCGCGTGCAGCTACCTACCTCAATTTGCACCTGCTGCGTGTGCTGCTTGGGTACGTCCACACAATCCGTCCCCTCCAAGATGGAACGGAGTGCTGTTTTGGGAAGGTTATCGTGTGTGGATGAAGGTACGGGGCAGGTGCAAATCTCGGGTTTCTGCTCACCGTTCCTCGGGCCCTTCCCCATCATCATAAACTCTCGCAGCCTCAAACCTGCCTTCCTGACTGACAGGTTCCTTGGATTCCCTCTAGATATGACGGTACCTACCTTACCGTTGCGGCGGGACGCTCAACTCTGTCTGGACCTTCCCTCGCAATCCCTAGAATTGCAGTCGTTCATTTTGGATGATTGGAAGTTTTGAGATCTACAATACCTAAGGTACTACATGGCATGGTAAGTATAGCTGAGGAAAGTGCCATGATTCAGAGCAGGTACGAGATAAGGTACTCTCGTACCTCCTCTTTCCCATTGCGCCTGGTGGCCTGGGGGCCACGCGTCTTGGCGCCTTCCATGACCATCGCTCCATCCTCCACCCCCTGCCCAGTGCCCGCCCACTCCTTCCTTCACGGCGAACTGCGTAGCCCTTGCACAGCACAGCCATCATTCGTCAAGCCTCCTCCCGTCCTCCCGTACAGACAATTGTTGATGACGGAGTGCCCATACGCGGTATACGTACGGGGTAGGTACGTGCCTTACTCTGTACGGTAATTGCATCCTGCCCAGCTTTCCGGCATTCTCATCCTCTTCCGTTCTGCCAGCTCTACAGAGTAACATTTTACTCACCTTACTCACCAGTCACCGCATCATCACTTCGGCACGTCAACGGATGACTGACTTTGTTTGGTCCGATGTTGCTGCTGCTGCCCTCATTCGCAATTACTCACGTACCCAACCTTGGTCCTTGCCAGCTCTCGAATGCCCTCGACCGACCCTAGACCACAGCTCACCATCTCATCCGGACCAAGAACCATCATCACCACCTAGGAACGCACTCAGCAGGACCTTCAGACTCCAGCGTTGCCTCGCTGTCATGTGTCACTGTCGTCGTTGAAAGACGGTCAACAGAGTTCTGGCGACCAGTTGCTGTCCCTCTGCCTCGCTCTAGCCCCAGACGCCAGCCACAACCTTGTTGCCCATCTGCCGTCATCCTCTCCAATCATCAAGCATCCCCGGCACCCATCTCTCGAAAGGATTAGCCACTGTAGGTAGCTAGGCTGAAAAGCTCTGCAGGCACACTCTGGCTTCAGCATGCCTTTCTGTGCGCCACAAGAAACCCATCTCACTTGGTTTCACAAGTAGTCAAGCACATCGCACCAATTTGCGAAACCCTTGTCAGATGAGCGACGCTATCTGTCCTGCTTTTTGTTTTCTTTTTGCTCCGAATCCCGACAGCGGCTACTTTAGCTCCAGCGGAATGAAGAAAGAGCAGGGAAAAAGTGGTCGTCCGTCGGACAACGAGCATCGCCAGCCGAAGAGGAACCGTCAAGCCCCGTAACGCTATTCGCATGCTAGCTGTCTTGGCACGCCCGGTTGTCTAAGGCTCCAAGCCATTGCAGTCTTTGCAAACCAGATGGAATGTTACTTCTGACAGCATCCCGCGCGCCTCGCTTCTCTTGTCGTTCTACGAAATACAGTTCCAACCTCTCAGCACTTACATAATGGCGGTTGGGTTCCGGGTCCTTCGTTGGCTGGGTTGCATTAGAGGCCCAAACCCAGACTGCAGTCAAGTGGACTATGGAGTACCTACATGAGGTACTGCGTCTCCAAAGTCTCATCCTTTCCAACGATCGAGACAAGCAGGGCGATGCGCCGGTCTTGCTGGCTGCAAGGCCGAGGACACCATTGAACGGATCCTGGGCTGGGGACCGACCAACGGCTTGTTTCCTCAGTCTCATCTGTGATCGCCGGCCCTATTCAAGCTTGAGACAAGTTCTCAGCATGCCACCATTGAATTCCTCACTCGAGCCTGAGTCGGCGACCACCACAATCTGGGATCGGCATAGTCAACTGACAAGCTTAAGCAGTGGCGCTGTGAAGCCTAGGCCTAAGCTAAGCTGTTCGCAACCATCCCCACATGGAACCGGTGGTCAGCACCTTGCCAGCAATGAGAATTTGGCCCGTCACCGTCGTATCGCCTTTCCGTCGACTGATCTAACCATTCACAAGCTCATCTATCCGTATAATTATGGGACTAGAGGAATCGCACGCGACTCCTTGCACCTCTCTTCCTGAATTCGCATCAGCTACAAGGGGTCACACACACACACACACATCAACGCTATCATTCAGCACACTCGCGACAGCCCTCTATCATCCCGACAGGGCTCGATCGACCATCCTCTCATATGGCAGGCTAGCCCAGTGCCAATGTGAACGCCTATTGCCATATTTCATCTTAAGTTATACACCTGACAACATTCGGCACGCAAGGTATGGTGGAAGGCCGCCAGTACCTAGTCAAGGTTTCTGAAAGCAGGAGGAATTGTTTTCACCGGCATCCATCCGTCTTGGCGTTGCAAATTGCTGGCGTTCAGACATGACGGCATATAATGAAACCACCTCACTTTTCTGGATCCAGGAAACACACATGCGACGAATTAAACACTGTTGCCGGACTATCAAATTGACATCGAGACCAGATGAAAAAAAAAAAAAAACACGAACCTATTGCGCTGCCGAGGAACTGTGGTGAATATTTGCAAATTCCTTCTAACCAACAAATCAAGGTCTATTCCATTGGATTGGATCTAGATCCCAGCGCTTTGCATGTCAAGCTTCTTGTCACTCTCGCAATGAGATTGAGATGTCAGCAACCACACCAAACCCACTGGCCAATACCCGTGGGCTCCACTCAGAAGGGACAATACGCGGGAGTAAAGAGCAATCCCTGTCTCTTGAGAAGTCGAGAGCATTCAGGGCAGTTCCCTGGCGACTGGTTAAAGCGGCCTCCGCGGACCATCAGTATCATGGCCGCGCATCTGGTCGGCCGGGTCCTGAGCGGCCTATCCGTACGGATGATGAGGGGATCGTGGATGCAAAAAGCTTGACGCATACAAGGCTACGGCTATGCGTACCGACACGCAATTCTTGCTCATTCTTCCCCCCACACTGTAGATGCCGAATCAGCCCTTGACTCGTGGGGGAGGGGTCTTACGCTTCCGCGATTGACTACCTATTCGTAGAGCACGTTCGACGCTACTTTTCAGAGATGCTGGTTTCGTCCAGCGTTCGGCACAGGTAACCGCTCAATCCCCAAGACTGGAACACCGCAACGGGCAACTCAAGCTGCATCCAAGACTGTTTGGGCTTAGCTTGTTGGTTGAGCTCAGACGTAACTCACTCAATCCTCAATCCCCTAATCTTCAATATGAGCTTGGGGCGTGTCTCCGACATGCCGATGGCCCGGCGAACTTCCAGCCCCGTGCCAGCATCCGCGATTGGACCACCGTAGGGGTTGCTCATGGCATATTTTACTTGACATCGATATTTCATTCAGTCTTGCATTTGTTCCTCGGAGCTCACCTTGATTGATAGGCACGTAGGAACTGTGAGCAGCATTGGCACCTGCGGTTGATTAAGGTTATAATCCCATCATCCCATCGCCATTGAACAAGGCCAGGACCCCGAAGACCTCTCTTTCCGGCAGTAGAGTTTGGATCGAGCTGTACGGGTTTCACAGCCCATCCCGCTGTTCAACTCAACTCTTGGCTGTCACAACTTGGTCGCATGCAACGTGCCAACCTTGGTGTTGAAGGCTCTGCAACACAGAAATTCAAAGAGCATTGCCGGCGGTTTACCTGGGTTGTCCTTACCAGATTCTCGACCATTTCGCACCACGAGCCACCACAAGTACGTCACTAGCACCATTCTAGTCTCCCATCAACCCGCGCACTTGATCTGTGAGATGGCAGTCTTCGTTTCGAGTTGTGCCGGCTACCCATCGCCTGTCGCAGCCGTTGTCGAGGCTTGAGTTTGGGTTTGAAGGGTTCACCCTAGCCGCGCGTCCACCGCCGGAAGAATGGAATCTGCCGCCTCACCCAATCTGTCTAAACACCCACGACACCCAGCACTGTGGCGGAGCACGCTTCTCCGACTGATCGGCTGCGTGGCTGCTTCTTGCCCTTGTCTACAACCAGGCTAAGCTACAATTGCGTGCGGGGGTTTGGGTAGGCAGACTGCACCACATTCCTCCGGTCGGATTGGCCCCGCTCTACACCGTCACCGACCTCCTTCGCCGATGGTACAAGTCGGCGCGGGCTTAGGCGTGGGGCCGATATTGAAGAACGAGGCCGACTCTCAGTAACCCACCCACAGCAAGGATGCTAGCCAAATTTTCACAGACAGCATACACAGTAGGGATGACGATGGTGAGATTGGCTTTTCTCTTTGCTTCGCTAGTTGTCCTATCCTACAGCTGAAGCAAAGCAACGTAGTACCCAGTATCGACACATTCGCTAGACAAACCGCGACCAAAGAACTTGAAGACGGCATCTTGACTATCACTCCTGAATCGTAACACGTGCGAAACCCTAGAAAGGAACATGATTAAATACCATATATGCCGGCCTCATCAACACCACCTCTCGCAAGAGGGTTCGTGGGAAGAAGCGAACAAGGTTCCAAAGAAGAAGAGCGCCTGGATCCATGGAGATTGAAGAGAGTTTTCAACCAAAAATAACAACAAAGCCAGCCGCCCCTCGCCATTTGCACCACCCAGCACCCATCCCATCCATCCATCACCCTTTCCAAAGTCCAACTCAAACACAAATCGTGGGGTTACCAACAGTGTGTAGGTTCGTGCCCCTCCTCGTTTTCCCTAAAGAAGCAAATCAAGCGCCGCTTTCATGTCCCAATCAGTCAATACTGCGTCAAGTAGATTTGGTGGGATGGTTGGTTAAATTGAATTTTCCGAGAAAAAGACGATGATAATGATGATGATGTTGCACATCAGGAATAAATTTGTTTTGTATACCGCCCATGCTTTATCTGCTTTGCGCTTTCTTCACTCAAAAATAGAATTGCTGCTGGGGCTGGCCCGGCGGCGGTTGGGCGACGAAATCAAAGTTCATGGTGTCGACGCCGCTGTTCCAGGGGTCGGGCGATTCTAGGGAACGGTCAGTCTGGTAACTCTCAATCGGCGACAGATTCGTGAACACTACTTACCCCACCAGATTGATTCGTAGAGATCCATTGGGGACATGTATGTTGACGGGTCTAGGTTGGCAATGTTATCCATGCTGACGGGTGGATATCCCATGCTGTGACTTGTTAGCAACATCCGAGAAAAGAGAGGACCGGAAAAGGGAGATTCAGAGATAACGTACTTTGGTGTGTACTCCGTCATTGCTGTACCATTCTGCATCTCGGCCATGGCGAGAGCCGCGTCCTGGTGGGGGTCCATGCCAAACGGCTTCCCGTCATTGTTCCCGTTGACGTTATTACCCATCGGGCCCATGAGCATCGGCGGCAGCGGCGTCCTCGCCCCGCTTCCAGTGCCGCTGGAGTCAGTCCCCTTCATCTGCGATGTGCCCATGATGGTGCCATGTTCGTAAATGTTACGCAGTGCCGTCAGCGCTCTCCATAATGGTCCAGACAGCTCGATGTCCTTGTCCGTCTTGGGGATGTGAGCCGTGGGCGAGGTAGCCTCCTTCGCGGCCGTCGCGGACAGCGCGGCGATGAGGTCGCCCTGCAGCTGACGGACCTCGGGACTATTCTTCGTCTCACCCAGGATGCCGAGGAGCAGTGCGGACGAGAGACCGTGATACGTAAACGCCCAGCTGCGCGTGGGAATGACGGAGAGCTGGTGCATGGCGAGGAACATGCGGACTGTCTCGGCGAGGTTATGCTGGCACTTGTCCGAGAGATGACGCTTCTGCTCGGGGGTGAGCTTGGTGCAATCGCGGCGGAGGGCGGGGCGGCAGCAGACGGAGATGACGAATGAAGTGTGCAGGCGGACGGCGTAGTGCTGCAGGCGGTCGATGGCGCGTTTGCACTGTTCCTTGATGCGAATGTTGGGGGCGACGTTGTTGCGGAGGTTTTCAACAGCCTCGCAGTTTTCAACCATTTGCTCGTAGCTTACTGTCGTTGCCACGTCTGGGTTCAAACGCCGCGAGATGATTTCGCAGAGGTGATACATTGTGTCCAAGTAGCCGTATTCGCCGGCAATGGTGGTTGCTACTGTCGGAATCGGGCAGCAGGGGATGTTTGTCATGGGAGGACTATATTCATTAGAGTGTGTCTGATTATACGACCCTCGCAGAGTTGCTGTTCTTACCGATCAAAGGATAGTGATGTGAGGGTATCGTGCCACACGCACGTCCACCACAGCTTCCGGCGGATCATCTCCTTGGACTGTCCGTCATTCCGGGCACTGTCCCGTCCGTCAGAGGGATTCGGCCGGTGCAGGCCGAGAGACTGGGCCAGTCTGCAGGTCAGACCGAGCAGGGCCCACGAGGCTTCGGCCTTCATGTCGTTGAGGAGGACGAAGCTGGTGAGCAAGAGAGCTTGGATGGAATCGAATGTGGGTCTTGAAGCCGGTGTGGGGTCTCGGGTCAGTGGATGTTTTTTGTTTACATTTCACGGTCATTGTCCGAATAGCCGGATGGGGCCCATTCTCTATGAGATAAGGGGGTGAAAAGGGAGGAAAAGGAGGATGACTAACCGTAGTAAAAAGTTGCCGAGCCGCAAGAAATGGAACGATATTTGTATGTACTTTTGGGAGTCCCGCGTGCGGATATGATACGGCGAGTCGTGGTATTGCGACCCGACGGCCAGCAATGCAAAAAGAATGGCGAGCCATGAAGCGGATACGGGTTTCGGCGTGCGTGCGGCGTTGCTCGCGTTGCGGGCGCGGTCTTCGAGGTAGACCATGAGCTTAGACTCGAGGTCATCAATATCGACGACGAAGCCCCAGAATTGTTGGGGAGTCTCTTTGTATGTGCGGAACAGCCTTCATTTTGTTAGTCCTCCTACTGTCCCTCGTGAAGTGAAGAGACACCTACTTCATGACTTCCCGATCCGAGGGCAGCTCCGCCGAAATCTCCCTCGTCAGACTATCGAGATGTTTTGATGACATGAGCGGGAAGGGCGCAGAGGTATCGAGTCCGAGAATGGACCTCATGTCCTGCCGTATATCGACGCCCTCTTGCAGATCGTTGGCGCCGGACTGCTCCCTCAACAGGGAGGGGATACTATTTTGGCCGAGATACCGCGTGACGGCCTCGGGGGCCTCGGTTTCGTCCACCACGCCTGCAGCTACTGGTCCCCGGGGGAGCTTATCAGTATACAACCCGTTGTTGTTTCCCATGAACGACGACGACGATGCTGCAGAAGCAAAAGGTCTCAAACCAGAATGGATATGCTGGTCTTGCGGCAGTGAAGACGACAATGATGACTTACCGATGGCCGCGCGTGGCCAGGTCGCGCTGCCGGGTTCCTGCTTTAAGGGAGGTTGGCCCGCGGCGATGTCTGCGGCAGGATCTTCAGGCGAGTGCGGTCTTTTGCGATTGAGCACTGATGAAGCCGTGCCGTTGCCTGCTGTAGTCGGCGCCGTTGTGGAGGTGGCACCATTACCGCCGGCATTGCTATTGCCGCCCTCTGTTGTGACGGAGCCGGCGGCCTTGTGGTTTGTACCGTGAGAGGCTGTGCGATTTGGCTTGTAGGAGCATAGTTGTGGGTGTTCTCGCTTAACGCAGTTTTCGCATGGTTGTTTGTTGTCGCACTTTACCTTGCGTTGGCGACATGGCCAGCAAGCGGTGCCTTTGGAGGAGTCAGTACGAGTCAACAGATGATGAGATGAGTGATTTATGATATGGGGGTGAGATGAAGATGAGAGGATGTGAAGATCAAGTCATCTAATCTCTGTTGCCTAAAGAATATGGGATGAAATGAGATGAGGGTTGTTGAGCAGACGGCATATGTTTGTCCGTTCACAGGTGGCAAGGAGAATAAGTCTCTCATGAATGGATCAGTCTCACTCACCATATCTGACCTTGCGGTGAGAGTGGATGATGCGGTTGGCCTCCTCGGGGGTGAGATCATCGATGGAGGCCTGGTCCGGGGTTGGGGTGGTTTGCGACTCGGTCATGATGGCGACGGGCTTTGCATCAGACCCGGGTGTCGTCGGCGGCGTGGGCGGCGGAAGTGAAGATGGTGGTGGAGGACGTCACGGATACGGTGGCAGCTACAGATGCAGCTCGTTGTTTACCGCTTTGAGAGTCTGACAGACCGTGGTGACGATATCTGCTTTCTCCGGACCTCTGTATGGGACAGGCACAGAAAGGCGGGAACTCCCCCTTTCGAAGCCCGTCCGCCGGGTTGGAAAGATTTACAGTTCACGGAAGTGACGGGGGGCCAGCCGGGCGGCCGATCGGAGGCGATGAGCGCGTGCGGCGTGGAGAGTTGCGTGCAGGCGGCGGGCTCTTCACTCGGGAGTTGCAATTTCCTGGGGCAAGGCGAAAACGTCGTTCGGCGTACGGTCCTGGCGTGTGTGGTCGGGTGTCTCTGTGTCTCTGATTCGGGATGCCGGTGTTGGTGGCCGGAGGCGGGTAATGGATGTGGGAAAGACAATTCGGGATTTGAGAGGTCCCAGTTGCGGCGGCTAGATGTACCTCCTTAGGTAAGGCAAGGCAAGGCAATGATGCGTGCTTCTGGATTGGTCTTCTTCTCCCTTCCTTTTTTTCTCTGCCACCCGGTTGCGCGTTACCGGCCGTTGAGAAGAGGAAACGAGAAACGAGAAAATGGAGCTTGTGCTGTTTGCGGTTCAGAGCCTGGCCAGGCTGGCTGGTGTGTGGTTCCAATGGTTCCAATGCGGCTCCGTTGTTGGCGAAAGAGGAGTCCCTTCTTTTTTTTGCCCTTGAAGAGGGGGGGCGTTTGGAGGTTGGGGATTGGAGGAGACGAGGAGCAGATGAGGGGACCAGCAAAAGAAGCTACAGCCTAGGTGAAGACTGAATGCCGAGATCCCGAAGCGACGGCGAGATGGGCGTTTGCGAATCGCAGATGGGTTCGCAGCACTGAACAGTAGCAGCAGAGACGATGACAGCTGCAAGGTAACGCAGTGCGCGCCATGCAATCGGGCGAGACACGACGCACCGGGAATGAAGGATTTCTCCAGGAGTGTTGAGTATCCAAAAGACGGAAAAGGAAAGAAGAGAAGGGAGAGAGAGAAGATGTCAATGGAACACACTGGATACAGGACCGGACAGGACAAGGAGGCGCAACGAAAGAGACGGGAAGCAGCGGGGTCAGTCAAGCTGAGAGGCGTTGGTCCAATGTCTGTGTTTCTTCAACTCCTTCCTCCAGTTGGCTGCCGCGCTGCCCCTTCCCCTCCGGCTGCGTGGGACCCTTGGAATTTCCATCCATTGCTTAGCTAAGTCTACTTGATGAGTAAGACTGGACCAAAAAATAGAAGGAATTCCGCAGTGGAAACGCTACGGGTGGCCCTGCCTTCCAGCCTTTCTGACTGCTCACTGATCGCTCTGAGGCCAGGGCAGCTTCGGATCACCCACGCTAAAGCCAGACCAGGTATAACTCAGCTTCACTCTTGCTCAACTGCCAAGGCCCACTCGTGACTTACCCCACTTTTGAGTCCTCGACACCTTCCAGACTCTCGTTTCTGCCTTCCTTCCTTCGCTGTCACTCCATCACCAGACCAACTACCGGTACCCTTTGCTTACATAAAAGAGCGCGGCGCAGCTCGATTTGATCGGTGATAAACACCGCAGCACGGGCACGGTGTACCTACCTTATGCTTCCACCTCAGAGTCTCCCGACGGGAGTCTGTCGTCACCTGGGCGGGGCTACAGGTGACCATCGGTGAACGTGAACGCTTTTCGGTGTGAGTCAAGTTAAGCATTTCGCTGTAGATCTAGATTCAGACCGACACCCTTTCTTCGCCCCCTGAAGCCCTAGATCGACAACATCGTAAAGCCCCTACGAGCAGATTGATATCAACCATTGACAGTCGAAATTGTCAAAATGTCTCTGCCCTCACGTCATGTTGTTATCTGACCTGCAAGGGCATATCGTCTTCCGTGAGCCGAATTGTGGTCCATGTTGCGTCACTACATGCTGCTGCTTGAGTCAGTCACATCTTCATCCCTGATTGAGTTCCGTGATCCGAATGGATACAATAGCCATAAACAACGTGATTGCGAAAGAGGTTTTCTAATCGTGGCCTGCTGAACAATAGGACCAGCTAGTTGGTTGGCTCAGAGGAAAACACTATCTCTCAGCAAGCACGGGAAAATCTTCAGCCCATGAGACTAGACATGATTGATTAAAAACTACTTGGGTACTATTAAAGTCGCCGCATCCGCACTACAAATCGACTGCAAACGTTATGCTATCTACAGCGATGCACTCAGGGGCAGGTCTCTTGATGAGCTTCCAACCCACACCTTCTTCGGGTACTCGCTGATGACCCAGTTTTGGCTCGCTGTGTCCCAGTTGCTGAGGTCACGTCTGGTAATCTCCGCCTTGAACGTCGCCGACGCGCCCACCTCAATAGGGATGCGCTCAAACCCACGGAGCACCTTGACGGGATCCTCTGGCCCGCCGAGCGAGACGTAGAGCTGAGCAACCTCGTCACCAGCAACCTTGCCCGTGTTGGTCACCGTAGCAGTCACCGTGTAGAGGACATCCCAAAGCTGCGGGTTGCCGCCAGGGGCTCCGGATGCGGGGTGCTTGGGCTGAGGAGTGCTCGCAACAGCGTTGGGAGGAAGGAATTCCTCGGCAGTCTTGCCGTAGGTTGGGTCGTTGGCAGACTCTTTAACATCCGACGTGTTCAGGTAGGGGTAGATGAAGTTGTAGATATACCGGAACTCATTGCTGGGGAAGACGTACTCGGCCGGGTCAGTGCTGTAGTTGCCGAATGTGGGTGCTGCCGCCGTCTCCCCAGTCGTCGGGGAATACGCGCCGGCATTGCCCTTGGTCACGGCCAAGTTGGAGTACTCAAAGGTGGTGTATGAGAGACCAAATCCGAAGGGGTAGATGGGTGCAACGTCGGAGCTGTTGGATCCAGCAGTAGCACGGTCAAAGTGGCGGTAGTCAATGAAGACGCCCTCAGTGAAGTCGTCTTGGGGCGCTGCCTCGCCATTGTTGGGCTCGTACAAAACATCGGCACCGTAGCTCTCGCGGTTGGGGCCCCATGTGAAAGGAGACTTGCCTCCCGGGTTAACGTTTCCGTAGAGGACGTCAGCAATGGAGTTACCGGACTCTTGCCCCGGAAGGCCGGCCCAAACAATAGCGGTGATGTTGGGGTTGTTGACCATGTCAGTCAACAGAACTGGGCCGATGGAGTGAATCACAACAATGGTGTTGTTGTTGATCGCCGACACATTCTTGACAAGCTCATCTCCGGCGTTCCAAAGCGTCAGGTTCTGGCGGTCGCCCTCGTTACCTCCTACGTTGATGAAACCTTCACCACCGTTGGCATTGACAAACACGATTGCCGTGGCATCTGCCTGGGAAACCAAAGCCGTGGTAGCCGCAGTGTCGTAATTGCTCAAAATGCTTTCGTAACGAGTACCATCGGCAACAGCACGGGCAGACAATCCCTGGTCAGGGGTGACCAAGTAAGGGTACTCTGCCGTTCCTGATCCCCATGCAGCACCCAGAGTGCCGTCATTGCAGCCTCGGTTGTCGCATCCGTTGGGCCCTTTGAGGTTGGGTCCAGCATCCTCTCCAATGACTGCCAAGAACTTGGGCTTGTTGAGCGGCAAGGCGCCATTGTTCTTCAACAAAACAGTGGCCTTGGCGGCAATCTCACGAATCAGGTTGGCGTGGTCTCTGCCCTTACGAACATCAACGTGCTGGTTGATGACCTGGGTGTTTTCCTTGGCGTAGTATTGAACAGGTCCGACAGTGTCCTTTGTCCATGAGGAGAAGGTGAGTTCCGGAACTGACTCCACCTCAAAGCCGACCTTGAAAAAGGCAGCCATGATACGCAGAGCCATGTCGTCGAGGCGATACTCGGGAACGGTGCCGTTGAGGACAGCAACGGTCAAGTTGGTTCCCCAGAATGTAGTTCCGGTATTGAAGAGAACGTCACCCGGCATGGCCATGTCGAGGCCTGCAACAGCGGTAGCAGCACCGGCCTATTCCAGAGTCAGCTTGGCAATTCTACACGAGCTGGGAGAGAGAGGCGAATAAAGTCAAATCTTTCTTCAACTATCGAGGGGATACGCACGTGTTGAGCTTGCCTGGAGTCATGTTAGCCATTGTCCCTCTACATATCCAGAGCAATACCGGAAACCACTCACCAATCAGACATGATGAATCCTTGAAAGCCGAGCTCTTCCTTGAGAAGTCCGTTGAGAAGCTTCGAGTTCTGGCAACCGTACGAGTTGTTGACTTGGTTGTACGAGCACATGATGGAACCAACGCCGGCGCGGATGGCATCGGCAAATGGCCACATGTAGAGCTCGTGCATAGTCTTATCATCAATATTGGACGAGATGGACTCGGTAATGTTGTATCCGTAGCCAATAGCTTCCGGAGCTTGTCTGAAGTGTTCCTGCTCGTTGCCAACGAAATGCTTGGCGCAAGCAATTGCGTGCTGCTGGATACCCTTAACCGACTCGGCCATGGCGATACCTGTGAGGTAAGGGTCCACGGAGAAGCCCTCCCAGTTGCGGCCTCCAGTCGGTGCACGACCAATGGGTCCGGCAACGGGGGCGAGGACAACGTCAATACCCTTGGAGCGGTGTTCGAAACCGATGGCCTCGGCTCTGCGGTAGATCAAGCTTCGGTCCCAGGTCGCGGCGACAGTCTGGCCAGAGGGGAAAACGGAGTTATAGTCGGTGAAACGAATGCCAACGGGGCCATCTTGCATGCAAAGACCACGAAGGCCGAGGCGGGGAACAGAACCGACGTTTCCAACACAAACGTCTCCTTGCCATCTGTAGTCGTGTTAGCCATTTTCGGTTGAAAAGAAGACGGGACACGTACCCGACTCCAGTGGTCAAGTTGACCTTCTCGAGAAGAGTCAATTGGGAGACAAAGTCCTTGGCTTTGGCATAGGCATCAGCCCAGCCGTCGGCACTGGGGTCCATCCATGGTGATGGGTAGACTGGAGGCGAGTGTGCGAGATCGCGCTGTGGACATTGTAAGTCTCGTGGGCATTCTAAGAGCTGTGATAGACCGAGAGCGGAACTAAGAGAGCGAAGGAAACGCATGATTGCGATTACAAGATGGCCAATGGGGCGCACAGCTGTTTAGAATGATGATACGGAAGACCACGAATTGCAGGTTGGATAGCGAGATCAAGAAGACAAGCCTCATAAGCAGCAAGACGCCTTCCATCAAGCTAGATTCCACGAAGACATGGCTCCTGCATACCGATCCTTCTTTTCCAGGACAAATTCATGCTCCGGTCAAGCTGAAAGGTGGTTTCACAAAAATACGAGATCGATGATGAACCGCAGCGGCAGCAGCTTACCTTGTGTAGCTTTCCTTCAGGCGCCACAGCAGCAGCGACCTGATCAGCCGCCGCCAGAAGGGCGACGACGAGAATTTTTGTTCTCATTGTGAATCCCTGCCTTTGCTGGGCGTGTTGTGTATCGGGGGAGGACAGAGGCGACGGTGTAAGGAGGTCCTAGTCGAAGTGAATCGGTGACCCGGCGTTCAATGGCACTGGACACAAGGTGTGAGCACTCGAGTAGCCACTGGTAGTACGGCTCGTTGTAGTGTCGGTGAATGTGAAGCTCTAGTCTCGTGGAAGGAGAGCACAGAACCTTGACCGAGAGGTTGGATGAAGGCGGGCGCGGCTGCTACTTTAATGTCGACAGAGGAGCTGGGATGATCGTCCAGGGTAGCTCCTCCAGGAAACAAGCTCGAACTCTTTCTCTCGGCCTCTAGGGTAGTATCCGTAGGCAGAGAAGGTGCCGGGGGCAAGGTGCTGGGCCCGCAGAGACGGCGGTGTTGATCTGGGCTGGACCTGATGATGCAACAAGGTTTCCCTGCTTACAAGCTGTGGTGAAATGGGACCAACTTGTGGGCATATGCAGCACGCTGGACGGATGCTACCCCACCACACCACAGATGAATTCTGGGGAGGGTCGTGAAGTATCCCACCGCCTCTGACTAACACGCGTGTACTTTAGGTTGTCTTGGAAATGGTGCCGTACACTGCGGGGAGGGCAAGACTCGGTTGGATGCGGAGAAGACGACGATGTATGGCGAAGACAAAGACGAGGACAACGCCAGCGTGCAGGAGGAAGGTCATATGAGTTGGAGATGGAGGGCGGCCTGTAGCTCAGACTGGGTCGAGTTGCGCTCGAGGCAGGCTCTAATTCGACTTTGAAAGGGGCGCTCAAGGAGTCAGGGGCTCGAGGGGAGCTTGCGTTCGAGACATTGGAGAGAGGGAGCCAAAGTCCGGGGCAAACGCCGTCCCGAAACTGGGGAGAGGCGAGCGGCGTGAATGGCACCTATCCGCAGAGGTGTATGTAATGGTTGGGTTCGCTGAGCCACTAGGAGCAGGGTGCAGTAATAGTATCCGTACGTCATGTCGAAAAAGGGCCGATCAGCAAGTGCGATGACGGACAGGGCGAGACCAGGAATGGCCGGACAGGAGAGATGACGGGACTCGGGCCCTCGGGTGAGATAAGTAGAGACTGGAGAGTCATTGGGTCTCGGGAAGAGGCACCGAGTGTCTCTAGAAGCTGGGTATGGCGTATCTGATGTGAGTAATTCGATGTTGTCGGAAAATGGACGAACGAGATCTTTGACGCTTGGTGAATTCGAGCTTGCCCTCGCCAATGTTGTGTTTTGACACTAGAATGTTGGCAGAGAATGCAAAGACGGGAGGAGAGAAAGTCCAAGCTAACGGACCGGGGAATAAGAGACTGGCTCTGGGGTACGTATCGATGTGGTTCAGTAAACAAATCGGAACGGGTGGGGAAGCGGGGCCCCTCCTCTTTGCCCCAGAGCGAGAGGGAAACAACGCTCCACGGAGTGAGTCGTGACTGCCTCCCACGAAGTACAAAGCCTCAATCATTTGGAGATTGGAAAGAAGCGATGGGAGGAAATTGCCTTGGACGGCAGAAACGGCAGGAATCGGTCAACGACCGGGAGGAAACATGTCGATACGCGGGGCATGCCATCGTGGCTGCATGTATTCCGGCAGTACTCCCTACCATTCGCATGCTCCTTCCAACGCTAACGAGTTCCTGGTCTAGAGGCGGTTCCCGGTCGTGGTGGCGTTGCGCCAACCCACGCCTTCCCGCCGTTGGCAATTTAGAGAGGCGTCCTATTTCTTTCGTCTGCTTTCAGAAAGAGACGTTTCTTTCCATTCATGACGGCTTCGATGGAACTTGGACGCCACCAATTGGTCGACGTTTTGCCAAACTGGTTCCCACCGTCTGCAGCAGCGTTACATCCGTGGTTGACCCGGGCGAATTTCTCCAAGCCTCAAGGTTCTCTCTTTCTCCCGTTTCTCTCTCCTTTTCCCGGTTGGTACATACTGCATACTTGATGGAAATGGTATGCGCATGATGAGCAGGATTTTGAGTGCCTTGGGCTGCAGATCGGAATAAACACTCTCCACACCACGCTCGGCATTTTATTCGCTTGGCACGCGTCTTTGTCATTCCGTCTGAGCTATTGACAGAGAGTGCAATAAACAAATTTTTACGCAGTAAATAAGGAAAATGCAACGTCCCGGGATGGAGGCTCCAAGACATAAACTCAAAAACATGCCGGTGCCTGAATCATTGGCACTTTTTAGAGGTAGAGGGACGGAGGCGCAGACGCACTTTTGCAAGTACCTACAGGCTACTTTGTACGGAGCATCCGTCTCATCTACGGATGTTAAACCGGATGCTAAACCTATGCTTAAACTTGTACTTTTCCCGTCATCCCAATTCTCTCGCCGTTGCATGAAAACCATAATCTCCCTTCCTCGCACTGATCATTGATGATGAGAAATTCAGCTCGTCCAACGTCCAACACGGCGACTTACATGACGCCACGCCAAACCAACCAACCTCTACAGTCTACACCGCACACCGCAGTGAGGTACTTTGCATGCTGGGCATCGGCGACAACGCATCCCCCGCCTCTCGGCTCTTCCTCACCCACACACTTTTTCTTCTCCATCTTCAGTCTCCAGTTTGCCTCCCCCCTCATCTCCCCCGCATTTCGAACCCAGCCAATCCACTCGGCCCTCTGCTACCCCTCACCCCAAATACTGTCCCCATCTCCAGACTCCATCATCCATCGTCCCCGCGGAATACCGGGTACTTTCATACCCATCACCCATCATGAATCAAGCTTGAATGTACGGAGTACTCGCTACTGTGCGCATCGAATGTTCACAGTGAAAGAGGCCGCCAAGGAGCGGGGTCCCGAGTCCTTTCGGCCCGTTTACTATGTACTTTATTGGAGAAGCTTCATCGCTGTAGCGGCCAACTTCGGCTCTCGCGATGGAAGCTCACGAACAGAAGGAAGAAAAGTTCGCGTGGATTGCATGCCCTGCCCTTACGGTCAATCACCATCAGAGTCGGAGTTCCGATCTGACGTACTCGTGCAGCTCGCAGCTCGCAGTAAAGCACGTAACGTTCCTCGTACCCAAGCAGGCGGACAACCGTCTAATTCGACGCTTCATCTGTCCAGTCTGCCTCTCGAGGTTACCGGCGTGCCTACTATTGGACAAAGACTCACAAAATGCATAGCGGGGGGGTTCGGTGAGAAGTAAGCAGCAAAAGGCAAAAAGAAGCTTATGATGACTAGACGACCTGTCTAGTTCCACAATCACGCCCGATTAAAAGTCACTTACGCACCCGAATTCCTTCGCCTTGGCTTCAGAAGATAGCGCTGAAGATCCCAGCCATGAACGCCACATGCCCGACTGATTATTCAACGCCCTTAGCCGGGCGAGCCAGAGCCGACTACTAAGCAGAAGCTCCAGGTAAACCCACGATCCAGGTGATCCGCAATATCCACCAGCTTCACGACCCAACAAACGGGCCGAAGTGGTACCCATCCGTATGCGTCTCTGGGCCTGCTTTCCGGAGCCGTCTCCTGATCTCTCAGGGTCTCAGTAGACACCAGGAAGGATTCTCCACCGGACAATCTTCTTGTACTTCTCCCAGTCCTCGCCGTACTTGCGAGAACACTTCTCGTCATCGCGGCGGTCGCGGTGGATCAGTAAGACGGCAAAGTAAACAATGTAAAAGTAGGTGATGGGAGTCGCCATGCCACGAGCCGCGCCCTGGATAACCTCACGACCATCAGCCATCTTAAAAGCTCCCTCGAGTCCGGCTTGGGCATATCCGGTGCCTGCCGAGACAATGGTGTATCCTGCCATACCCGTGGGCAAGCAGTACGGCCACGCCTGAAGCCAGTCGCCAAGGTAGTTGATGTGACGAGCGACGCCCCACCAGCCCGAAACGAGGAGGCGGCTTCCGGTCTTGGTCTCGATGTACTTAAGGTGGGCAACGCTTGAGTCGTCGGGGTTGCTACGGAAGGCATTCTTCTGGCTGTTGGATAGACGGAAGATGGAGAAGGCAACGCCGATGAGTCCCACGATACCGGCCATGCCCAAGGGGCTCATCGAGACGGGGTACACGGCCAGGTAACGAGTCTGCAGGGAGTAGACAAACGGAACCCAGACGAGGTCGCCAAAGGAGAGCATGAAGCCGAAGCCGTCCGTGGTGATGTCAATCGTCGTCAGGATCGCGGGCTCATTCCACCAGCAGTCAATGACGTACGCAAGCTGGACGGCAGAGACGAAGACGCTGCTGTTGGTGACGAAGCCATAGGTGCGGTGCTGTCTGGCCATCCACGCAAAGTTCATCAAGGACCAGCCCAACAGACCGGGTCGGATCTCCAGCCACTCCTTGATGTCTATTTCGCCTAGGAGAGGGATGGTAACGCGGGGGTTGAGCTCGCGCCCAATGTACCAGTCGTAGATGAGGTTGCCAGAGTGTCCACCGGCAGCCAACTCGCGGAGCTCTTTGTTACCCTGCTTGACGCTGAAGCTTCGCACGTACACAAAAGTCGCAATACCATAGGCAATAAGCATGTTGGCTGTAACGACTTGGATGTAATTGTCGGTGATAAAGGTCCAGAGAGGGAACTCGGCGCCCTGTGCAATGGTGCCGGCGAGGCAGACGGTCAGGATAAACATGCTAGAAGCAAAGGCTGTATCTGTTAGTGAAAGCCCCTCTCTCTCTCTTTGGGTTCGCACAGCTTACAGTTGCATCGGTACTTGAGGCGGCCACCAGAGGCGAGCTCGACGCCATCAACCTCGGTCGCGGGAAGAATACGGTAGAGGAGCGCGTTGAAGAGGTAGTATCCCAAGACGGCAGCAGTGACCTTGTTGTCTGCGAGGCCCCAGATGCCCTCCTCGGGCCATCCAACTTCGCGTTTGAGTTGGTCGAGCTTGAGGGTCGAGGGGCTCAGAAGGGAAGGAGCAGGGCAGCCCGACACGTCGTTGCAGCTGAAGGTGAAGAGGTAGACGAGGATCGGGAGACCGAAAGAGATGCCAAAGGCGCCGATACTGTTTTGCCGCGTATTAGCTAGGTTTTCGTACAATCATACTCTAGAATACTCACGGCCCTCCGAACTCATAGCCATGCGGCTTTTGGACCGCGTCCTTCTCTACTTTGGACGCCATGTTGACCGTTCCCTCAGAGCAAGTGCTGTCGAGTCTGGGTGATGGGATGGAAAAGGAGAACAAGCTCGTGTTGAGCTTCGCGAGTATGGTCCGTGGTTTTTGGCGAAGAGGTTTTTGTAGATGAAGAGGAAAATGTGAATATTTGTATGCCCCACCAACCCGATGTGGAAATACGAATGCGACAGTGACAGCAGCTTCAGAGCTCAGTATCGACCCCAGTATCTGTTGATCGCCAGGTGGGCTGTGGAGGACTCTTTTCGCCGGAGCTCTGGTGTTCCGGGTGACCTCATGGAGCTCAATTCGATGACGCTAATAAAGAGTTGAGCCGTCTCATTGGGCTATACGAAGGGGTGGGGCCACGAAACGGTTTACGCTGTACGATGGAGCACCAGTCTCGTCCCGTCGTAGCTTCCCCGGAGGAATGGTTCCACCGAGGAAGGCGGCGTCCGGGGGGACGTTCCCAAGCATCGGACGATATCAAAGCTACACGGTCCGAAGGTTAGGACTGGAAGAAGCTTTAATTGCGTGTGCATCTACACTGCCCCCTTCGGACAACACGAATGTGTATAAGTTCAATTAAGTGGTGGTGTAGGTAGTAAACCGGTGAGAGGAATCCCTCCCGTCTTACACCTGCAAGGAACATTTATGGCACTGGTCCAGCTGGACGTATCAGAAACGGGCGGGTCCTGTTACCTAGGTACGGTACGGGCGGGTCGGCAATCGCAGGACCGCTTTTATCTGACACGCTGACTAAGATTGAGACTGCGACTGACTGTCCTCATAGCGGCAGGTGCAATGAGGACATACACGTGACTTGGAGATTGGTGGGTACCTCTCCGGACACTGCAGCCTGGCGGCGCTCTACCTCCGGCGGATGCTGCAAGGAGGGCCCATCCACCAATCAATGCCCACTCCCCGGTCACTCCCGTCATTCCCTGCAGATGAAGGCTGACGAATTGAAGTGACCAAGGTGGCTTTCGTGGCCAGGCAACTCACTCTGCTCTGCGCACCTCGATAATTCTCGTCTTCTCACAACGGAATTGTGTTCACTTTCCGCCATCGTTGACTCTCGTCGCATAGCAAAATCGCCACACCATTCGCTTCGATTTCGGGTTCCCAGTGGTCGACTGTCTCCAATTGACGCACTAGGGGTCTTCTCGCGCCCACGTCACCCCCCGCGTCCACACGGGCGCCGACGTTAACGATCCTCCATTCCAACTCATCCTTATCGGCATTGCACCGAAACAGAGTCAGAATCATGCATTTCCCACATTCCTCGACACTCTTGCTCCTTCTCGCAGCTGCGACAGCTTGCGCTGCCGACACCGCGACGTCTTCAACGACAACGAGTGCACCGGCATGTACGGCGGCATCCAAGAGCGGCAGCGGGGCTTTCTATGACTTGCGGCCGGATATCGCCGTTAAGCCGGAGGAGGGCAAGTCATCAAAGTCAGGCGTCACGACCGATTATCACGCCAGAGGATGGGACTATGGCCGCAACTTCACCTTGAACATTTGCGCGCCAGTCATTGAGGCACTTGACGACGTTGAAGGCCTGACAAAGAGCGAATCGAAGAACGTGAGCGCGTTCTACGAATACAAGAATGAGGTGTACTCCATTGGGTAGGCATCTCACGAAACCCTTCACCGGACGCGCAAGTACTGATCACAACGATCTACAGGTCATCATCCATGGATATTCAGACCCGCGGGCGCATACTCGTCCTGCAGTACAAGAACGGTTCCCCATGTGGAAAGACCAAATCGAAACGATCCAAGGCCCATGATGGGGCGTCATACAATAAGTACGCCGATGAGGAGGAATCCACAGCTTTAAGCGCCTTTGGCAACACCCAAAACAAGGTCACTGCCGACAAGGACGACTCAGACTCGACCACGCGCCGCAAGTCTGCCACCATCTCCTTCCATTGTGATACCGAGCAGGTCGGTGGAGCTGCGCATATCTCCTTTGTCGGCTCAGACCCCGATGACTGCGCGTACTTCTTCGAGGCCCGTTCCCAGCATGCGTGCCCCAGAGCCGAACCTCACCAGCCCGGTAGCGTTGGTCCGGGCAGTGTGTTTGCCATCATCTTTGTCATTGCCGTACTCGTCTACTTTGGAGGTGGCGTGTTCTACCAAAGGACTGTTGCGCATGCGCGCGGTTGGCGACAGCTTCCCAACTACAGCCTCTGGGCTGGCATTTGGGGCTTTGTCAGTGTACGTAGTATTCGCGACTCTTTTTCTCAGAATCGATTCTGACATGATTTGCAGGACATGTTCATTATCGCGACCTCTTCTTGTGCACAGCTACTTCCCGGGAGGCGCGGATACAGCCATCTGTCCGGGTCACCCAGCAGAGGCCGCAACCGTGAGGACGAGAACCGACTCATCGACCAGCTGGATGAGGAGTGGGATGATTGAGTTTGCCAGACGTGGGGTGTATCATAAGCATTTGAGCATCAACTTTCCTTTGATTTACAGATTGCGATTGCGTGTTGGAGCTGCGGGACTGTTTTGAGGGGATGTAAGTGAGTCGCAGGCAACCACCCTAGATACCCCGTGAGAAGAATGCATAGACGATTCATGATGTTCGTGCAAGTTGAGTGCTGTCTGCTCGACATTCTTTTGTGACACCCAGCGCTGGAAACTTTAGGCGGCGCTCGAGTTTATGCCGCCGAATCACCTCTGGATGTATTGGAAACCGCGGGACGAGTGTGGTGTAAATGCCTGGTCTGGCGTTGATGCTACCTTGCTCGTACGATTCTCTCGGAGATCGGGCGAGCTTGACAGGAAAATAGCGCAAGAATATATCCACGGAACCAATAGTGGTGCAGCGCGCTCCCGAGATGCGTCTGTGTACAGGTCCGAGTTGAAGTTTGGCTCCCGGAGATTTCAAGACGTTCGTTCGGAGACCGAAACCGGGGCGGGATGATGCCCCGCCACCGCCCCTCTTTTCAGCGTGATGTCACGGCGGGTACAGCCCGCAACGTCGGCGACAGCTCTTGCGACCCTCAACTCCGAGTGAATTCTGTATTCCTTCTCACTTTGTTCTCTCCAAAGTCGCATCCTACGATATCGGAAGTGAGACCGAAGCAATCACAATGGCGTCCAACAAGTACACTCTGGCCACGCGCCTCACCGTGAGTTCTCACTTCTCACCCTGAATGTCACCATGATACCATCCATCTTATCCACAACCCCGTAACTTCGGGCACATCAGCTAACGTAGACCAAAGCTCGCAAATGGCAAGACCATCCCCCAGATCCAGCTGGGTCTATACTGCATGTCCGGCCGCGAAGCCACAAAGTCCATCCCATGGGCCCTGACCGCCGGCTACCGTGGCTTCGACTGCGCGCAAATGTACAACAACGAAGCGGAATCAGGCAAAGCAATTGCCGATTTCCTTGCCAGCCCTCAAAACACGCAGGGTCTGAAGCGCGAGGACGTGTTTTACACGAGCAAGCTGGCGAGCAGCAGTACCTCGTACGACGCCGTTCGCAAGTCGATCAAGGAGTCTGTTGAGGTTGCTGGGCTGGGGTACATTGATTTGTTTTTGCTGCACAGTCCGTATGGCGGCAAGGAGGCTCGTTTGACGAGTTGGAAGGCGATTGAGGATGCCATTGATGCTGGGGAGGTGAAGATGGGTGGTGTCAGCAACTACGGTGCTGCCCATGTGAGTTTGCTCAGACTTTCGAGAGTCCTGCTGGGGCGTTGAGTTTGGGAACCCAAGAGACGCTGACAGGATCTACAGATTGAAGAGTTGATGGCATCGAAGCCTCGCATCGCACCCGTCATCAACCAGATCGAAGTCCACCCCTTCAACACGCAGACTCGCATCAGAGAGACCTGCGCCAAGCACAACATTGCCATTGAGGCCTATGCGCCCTTGGCCCGCGGCATGCGCATGAAGCACCCCAAGATCCTGGAGCTGGCCAAGAAGTACGGCTGCACTCCTGCGCAGCTGTTTGTTCGGTGAGTTATCATCCGTGTTTTAATATGATGATCGCAGCATCTGATTGACGCCTCTGTAGCTGGTCTCTGGACCGTGGAATGATTACTCTTCCCAAGAGTGTGCGCCAGGAGCGTCTGATTGAGAACGCGAACGTGGCCGAGTATGAAATCTCTCAGGAAGATCTGGCTGCATTGGACGCGCTCGATGAGCACTTGGTGACCGATTGGTATGTTATCAAATGACTTGTGAAGTGTGTGTAGGAAAGCGAGGCTAACAAAAGGTGATAGGGACCCGACTGAAGCTCCTTAAATAAGGTCACTAGAAAATTGAAATAGAAAAACTCCCAAACCCATGATCCTATGCTAAGTTCGGCTGTGACCAATCAACCGTCTGCGACATGCAGATAACTCAGCCTCAGCTGAAATGGATGAATGCATCACGTGGCTGCAAGCTGCCTAGAAATCGGGATGAAGTCCCACACTTTGGCCTGCTTGACCCCACGCCATCCCCAATGGAAATTTTGACACCATCAACATGCGACTCTTAAACACCACGACGCTCAAGGTGGCAGATTTTGTCAGCGAAAGACCCAAATATGCCATTCTTTCCCATACCTGGGGCTCGGACGAAATTGTTCTTCAGGATACAGAAGCAAAGGATGAGGCTCCTTCCAGTGTCAAAGCTGGATGGAAAAAGATCAGGGGCGCCTGTACGCTGGCTCGTAGGAACGGCTTTGACTGGATCTGGATCGACACATGTTGTATCGACAAGTCTTCGAGCTCTGAGCTATCCGAGGCCATCAACTCCATGTTCCGTTGGTACAGAGAAGCTGAGATCTGCTACGCGTATCTGGAAGATGTGCCTCCCTTGAGATACGTTTCGCTTATTGGCTTTCAGGATCTCGCTCCTGATCTGGACCCGAGTTATGTTATGTCCATCGAGAAGGATCGAGAGACCTTCCTCGGAAGCCGATGGTTCACTCGAGGTTGGACTCTCCAAGAGCTTATTGCACCGCAAAGAGTCGAGTTACACGCTACGGACTGGTCCTTTCTTGGGACAAGGAGTGATCTTTCGGGCATCATTCACAAACATACCATGATCGACAAAATGGTTCTCGAATCCAACGGAGCCGAAAGGCTGTCAATGTTTTCTGTTTGGAGTAGAATGCAATGGGCTGCCAGCCGAGAAACAACTCGCGTTGAAGACACGGCTTATTGCCTGTTAGGCATCTTTGAGATCAACATGCCGCTTCTGTACGGAGAGGGCGACCGGGCGTTCCGCCGTCTCCAAGAGGAAATTATCAGAACCATTGAAGACTACAGCTTGATCGCCTGGACGTCGTACGATGCGTCACCCCAGCCACACGGAACACGCTCCTCGGCTCTCGCCTCACATCCAAGAGACTTTGGCACTGTGAGATTAGATACGACTTGCGTTCCGAAAGCCGCAATTGAGAGAGACTTCGACAAAGACATGAAGGGAATCAGTGTACAAGAACCGCCTGGTCCACGCTTGATCGAGCTAGATAAAGAGATGATGGCTAGGTGCATTAAGCCTTACTTCGGACGCGACTATCGCGATATTAATCATCCGCAACTTCAGCCTGAGTTCTCGCCACCTACATTATCTCCGCGTGGTATCTTGATCACCATGTTCACGACCAGGGTACTGAACCCACATCCAGACACCAGGCTCGCGTGGACTACTTTAAACATTCATTTGCCAAAAGGCATATATTATCTCTGTGTCAAGCTGTCAAACGAAGAAACTCATATGGACATGGACAGCGCGACCAGGGCTTTTCGGCGCAATACAAATCGACTCTATTTGGTCCCCATCTCGAGGATAAAGACGTTTCAATCAACAAAGTTCTACCTCCGCACAACTCCGGAGTACTATGTCCCATCCCCAGGAGAGTCATGGACCCCTAAGGCCGAATATTCCCAGTTGCGGTTTGACAGGCGGAATGAGGCTGTATCTACGACCGTCATTGCTACATATCCCAGTCTGAAGATGGGAATGAAAGGGGATGCATATGCCTTCCACACGAAACTGCGGGAATTTGGAAGAGTGGCCGCGCTTATGTGCGATCCAATCTGGGCTTTCGTGGTCGAAATAAAAGAATTGAGAGAATGTCGGCGACTATTACAGTTCGTAGTCTTGTATGGATATAATCCATGGGCAGAGTCACCTAATCAAAGGTGGCGATGTAAAGTCACGCCAGCACCCTCAAGTAACGAATCGTCCATCGGGTTTCATTCCTTCTCGTCTTATATTGAAGGAGTTGTGTCTCTCGAACAAAGCTCGATTCGCCAATTCCCGTGGGGTGTCGTCGGGGCGGTGGTGCATTGGGACAATAAGGAGAATCATAGCTTTGTTAATGTGATGGTTCATCTAGAGAGTCAGCCTGAATAACCGTCCCAGGTCTGAATCACTATGGTGCGCTGATTTTGATCCAATTTGAGGCTGGAGTAATACATCAGATGGAATATTTCTAGACACTTTGGGGGCGATGCACACTTCTCATATCAGTCCGCAACGAGATGATCTACGAGCGAAGGTTTTATACTGATACATGATGCGATCTCCCGGTGGAAGACAACGATCTGCCTAGTTCTTCATTATTTCCCTCAGAGCGTCAACCTCGGCCTCCTTCCTCGCGAGCTGCAGCTTCAGTTTATCACGCTCCTCCTCGACAACTTTGAGAGCAGATTCTAGCTCCGTTATGCGGTCACGGCCTTTTTGACGATATCTTCGAGCTGCGACAGTATTGCGCTGTCTTTTGATAGCATTAGCGTTGTCTTCATCGATCGAATCGAGGTCAGTCGTTGGAGATCCGTTGGCTTTGCGTTTGGTGCCCGATGCGGAGTGATTGCGGCGCTGAGTTGTGGGGGCTGAGGGCTGAGTGGGCAGACGATCGGAAGTGGTGCTCCTTGAAGGAAAGGTTGAGGAGAAGATGGACTCAGGGTTATCTAGGGTGATTGGAATGCTTTCCTGCGGGCTTCTATGAGTGGCCGTTTGAGATGGTCGACAGTCTGAGATGGATGTCAGTAAGAAGATGGCTAGGTGAATCAGCACCACTTGAACGTACCATGCGGTCCTGGTGATTGGGAAGGCTCGATGCTACCAGGCATACCCAGAAAGACATCTTCCCGAACTGTATGCAACGCCCCCAGCGCAGCGATGCTGTCACCCTGACTACTTGTTCGAGGCAACTCATCGGCTTCAAGTTGTGGATCGAGAGGGATTTGGTGGTCTGGAAGCTGAGATCCCTCTCCTAGGTCTGTCGCGATGCCCTGCCACCCAAACATAGGGCCCAGCGGCTGGTAAGAATCCCACCAGGTAAGCTCTCCAAGGTGGTTCCGGCTCCTTTGGCTGCTGTTCTCGGTAGAATACGGGTCGAGTCCAGCTGCACGTAGGAAATGCGGATGATTGTAGTGTTGCCATGGAGTCAGATTATTGGGCCTCTCTTTGAATGAGAGGCAGCAGTACTTTGACAAAAGATTGGTTTGACTTACGTCTGGAGACAATCCAGGGAATTCAAGTCTCCCTGTACGATGTTGTCGAGCGACGGCGCGTGGAAACGAGTGACCGGAGAGATTCAAATCAGAAAGGGAGTTGGTTGGGTGGGGAATCGGTCAGCTAGATTAGGAAGTGTGGATGAGTCGAGATGGCTCATAATGACGGCTCCTACGAGCGGCTCTCAGATTGGTCCGTGTAGCTCCCAAGAACTTGCAGACACAAATTAGTTTGGTGTAGCTTCAGAGATTAAGGCAGGGGACGCCATCCCAATAATTGTACGAAGCCCGTGACCACTAAAACTGAACGTGCATTGCAATACGACACAGATGGCCTTACGGATATCTGCGCGATTGTAGAATTAGGATTACGTATATCTTGTTGAGTTTGGTAGTAAAAGTAGACTAAGAAATATGGATACTTGGCTGAAGACAGCTGCGCGCAACCTTTAATAGCTGGCTTCATTGCTGCACCATGCACCCTGCAACCCCGCGCCTAGAGCCGAGATTCTATTGCCCTCATGGAAACCCCTCTGGAGACCAATCATACCAGCCCATGTCAACCTCATCAATAACACCCCACTGCTCAACGAACTGCTTCTTCTTGTCCTCTAGACCCTCAGTGCAAAGAATCTCAAACACAGTTCTCCAGGCGCTGTTGACCGCACCGATGATCCAAGCGTGGCCTGAACTCAGCGCCTCGCCCGCGAAGTGCATGTGGCCATCAGCAGAGGGCCTCATCAACCACGGCAGCGTGCTGCTGAACTGACCCGGGCCAAAGATGGCAAAGGCGCCGTTGGAATAGGCCGATCCGTACCAGTCGTAGGCGTGGTATCCCTCAAATTGCGACAGGAGAAACTCGTGAGACACGCCGTTGAGCTCTGCCAGGTTCCTCAGAGTCAAGTCGACCATGACGTCGATGCTCTCTGGCTGATAAGGTGCCTGTTGCTTCTCGTTGTGCGGGTTCATGTAGGAGCCTAGTCTGGAGGCATCCTGGCCCCAGACGTAGCTGGCGATCATGGTTCCGGGGGCACCCGGGACATCGACGCCGTAGGAGGGGTAGACACAGCGGCGGATGGGAAGATCGGTGAAGGATTGACCCCCCTTGAAAGGACCGGTGGCGAGGTTTTCCCACCTTCAGTCAGCGAGTCAGTTGAAACCCCAAGTTTGATGCTATGGCCGAAAACAGCTTACCAGCGAGTCTTGAACTTGAACCCAATCTTTGTCGAAGGATCGTAGCTGAAGTAAGAAGTCAGCTTGGGCTGAGAAGCCTCCCGGATGAAGTAGAAGCTAAGTGTACTTACTTGAGAGAGCGGATGGCATGGTTTTCGAAATAGTTGAGGTCTAGCTCGGTCATGTTGATAGCCTGGAGGGCACCCAGCGGAACAGTCGAGATGACATGAGCGTAGTCGTACTCCTTGGTGCCGTTGACGACAATCTTCAAGGAGCCGTTGGAATTCTTCTTGATGTCGGAAACCCTGTTGTGCAGAACGGGCTTGTTCTTCACAATGAGGTTCATGCCCTTGGTCAACATATCCATACCACCGTTGATCAGCGACCAGTTGTCAATATCTGCACTGTCAAAGATCCACTGTTCTAGGACGGCTTGAGACATGGAGTACATGTCGTAGTGACCTGTGGCATCGTTGATGGTCTCCATCCAGTCGATCTCGGTGTTGGTAAAACCCTGGTCCAAGAGAAACTCCCGGACCGTCATGGAATCATACTTCATGAGAAGGTTGAAACCTGTATCAAAATTGGCTGAGAGCGCTGTCGTCATGCTGCTGACTTGAGCCTTCCACACATTGTACGCAGACTGCGTGTTAAAGGTCGAGTTGAATACCGGAACGTCGTACCTAGCAGGAGAGGCAGAGTTCGGGTCTTGGAGAAGAGAGGTGATGCCATTGAATCGTCTGAACGTGTTGTCCGTTCTGAAGATGTAGTGTTTCTTGACAACTTGGTCGCGTTCGGCTACCCTCGCGTTGATGTAGGGAATAAGACTCCATGAGTCGTTTCCAATGATGCGGCTCATATAAGGCATCGGAGGGAAGCGCATGGCGCCGACGTCCTGCAGTGATCATGTTAGTTAGGGAATGGTGCGTTACATAGCGACAACAACTCACGTAGTAGTCATAGTAGGCAGGGTCTGCGGGTGTGGACTTGTCCCAAGCCTCTTGATCAAAATGGTAGGTGTAGATTCTCCCGCCAATGCGTCCGGAAACCTCATGGATATCGTAGTCAATTCCGAGAGAGTCAAGGAGAATGGCAGCGTAGAGTCCGGCAGCTCCACCGCCAATGATGCCGACCTTGAGGGGAACATCCTTCGGCGTCGGTACTCTGCTATGGTTGCTGTAGTTTGACTCATCCACGACCTTGCGGAAGAAAGCTGCGCGTGGATTCTTGGCAGCAAGCTCGCCGTCGTTGCAGATGTTTCTTTCTTCGAGCTGGACTGGCTTGGATTCCGGGGCGGGTAAAGCGAATGACTGTGCCAACAAGAGGGCGGTAACGAGCGTACGTGTGCTGAAGAGCGACATTGTTAGGGCGGTAAAGACTGTATGATAGCTGGCGCGGCTGATAGACGTGGATCTGGCGTCTGCCTTGCTTGGTTACACAAGTGACAACAGCGTTGATGGCGGCATCAACATCTCCATTTATAGCGATGGTCGCTGACCGACATCTTGGCTGCATTGTTTACACTTGAACAACATGGACCTGTATTTCGACCATGTCTACAGAGTGCCAACTTCGCTCCCAAGAACCTTGGGCCATTTAGGGCTTGCATATCTTAAACCCAGATCTTACTTAGTTCCAGTCCTCATTCCTCTTTTCTTCTCCTAAATCTCGACACGTGGTTTGGACCCCTCTGCTCTGGAATGCGGCTCAGTCCCAGGACGGTCTCCGCAAACACGCAATTCTTCCGAGCTACTGGAAGTGCAAGGCATGGGCTTCATCTTACAGCATACCTCTGAGCAGTGAAGCTGAGAGGGCTGAGAATCACATATTTTTCGCAGCCACGTCAATTTCTTCCCTTCAGCGGCAGAGTCGCATAGGGTATAGCACTGCTGTTTTGATCCGGGTAGGTGGAATACGAAGCATGGAGCAAGAATAACCTTCGACATCAGTCTGCATACGTATTAGCTTTTTGGCGGGAAAAGCCCCCTTGTTTCTCGGACAACGAAACCGCTTTCCGTTGAACTCCAATAGTGAAAGGCGTCTCAGAGAGTAAAAACATGTTACCTTCGGCGACAAAGTCCCCTGTTTTAGTCTTCAGTGGAGTTTTTTGTCCTTTGAGTTAGGAATAGGAAATCAGAACAATGCTTATGCGCTAGGTGGCTTTATAATCATTTTCGGGCATGAGGGCTGAATAAAGACACCAGTGGGATAGTGTCGCCGTATGGATTGTGCACAGGTCGTGTAGGTACCCAGACTACTTCCAGGGTAGCTTGCTGTTCTCTGATGTGTAATATGGACTCGTTACGGATGCATATCGTATCTGCTAGAAACTCCCAATCGTCTTTTGCACATGTGTCCAAAAAGACTACCAGCATTATTCCGGTGTGGGATCGGTGAAGCAACTTGTTCAAACTTCAATTGCCAGTCAAAATATCCGTGTCCGCCTCTGTCCTGGCCCATGCGTGCGCCTCTGGAATACCATGCTGCTATTGCCCGATAAACTTAGCAGCAAACCCAAGACATTTAGCTGCCGAGAGGAGGGTACCGTGCCGAGTCTAAATGGATCGCCTCATCACTCAGCAGCCGGAACCTTCTTTATTAGTGTTGCACACAAAGCCACCACTGTTCTTCGGAAGCAAAATGAGTCCGGAAGCACTTTGTTACCGAGAAGACGCAGTGGGGGCGCCGGGACACAGAGGGGTCAGGTCGGCGCCTTAGCAATGCCCGCTCGCCGGGAGGGGCCGTTACACCAGACGGCAGAGACCCTGATTGATAATACTGAGTGCGAAACCGTGGTGGATCTTGCGTGATGCATACACAATCGTGCGAGATCTCCAGTTATTGCGCGATAGCTCGGTGGAGGCGGGGTGAAGGTCGTAGACAGCTGTCCACCAGCAAAGCATATAAGCAGGTTGTACCCAGCGTCCAAGCATAGAGATAAAATCCAAGACACTCATAGCTAATAAGACAACAAACCATAAACAACTCTCAAATTCTCCAATTCTCCAATTCTTAAACTTCACAACATTGTTCCACCAGGCTCAAGATTCTCAACATGTCTGCCATCAAGAAGGTCGCCGTTGTCGGAGTAAGTTCACTTGTTATGCTACTCACCGTTCCGATACTAATTCCGGTAGGGTTCCGGAAACCTTGGTCCCAGCATCGTTCGTGGCCTCATTGACGCCGGTTTTGAAGTCACAGCAGTCTCGAGAAAGGAGTCCAGCGCAACATTCCCCGCTGAGGCCACTGTTAAGAAGATTGACCTCTCCTCAGTCGAAGCTGTCACAGAAGTTTTCAAGGGCCAAGACGCTGTCGTGTCTGTCGTTGGAAATGCTGGATTCGGAAGTCAAAAGACACTCGCCGACGCTGCTGTTGCCGCTCAAGTCAAGCGCTTCATCCCTTCAGAATTCGGAATCAACACTCGCAAGGCCCGCGGCTCTAAGATTGGCGGCATCTTGACCCCCAAGATTGAGTTTGTTGACTATTTGATTGAGCTCTCTGAGAAGAACAGCTCATTCACGTGGACTGGTATCTCTACTGGACCCTTCTTCGATTGGGTAAGCTAATCACCACCTTGTCCCATCCTCACATGTAGTCAGCGTGCTGATCTAGCATAGGACTTCAGCGGTGGCCTTCTGGGCTTCGATGTTAAGAACAAGGCTATCAGAATCTTTGACTCAGGAAACGAGCCTGTTTCGCCATCATCTCTTTCCTTTATCGGAAAGTCCGTTGCTGGCGTGCTCAAGAACACCGAGGCGACAGCCAACAAGTACATTGACGTTGCTTCATTCACGACAACTCAGCGCGAGTTGCTCAAGGTTGTCGAGGAGTTGACTGGCTCTACTTTCACCGTCAGCAACGTCAAGACTGCCGACCTGGAGAAGATTGCGGATGAGAAGCTGTCCAAAGGTGACTTCAGCGCCTTTATTGACTTGTTGCAGCAGTACAGCTTTGCTGATGGCAACGGTAATGCCACAAAGGACAATGCGGCGGTTAAGTTGTTGGGTCTGCAGGAGGAAGACCTCAAGGCTGAGACCAAGAAGGCTCTGGCCGCGTGGAAGTAGAGATTTATGTATAACGAAAATAAGCAGATACTAATACAATAGAGGCTATCGCCCTATCAAATCAGCTTATCTTGCTCGTGCCAAATGCGCCGTCGCGGAAGTTTGATCACTAAGTTTGAGGTATGAACATCGTGATGGTAGGAGTTAGAAGCGGCCATATGTCGAGCGCCGCGTCGCCGTAGGGACCAGTCTTCAACATCCGGTGTAGGGAGCATGATAGTACTTAGTAGGCACTATAAGAACTTAGAAAAGCCTGAGACGCTGAGGAAAGTTCAACCGACATAGATGAGCAAAGTCTGAGACCGCCCATACGTTCCACATGCCATGCCCAATGTCCTTTCGTCTGATGATAATGCAGCAGAAGCCGCAGATAAACTCAATCAAGTTGAGCTATGTCTTTGCCACCCCAATCGTTCGCTGGCCAAACGGCGCTTCCTTTTCGGGAAGTGCCCATTCCAGGCTCCGTCTAAACTCTGTTTTGTGCACAGATTTATGATTTCTCAACTTTGTGTTGCGCCCACAGGAGAGATGCTGGCGTACATCATTGAGTTCGCTTGCTCCGCAAATTCTTCAACGTCATGATTGCGGGCGATGGTGCTTTAGTTCCTCGGTATCCCACTTGCACTGATGAACTCGTAAACTCGCCCAGTCCTGTGCCATCATCGACAACATCTTGTGAACATGCCTATCGAGATTCGAACTGCGCTCGAGAGCGATCTTAAGCGATGCGCAGAGGTCGGGCACGTAGCTTTTGGCAAAAGCCCTTTCACTAAAATTATGTTTCCTGGTCACGTCCCGAAAGATGGGTTCTTAGGGCTTCGTACAACCGACTTGATCAGGCAGCTTCGAGACGACCCGACCGTTCGAATGTTCGTGGCAATAGACACGGAGCGAAGAGGTGATTGCGCAATCGTTGGGTTTGCCAAATGGCATGTCTACGAACATGGCATGCCTTTGAGCACGGGAAAACTGCATTCATGGGGCAAAAGTTGCAATGAGGAGGCTTGCAGCTTGGTGTTTGGAGGCGTGGGATTAATGAGAGACCGTCTAATGGCCTACAAGCCGTGCGTTTGTAAGTTATCTTCCCAAATCATCAAGTCTGAAGAGAACTGGCCTCCCTAACGCCAAGTGATGGCAGACCTTCATATCTTAGTGACAGAGCCCCAGTATCAACACCGCGGCGTGGGGCAACATCTCCTCGCCTTCGGGATTCAGGAATCACTCCGATTAGAAGTTCCGATATATCTTGAGGCAACAGAGGCTGGCCACTCTCTTTACCAAAAAGTCGGCTTTGACGATATCGAAGTACACCGCGCTGATTTGACCAAGTTTGGGGAGCAGCGTCCTCATATGATCTGGGGAATGATCCGGGAACCATACTCCTGGTTTCCATGAACAACTTGCACATTTGAAAGTTCACTCAATGTACTTTGAGAAGGAAGTAATGGAGAGAGTGTGGAATGAAATGAAATCTATTGCAAACAACCATCTATGTTATAACGCCATGCTATGCTACCAGTTTCCCATCCAGCCTCATGCCATGCAATGCTCCATGATCAACATCGGCGAATCCGAATGTCACTGTTCGCTTAAGAAGTGTAACCGGCAGCACGGTCAGCGGCAGTAGCCTGTGCCATCTTTTCTGTTCCTACAGAAACAGTGGGGATCCAGCCCTGAGGGTTCACATCGGTGCCAGTGGTAGCGATGCTGTCACCGGTAGAGTTGACCCCGATGGTGATGTAGCCAACGAGGCCGTCTTCAACGCTGTCTCCGAGAAGAGAGACGCTGATGAAGGGGCTGTAGCCGTCCTCGCTAGCGCTAGACAGGACAGAGTCCTCGGCATTGGTGGTACGGTTCAAGGTCTCGAGGTGGGCGGAGTAGGGGCTAACGGCGTAGACCTGGGAAAGGAGGTCTTCCTCGAAGAAGAGCTGTCCTACGTGCTGAAGTGCGCTCTGGCTAAAACCAACACCATCGGAGGCATTGGCTTGAACAGCCACGTGGATGTGGGTAGAGCGAGAAGTGTAGTAGCCGGGAAACTTGGTAAGAAACTCTATCATACCAGCCTCATCGGAGACCTGAATGCCGCGGAGGAAAGTCTCATCGTCGGTAGTACCATCAGATCGCTTGCTCCAGCCATCAAGCAACTCGGAGGTGTCGGGGTCAATGCCAGTGAAGGAAGCATATGAGCCAGTCGCATTGCAGGCCCAGATAGAGGCCGAGGCACCCTCGAGCGGCTCGCAGGTCTCGACATCAATGATTCCGATGTCGAGATAGAAATCAATGCCGGACTGAGTTTCGCGGAGGTCGTGACGGACCAACTCGCCGTCCACGCCGTAGGGACCAAAAATAGTTTCGGGGGCCAGGAGACAGGTGTTGTTCTGGATGCTGGTGTATTGAAGGGTGTTGCGCTTAGACATGCCGTGGACGTTGGGAAGAATGTCGCCATTCTCGACGCGGCGCTCATAGAGGCGCTGAGAGCGCTTGGCAATGATTTCAGCTTTGCGCTTCTCAATTGCAGCAGCGCACTTGTTGGTTGAACGACCAGCGAGAGCTGCCTCTTTCTTTGCGTTCTCCTTGGTCAGCTTCTCAGGATGAGCAATGACCTCGGTGGCGGCCAAAGAGAGAGCAGCAAGAGCGAGAGTAGTAAACTTCATCTTGCCGTGTATGGTGTGTGTAAGTCAAAAGCCAAGACGTGGTGAGAGTAAAGGAGAGAGATCTCGATGTAATTGAGTTGGAAAGCTTGGAAAGTAGTCTTGGTGAAGGTCTGGATGAGGTCTTATTGCTGCTTCTGATGATTTAGAATCTCCTCCACTGCGGTAACAGCAGCTTTGCTTTATACGTGTGTCTTTCACTCTGGAGTTCATCATGGCTTTCTCGTTACCCACAACTTGGCATCCCTTTTCGCATGAGCTCCCATTACGACTACTCTGCGCCTCAACTAGGCCGTCCCGATAGAGTGGATGTAGGTCGGAGAACCAGGATCCATATTCGTAATCCCTTGAATCTGGTTGAACAGGCTCATCTGGTCTACGGGATTTGGCACCCAACGTTCCAGGAATAGAGTGTGGTCGTAGCTTAGCATGAGAAAGCTACATGAATTATCCGTACATCCCCGGGATTCAAGGGGAGAGAGGGCAAGTTTTCTGCCCGGAACGTGGGTGATGTTTCGCTCGGGAGGTGGGAGAACAGGCCCACAATACCCGCTTCGTCCGACTCAGCCTACCGGCCCGCCTCCCTACCCCTACTGACACCGAGGCTCTGGCCCGGATTATCCCACCGGACGTCCTGTCACTGACGCGTTTGCGTGTATGTCAACGTCTCTACGGACCTCGCGAGACCTCCCTGACCGGGTTCTAGAAGAAAATGCCCCTCCTGCATAGAACATTAAAGGAGGCGCGGATGGGACGAACACGACGACTCATGAACCAAACATCCGATAGCTTACGTCGCGTCCAACCCGAGGCTGACTTTAGGGATATGGCAGATTTTACCATGATTCTAATTGGATATCTTTGTTCTTGTCATCCGACAGGTCAAGTCATGAAGTAGGGGTCAACCGTGCCGGTAGACATAAGTGATTTCAACGCACTGCTTGATAGAAATCTCGTCCAATGCGGCTATTTCGCATTCCGAGCTACTCGGGAAACAGTCAGGCCGTATGTTTTGACCGAAAAATGCCTTCGTTGAGAGATGTTCCATGTCCTGATATTGCGTTGACTGAAATACATGTATACAACTGATTGGCCTCGTCTCAATGCGGATCCTGCGAATCTCTGAAAGTATTACTCATTGAGGGGAGGGAGGTAGTTGGTCCATCCTGCTAAGACTCCAAAATATTGTGACCCTCCGGTCGCTTCGGTCACCCCACAATACCCACCTGTCGGGCTTCCCCGAAAATGAGAATCAAGTAGAAGATTGCCGATTATTAATATCCCATAGACTTGTTACCGCAATTAACACACAAAATCTTTGTCATAATGCGGCCCAATAAAGTCACCTCGAGTATGGACTAGGTGTGCGATGTTCTAAAGTCAGCGATTTTGGAGCTATGATGAGAATTATCGAGAACTGTGCGATGAAGACATTCCACCCCCGACTGTGAGTTTGGTTCTCATAGCTTCTTTGCATTATCTAGACAGCTTGAAGATGATGATATCCCCTTAACACATGTAGATTCATCACATGTGAAATAGCTTGGGGATGCCGTGGCAAAGTCACTGGCTCGATTGACCCTGACACCAGACTTTTCCATCCCATGGAATGGAGGCGGGACATGGAGTGCCAACTTTGAAGATGGGCGGAAGGTGATAATTTCAATTTTATCTTGAGTGTAGTAGTCCCAGCATACGTGATCTGTCACCCTATCCCGAATCCCCCACGTACCGTTTCGGTTGGTCGCCTGGTAGGGATTATGAAACTTGGGCGGGCTCAACATCAGCCACATGTAGAGCCCTGACATTTAATTGTGTCGATGCCGTTAGCAGCCAAACATAGATCACTTGGTGGATAATCGCACGAAGGCTGATAGTAGACGAGAAATGAACCTGGGCTTTTTGAGGGAAATACTCCTGAGAGATACATCAGAGAGAGTTAACATTTCCGCAGTTGTATTACCATGGCGGGAAGGGCTTTCACTGCTAGCAAATTTAAGTCTAAGGAGCTGGGAGAGATATAGCGACTGAATTATGTAGCAAGAAGTGATCCAGTAACATGAGCCTAGACGCAGCCGCCTGGAATATCACATCTCATTTGCGTCAGCCCAACAATCTTCGAGACATCACGTCGAGATACGGTGCTGATCTAGGCCTCATAATTTGATCTAGATAACCAATCCGTCAATGTAGATTGGAGAACCCATTAACTCGTTGTTAAAGATTGGCAATGGTAGGTAGTCTGAGATTGAGAGCTTGCAGACATTTGCTGGTATAGCTTCGGGCTCCAGGTCTTGCGAAATCTGTCTGTTCTTAAAGCTGGAAATAATGCTATTATTTGCGGAAGAAGTTGCAAAAGAAAACAAAAAAGAAAGAAAAAGAAACACCTCCTGATTCAGTGATTCGCCCAGTAGAGACTTTTGCCAGAGTCTGAATTGTGTCTCCAGGCGAAACAAGGTGTTTTGTTCAATCAAGATCTAGATATCCTCGAGAAACGTCACAAAGGGCCCAGTGCCCTGAAAAACCACTCGAGATGTGCGAGGGTCAAGTCTTAAAAAGTTTCTGTAGCCAATTGAAAGGAACATTACTTACTGTGGACTTCAAGCCTCCATGACCAACCAAAGACACCTCGACAGCCGCCGATATTGACCAGAGACAGAGAAATCAGGAAGACTTTGGTCTTGGCGACTAGCTCATTATCGATATCTCAGTAGCCATGACGAATTTGACCCCTAGAAAGATGGACATGAGCTCTAGTGATCTTTCGATTTTGCTCACGGATCTTGTAACAGGATCACAGAAGAGTCTAGACGAGCTCTTCAGGTGTAAGTCACCCCTGTGAAACATTGAATAATCATCGAAAACGAAATCTAAATGGGGCTCCTTTTGCCGATATTGATGACAACTAAGGTAACTCCACTTCAATTGAGCAACGGCTCCCAAGTGCTGAAATGCAGACTTCAATTGACCACGACCCATTCTTGATTTTCTCTGATTTATTTTCTTTGTTCACTCAATTGAAGAATGCAATTGTTTCCTTGGTAAAAGAAATGATTCTCTTGATGTTCGAATTGAGTTATCGAGAAAAGCTCTCGTCCTCGGGCTATGTCTCGGATACCTGCCTGACAATTGATGGTTTGAAAATTGTGCCTCGACCTCTCATTTCTTTCTTGAACAAACTTGTTCATAAGCATCGTCAACTATATATTTCGGTCGGCACCCGAATCTATAGGATGCGTGATTTGACTACAACAACGACACATGAACAACGACATATACCGGAGATTATCGATTTCAGGCCTCAATCGATCTTGTTCCTTGCAGTACAAGTTCACCTCCATCATGTCGTCATACCACCCCATTGCTCCATCGTCGATGTATTTCGAATCACTCAGAAGGACTTTAACGGCAAATCCCAGCTTGTGGAACGGACTGACACTTGAGTGCGCAATCTGCAGAGAGCCTATGAATCTTGTTGGAGACGGACTACCTTCCTCAGAGGATACTGGTTCTGACGGAGTAAGTCGTTTGCATCAAATTCATGGCCATCAAGATTTTGCAAATTTGCACCCACGTTCACCCAAGGACGCCATCGTCCTACCGTGCGCTCACATATTTTGCAAAGGTTGCTTGTTCATGGTCTGTTACTCAGATTACGGTCTCCAAGACTTCCTGCCCACTAATGTGTACCCAAGGCCCGATCCAGTCTGTCCAGCTTGTCGAACCAAACTGGTCTATCCAGATTGCGAGTTTCGTTGTCGTTTTCCTGGCATACCATTCCCACGCTCGAGCCAAGCCATGGACCTCTTCCCCCCAACACTTCAAGGTGGTATCCCGCAGGGTTCACGTAGATGCAACTCATGTCGGGTTATCGCAGCCTGGTATGACCTGCAGCACGGCGTTGACCGCGTGATGGAAGCCTCTATGCCTTATGAGAACTGGATCATTACCGTTATGCCTACTAGTGATGCGGGTCAAGCCTGCTTATGCGGTAGTGAGGTGTACTTGGAACGGACATTTGGAGAACGGCTCGCCCAAACCGCGCGCCATTTGCGCATCGATACTGGCATATGGCCGTGGTCAGGACCGCAGGCTTCTGATCAACTCAAATTTGTTCTGAGATGGCGGACATGAGATTGAAGGATAGGCAGATGTAGACAAAGCAGAAAGCTAGTACTTCCATGTTGTCGAGATCTTCGAATAGAATCATGAGCTTGTTTCATTTCTCATCAAGCTCATTCCCACAGACGGACGGATTCGATTCAAAAGTCATGCAATCACACTCTTTCCTGTGACTCTTGAAGAGAAGCTGGCGCCGTTGAATGTTAGGTTTATTCTAAAAGGCGTCATGTTTGTTGTACGGTGTGTGAGAAAATGAGCCTTCGTGTGCTTTCAATGGTGTTCCGATGTTTGCACGACGGTGGTCCGACTTAAAGTCAAAGCGTTTTTTGGAGAGTCCGTATCCGCTTGTCAATCGAATAATAGTAATCAGTGGGCTGGATGCCTCACCGAGAACTGCACAAGGTTCATGTCGAGAAACACTGCACCACATATCGACGCCTCATGCGCCAGTGGACCAAAGAGGGCAACGTTGCCCAACTAGGTCCCACTGGTGGCCGTTTTCAAGCTTTGCGGCTTGCGCAACCGGGGATCGGAGGGATTGCCGTGAAGCGAGAAATGGACGTGTGACTGGCCAGTGACGTTTCCGTGTGAGCCTAGCACGCCGATCATAGTGTGGAAGAATCTCACTTTGCGGGGTTCCTCCGTGGGCGGGAGGAGATTTCTTGAGACCCGAGACTAATACGAATAGATAATCGCTGGTAATCACTTATCAACGACCATATTTCCCCGATGACGGTTCACCAGCAGTTTCCTCTGTTTCTCAAAATATCACTCAAAGAACACTATACGAGGAGCTCAGCCACGACCGGCAGTCCCGACAAAGCGGTCTGGAGGGATGCTGGTGACACTGCGCGGCCGTATGTCCGAAAGCTTTGTTTGCTGCAGGATTCGGGTGCGTACAGACGAGTAAGACCTATGTAAGACCCAAGTCTTCGTCATGTTGATCGTTCGTATTCCCGGAAGAGCACACTCGTCGTCAGGGTTGGCCGATGCAGGAAAGCAAACGCATGATCACGGAGATATGCCGGAAGACCAACAAATTGTGTGAAAGGCATCAAGAAGGTCGGACGTGTTAAAAATTGGTATAAATCCAGGTGAGCTGTCCTCTCCCATACTTCCGATTCTCATCTCCTCATCATTCCAACCATTCTCAGCCCTCGGACCATCCAAACTCCAATTACACCAACAAAAACAGACCTCAACGCTGCATACCCGAACTCTGTTCCTCTTCGAGCTACAGTACATTCAAGACCCCTTGCACCCCCTCAAAAAACCAAAACCCTCTTCACCCGTTTCATCATGCAGTTTTCAACCATCATCGCAACCGCAGCGGCCCTGTTCCTCGGAGCCGAGGCCGGTGCCGTGCCCCGTCAAGATCCCCACATCACCGACTTCCGGATCTGGAGCGAACAGGGATGCGGAGCTGCCGGTAACCTCGGCGTCTGGACCATCACAAAGTCGCAAACCGATGTGTGCCAGACAACGTTCAACGCACCGGACAATGTCGTTAAGGCCATTCGCCTTAGCAGCCTTACAGAGGGCTGTGAGAGTAAGACTCTAATACCCTGTTTCTTGTGATGCAAATGACTAATACTAGCCAAGTGATTGCCTACCCTACAGCCGATTGTGGAGAGGGAGGTCGCCAAGTCGGCGTCCAGACTTGCGAGGAGTGGAGCGATATCGCCGACAACTTCTTGAGCTTCAAGGTCACCTGCTCTTAGCCTTTCTTACCACTTATTGGGACTCTCGCATTTTCTGGAGTTTTTGATTTCTTCGACCATTTGGGACCGGAGAAAATGGTGCATAAATGCATGGGTTGGAGTTGAATGCAGACACAGCATATGGAACACTCCTTTAGAACCCCGACTGACAAGGACGTACGCCAATGACTGAGCTTGGCATAATAATGGTAATCCACTCCTTAGATACTATTTTCTAATAAATTGGACACGATCAATGATCTATATATAAACTCCCGACGCGATCATCTTGTGAGGAATGATAGGTGAACTTTTCAAGGTCTAGCGTACATATCATTGCAACCATCAACGAGCAGTCAAGTGAGACATCTACCACACATTCCCAGTAGAAATAAATAGACATTGGCTGGATTTCGTGTCTGGTTACAGTAAACCTTCAGAGGAAGCACGTGGTATGCATAGTGGTGAGCTTGCTCTTGATGGTCCCCGAACGACATAATTGCCTTAGTACTCAGAAGTAGGGTATCGGCGATCACAATCAGATCAGGAGTGTCGTTAGGTAGGTATTTCAAATAGAAATTCCCATGAAGAATAGCTCCATGTTCCCTGGAAGCACAATTGTCATAGCTTGGACCCTTGAACGTGGAGACGGCTCTCAGTAGTTTGGCGCCTGTCCTAGAACGGGGTGAGTCTTGAATGCATGATGTCAAGAAAGCCAAAGTATCGGCACTAGCGGCACTTCATCGTCATTGCGACCGGGCACCCACCTCGAGCTACATATCCTCGAAGTTTCCCCAGATGCGCTGCCAGCCTTCATCATTCGATTTTTCGGAAGTTGGATAGAGTTCTTCTCAATTGTTCCTATCACGAATCTCAAATCAATTGCAACAATGAGCCAACCAATTGGACTGACAACAATCCCCAGGCTACTGCGTAAGTGCTAGACACCGAAATTTAGCCTCAGATATGTTTGCTTAAGAGCTAACTTGTATCTTCGGGTAGCTGTTACGGGCACGTTCGCGCTCCCATTTACGATCTACTACGCATTCCTTAGCCTTCGAGTCGTCAACGAGCGTCTGAAATCAAAGCAATACTTGGGCGATAACTCCTCGAAGCCTGGAGCGGATGCCGAATCATACAAGGCCAATGCACTTTACCTTGCTGGCCGATCGCATGTCAATTACATCGAAAACGTGCCGCTTGCTTTCATCCTCGCTTCACTGATCGAGGTTAATGGAGGCAATCGCAAGACACTGAGCTGGCTGCTCGGGAGTTTCTTTGCCTTCCGTGTGCTACATGCTGAGCTTGGAATTATGAAGCCCGAAGGCATGGGCAAGGGCAGACCCATCGGCTATTTCGGCAGCATCGGTGTCCTCGGTGCTTTGGCGGGCTACGGGGCCTTCCTGGTCAAGGGATATTGGGGATACTAATTAACGTTCCTTTCATTACATACATCGAGGATGTAGACGGGATGAAGATAAGCCAAGACAAGAAGGATCCAAAGCGAATCATTCTACCTACTTACCCTGTAAAGCTGCGAGGAGTGCTAATGTGCACTGCAGCTTCCCCCCTACTATTGCGGGGCCAAGAGAGATCGTGTGTACTTAAGAACCGGGGAATCAAGGATCTATGAATGCCCGCGTGTGTAGCCAAGTATTCAATCCCCTTGGGTTAATCGGCTGGAGGTTTCAAGTCATTACCCGTCAGCATCTTAATCAAGTCTCCAATTCATTGCTGGGCATCGGTCATCCAAACCATGAGTCAGGATGTCGGGACAGTTCATCGCAACTCTTGGTGGGAGCATCGCTTAAGGGCCTGCATAAGGTCGCTTCGCTATTTCTCCGCCTGTAATTAATTAGACGGTTCACGTCGTTGGACCTTACCCAAACCTTAATCACAACAGTCTCGTATGATTCGCTATTTCATTTAAATGTCCCTGGATGAACGGCAAAAACACGTTTACGAAGCCCAATCAGTGCACTATTTACTCCCGGCTCTTGGCGCCGAGGTTGGTCGGTTTCCTTGCACTCTCCGCGAGCGATTGTAGAATGGTTCAGGTATTAAAGCCGTCAAGGATCGCTTTGAAATAATACCTCTGTGTCTTGGAGAGTTTATCGTACATCTTCTGACCTATCTTGCCTGCAATGCACTTCTCTAAGGTTGCCCTCCTTTCCGCGCCTCTGATGGCCATGGCTAGCCCTGTCGCCTTGGAAACAAGACAGGACAACACTTGCTGCTATCAAACCGAGGTGAGAAACCATCAATTCGATCTGTCGAACGCCAGCTCGCTGACGCTTACACTGTCTAGGATGTGAACGCCCTCGTCTTTGTGACCAAAGGCCAGTCATCTCAGACTCTTGATACGCTTAACTGGTGTTATCTCCAGGTTGACCGGTATGCGGATCCTCTAAACACGTTTCTCTATTGACTGCAACCTAATTCTTCGCTGCTAGTGACGCGACTGATCCAGACAACTGCGAGAAGGCGACGCGATCGTACTGGGCTGGGTACTGTCCCTCGGATGGCACAAAGGTTATCCCGTGCCCCTAGGTGCCGTGTTTCGCGGAGTTTGCGCCAAGGTGACATGCCATATGGTGCATGTCAGCAAGTAGTAGGCAGTTGAGCGAAGCTGCCAATTCAAGATATAAGTTTGATCATAGCCTTGAACAGCTGCTTACGTTCCAAGAACTCGGGTCCTCGGTTCTTCGATGAACCCACCCCCTCAATCAGCCCTACACCAGAATGAAGGTTGTGTCTGTTTGCGATTTAAGTACCAGGGCTCCGCCAGCCTTCGCTATCGCTACCAGTCTACCAGATCACTCGGGCGATTATTCTGGGGTGATAGAGTCAAGGCTAGGCTCAGCTTGGCTGGCATGGCAGGGGGCCATCCTCGTTCCAGTGCTTAAACTCAACACGACCAAATGTTACCACCCCTGATTGGCTAGTAAGACAAGCATCACCGTGGCTTGGGAACCACGAGGACAATAACTCCGCCCTCCTGCCTCCTTCGGTGTCAGCCTAAATGCTCACCGTAGGCCTCCCCGATAACAGCTCAACGCGCGCGGCGCAGCACCCGGGAGTATTTAGCTCCGCTGCGCAGCTTTCTACTTAAGCTTGTGCGCGCCATCTTCCCCAGCTTTTGCATCGTTTTTGCTTGGTATTTTCAATATCTCAACGTCCATACACACCTAAACCTTCATACCTTATACAACTTGACCGCATTCGTAAAGATCCGTTATCGACGATAACCCCGAAAATATCACGACAAACCGAGACCTTCTGTGTTACATAATAAACACACCATGCGCAATCCTTTCAAGCCGAGACAAGCGCCTTCTCAAAGCTGGGCCGGGAGACCGAGAGCTCTGTCAGCCGATGACCCAGTCTTCAAAGACCTCGACGAAGATGAACGAAAGGACATCGAGAGCAACTCTATCAGCCAACAACAGAAGACGTCACAAGAATCAAACAGAGAGCCGCTGAAGCCTTCTGGGTCGGATAGCGCCGTCTCTGTGGGAAGCGGATCATCTTCCCATCACAGCGTCAGCGCTGATATCGGCCAAGGTTATGCCGCAATCGCAGGAGCTTTCTCTGGCACCGACCACTCTGGACATTGACCGCGGAGGATCGGATCGAATTCATCTCGAAATCTTTGGTCGATTCGCAGGCTTATGGACGGAATGGATGCCTTTTTGGATAGCAGGGGACGAACAAAGGGGAGCTGGCAACTTAGTTATGTTTTACGAGCGAAAGATACCCAAACAATTCTTTATTCAATGTCGGATCGAACAGCACGGAGTGATCAGCAAGTGATATACACAGACCGTGCTCCATCAGTCAAGTAGAACTGTCCGTCCTTGTTGGCAACAGGAACGCAAGAATGGTCCTCGTATGGGTTGACCGTGCTGACCGTCGCCTTCCCACTGCACCCGGCATTTGCCCAGAACTTGAGCTTACAGACGTTCTCGCCTCTGTTTGCGAAGACTGCCCCGTAGACATTTCCCGAAAAGTCTTGGCACCGGCCAGAGGAGACGTCGAAATTGTTGGTATAACTGCCAGCACAACCTCCATCGTGAAAGACGCCGAGACTAACAGTGTCGCGCTTCTGCAGTGTGGCGGGCGTAGCGGCAGCTTGCGCTCCGAGGACCAAGACGAGGCCAGATATGACTTGAGTGAGTTGAACCTGAGGTGAATGCAGTTAGCATGCTTATCAAAACTTGCTACTTCGATAAATTTACCATTGTGAAACTCGGTCTTATCCTCGACTACTTGTGGATTGCATAAAAGCTTGACCGCAAAGTTGATGTTGTTGTCTACTATCCGTGGCATTTATAGTCTTCTACCCGCTGGTCAAATTACTCAGGTAGTTCTGGAATACTCAGTTCATACCTCTACTTGCATTGAGCGGGAACGTACGACTGCCTATACCTAGACGAACCACTAGCGGAGAGCCACCCGCTGCAGACTTTAAGAGCAGAAGGAAGCAGCGGAGTTCCGCCCTTCATAGGCATAGATTTCCAATCTCTTGCAACTCGAAGTAGGCAATTCATCTATTAGCAACAGAAAATTCTTCGAGACCCATAAGTTCACGGCCATAGTCCGACTAAAACATCTGTTCCGAGCGACTAAGCCTGCCAGTAGGATAATTTTGATGTACGGTGCTTACTCACACTCCCTTCAAGCACTGCTGCCTGTGAGGCTGTTACTCAGCACCATGACACCAACGTAACATCGACCATTTTTGATGCAAATGATGCTATTGTATCAGCCGATCAAAGACATACACAAAGAAGGCATGTGCAAGTACTTGATCCATAAGATTCATTTACGTAAATGACCATGAGTCGGGGTCCGAAGCTCGGACATATCTTAGCCATCGATGTTGCAACTGTCATATGGAGCGATGGCTTGTCTATTATACCGGAAACCGCTTCTCTTTTTCATGAAGGGTCATCATAATTGCTTTGCCTACGCATGAGACGCTCTAGCATCTGGCGTAACATCAACATATACCTCACCCTGCTTTGAGTTGTCCGGCAAAAGGACTGCGACCCCTGATCTTCTCCCCGTAGATACACAGCAACCAAGGAACAAGCGAAAGAAGCAAGCCAATGCCACCTAGTAGACTTCCCGCGACACCGTACCCAAGCCTCTGGAACATGATGTTTGTAAACAAAGGGAACACTCCGGCAAGCAAGTTCCGGCACATAGACTGTGCTGCTAGAGCGGAGGAGGCATATCGGTGGTAGGTGTCCGCCAGATAGTTGAACACAGCCAGATAGATGGTGAAGATGCCAACCGTCACGGAGGTGATTGCGAGCGCCGGCACAATCCAGGGTACGTTGGGAGATGAGCTCCAGCCAAACCAAAACAGCCCAATCGGCAGGAAGAGTGACTCAACACATGCAGAATAGAGTCTCCCTTCCGGCGTTGCCATCCGGTGAGGCATGAACTTCTTGAAGATCGGCTCCTGGAAGATTGTAATCGCCGCTCCGATTACCGATCCAACAATGACTGAAGTGTAGATACCTCCTACCTGGCTGCTGTTGAAGCCATACACGGAGCGAAATGCCAGACCGATACTGTTGAACTGCATATACAGGATCGCCCATGCGAATGAAACCCAGGCGGAGAACCAAAAGACGACGGATTCGGTGCAAAGGAGTTTCAGGGGGAAGGAGAAGCTCCGCCACATGATGCTCATGTCAAGCTTAGGGCCCTCAAAATGGGCGCGGAACTGGACACGAATAGACTGCGACTGTCCCTTGCTCAGCTGCTCGGTGCCCTGTCGCAGTCCACTCTTGTCCCCAGTCGGCGACGAGACCCGCTGCAGTCGAATGCCGTCGAAATGTTTGTTGAGAGCCACGCACTTCCGCTCAAGTACAACATTACTCCGCGTCTCGGCAAAGAAGAAGAAGATGGCTAACGTGGTGGAACCGACAGTGATCATCTGCACGTAGAAAATCCATCTCCAATGGAGGTTGTCGACGATTATGCCGCTGATCATGGGACCCAACCCGGTTCCAATCATGATCGTGAGTGAATAGAGGGCCATGGGCGTGTTGCGATTTTCCTTGTGGAATACGTCTCCCACCACGCCCCCGGTCAGCGTCGCAAAGACTGATGCCCCGTTGCCTGTAATCAGACGAGAGATCAACATGCCAGGAAACGACTGTGTCACCGCGCAGCCCAGGGTTCCCAGGAAAAATACGGCACCTGAACCAACAAAGACCCAGTAGCGACCGTAGATCTCGCTGATCAAGGCTAGTATCATGGGCGCGAAACCGAAACCCAAGACGAAGAGGGTGATGCCTAGATTGAATTCGGTGTTCGTGAGACGCCATTTCTCAATCAGAGGGGCAGCGGCCATGGCATATGCGCCGGCAGAGTAGGCGGCCAGGGTCGAGGCGAAGAAGGTTCCAAAGAGCACCGTGATCTTCTTTCGTATTGACCATGCGAATGGTGATTGATATCTCGTATCGAGGGATGATGGGTAGTCCTCCTCGAGGAGGCCCTCAATGCCGTTCAATCGCAAACATTCTGAGAGCTGGAATGCTGGATCTAGCGCATCGATGTTGAGAGGAATATCAATTCCATCTGCTATGGCTGTGATTGACTCTCCAGGCGCAGCAGGATTGGTTTTCCCTTTGACATGGCCAATGTTCGAAACCTCGGTTATGTTAGACCGTTCAATGTCTGAGTCGCCAGCGGAGATGCCATCCAGAGGCAGCGGGACTCGACCCGTGGTTGAGTGAGGTCGCATTCTAGGCCATCTGCGTCGGTGACTGCGATAATTACCATCGAGCAAGGCAAAGATGACGCTGTGGGAAACTCACTTCACGCGATGGGACAGCGCTTTAGATCCATCGCTTTCGCAATCGACCTGTTGAGTCAAACAACCGCCAAGTGATGCGGGCGCGGAGACTTCTCCGCATGCCGCGTTGTGTATCCGCTGTCCGTCCACACCTTGGGGAGTCGTCCGCTGGTCGGGCTCCGATGATCGGAGGACCCTAGTCAATCCTCTGCGTCATTGTCCCCATCTGGTCAACCGGCTATACCACTACTAACGGACGGATACACCTCCTCATTGTCATTGTGCAAAGTTATGTGACTGGCTTGGTGAGAGTTTTAGGGAAAGTTCATGATCAAGCTTTAGTTGATACGATCGGCCATAGACGGTGGCCACATCGATATTGCAGACGAAGAGAATCATCATGGTTTCTCCAACTGCCAATGCCATCGCCACTCCTTGGTTCTGCTAACTGCAATACACGTGGGGAACAATAAAGGAAATCGAACATGAGTACCTAGCCCCTTTCACGGAGACAGCATTCTTTACACATGTCCGTTGATCCACCAAGGAAGCTTCCCCAGTATCGCGTGGCAGATCGTTTGGATGAGACCTCCGCAGGATCGGCGGTTGAAAGCGTGAGCGGTCCGGTCCGCGGCAACGCGCCGGCATGCTTCCTCAACCTAAAAGGACATACAGCCTGGTTCATTGGCACTAAACAGGGGCAAGATGCAGCACTTTACCCAGAAGATTGGAACTCAGAGGGGTTATCGGGGAAATGCATGTCTTCTGCGGGCAAACAGATCGTAGGGCGAATGTGTCGGCTAATATCTCGAGCTATCAGGAGGACCCCCCGCCCCCGGACCCAATGATGGTGCGGGGTGCGGCATCTTATCTTGGTCCTTGTTCTCTACTTTTGAGAAGGACTTAGATAGCATTGCGCAGAATGAGATATCAGCACTCCGTAAAGCCTTTCATGATCGGAGTCACCTCGCTGGACATTTAAGCTCTCATAACTTACTTAGGAGTTGGTCAAGAAGGGATACTTGGCATTTCACGGATTCCTTGCTTCCCGACCGGATGCCAGTGATGAGGAAGCGTGGACATCAAGTCTCCTTTACACCATGCCAGTGATGAGGAAGCGTGGACATCAAGTCTCCTTTACACCAGGGTTCACCTCCCTCCGACGCTGACTAACACTCGATGAAATAGAGCGAAACTGGGCTCAAAGCCCGCAGCTCAATCCCCTCGAAAGTCTCCCTCGGCCGATGAATTCATCCTCTTTACTCATACAAATGAGGACCATCTATCAATAGCTTTCCCCAATCCTCAACCAAAATAGCACAGGTGTGCTTGACCTGCCACATACGAGTCGCTTTTCTTGCGGCTTGCCATCCCTCACGACGCAGCAACTCAAATGAGTATTTGATGGTGACGCAGAGTTGATGTTGGGACAGCAACTCTGGTGAGAGGGGCCCAATCGCCACGTTCCAAAATGAGTAGTCAGGAAACTCATGCATGGGTAAACGAGGCAAAGGTCCCGAGTCTCACCTACCTCGCTTGGCCGCGGCTCATTGGCACTATCACGCGATGGTGGCTAGGATGGCTTCATTGCGCCCAGCCTTCGCATGAGGAAGGAACCAAGACTTCGGTTCAATATGCTTACCCGTCTCGTCTCTTTCCCCGAGGGACAAGACACCTTTGGGGACCTTTTGTGAAGCAAACTTTTCAGCTGATGATCAGCGAGGTGCTGATTTGTTGATGTTCCCCGTCGCTCCCGAGAGACAAGCTGAAATCCAGTCTTGCCATGAGAAGATGCTGCCTGACGAGTCCGCAAGCGCGTCTAACCCCTGAGTGTCATGCAAACTCTGCGCGGGATGAGGATCATATTCCTTGTCTTATATGCAGCCTGGAACTCGGTTACAACCGATGGAAGGGTGCCCAAACCTTGCCATGGTTGCACCATCGGCATCAGATCTCACGTACTAGACTGCAGCTCACAACTGCTATCGAGTTCAACAGATGATCCAGAGGCGATCATGAAATTTGCTCACTCGGAAGGTCAGATCATATTGCAGCGAGATAACACGAGAACTCTGACAACATGTCGTGAGAAGGCCGCGTGGTGCTTAAAGTGTTCGTTGAGGCACAGAGGGCAAGAGCAATGCAAGGCGTTGAACTAGACCCAACGCCGTGTGCATCTCGGAATGGACACTTACAACGGGAGAGGCGCCTTTGTTCGGCCGCAGTTGTCAATAAATGCAAAGAGTCTTCCAACTTTGCCAGGGTAGGTGAAGTCGAGATGCAGCTTGTCCCAAATGAAGGATCACCGCCTTGCCAACTTGCACTGCCAGACATGACCAACTTTAGGCATAAACGGCAACTGGGGCAATAGACACTTTCTCTTTTGAATCAAATAATGGTTGTACGTATTTGAGCGCAGAAAAGTGCGACATGAAGTACACGGGCAGCGACATGAAGATGAGGCAGCAATTACTATCGAGATCATAGATGAGACGAGGTTCATGACTATGGTGTCCAGGTGTCATGGTTTGGGTTTGTACATACTTCCCTAAAATAAGGTAATTCTCATCAGATGGTACCTTTCGGGGTATACCTGATGGTCTCGCCACTATTTCAATGATGCAGCATTCATACCCATTGAGTTGCAAGAAGTCATGATGTTGCAGCATGAGGTGTAGTGGGCGTGAAGAGGTTCGCCCGCAAAACTCAAAAGATGCCCCACGGGATAAAACCGGGTCCCAACGCCAAAATTTTCCCACTTCGAGTCTTCGACATCTTGTCCTCAGATCGCGTCATCGGCCGAGTGGACCACAAACAGAAACTATGACACAGAACTTTTCGCACCAGACCACTGGGACTGCGGGATGGGAAACCCTTGTGCTTGTCCCCTGACAGTTCGAGAATAAGAGCTAGGATCTTGGGGGCCATGTTGGGGGTCCAAAGAGGGTCTCGAAGACTCCAAGAAGCCTTCCAAGAAGCTCCAGATGCTCGCAGCTCCCTCATTCATGGTCTCTCACAGGTAAATCTCGCAAGCGGATACTCTCGGCGCACCACTGACGGTTAGACTCTTGAGTCTCCAGAGCCTCCTAATCCTTGTATGTCGGGACAGTGACCTTTGGGACTTTTTGTTTTTTGGCTCGGCATCATGTTCGTTCGTATGTACCAGGGTGCCTACTAATGCGGCGCAACCTCAACTGCTCACCCCCAAGACGACAAGCCGATTCCACCCAGACGAACCTCTCGCCACATGGCGCCAATTCGGTGTAAATAAGACGTGATCTCCTTGGCGGGGCCAGCTCTGCGACAGACATAAAGTCTTCTGGCAGCCTTCTAGTTTCGTAGTTCTTTCGGATCGTCTTCCGTTCTCCAGTCTTCCGTCTCCATCTGGTGTCTTTTCCTGGTGTCTGATCGTTTACATCCACGACGACAGGATCAGTTCACCATCATCACATCGTCAAGATGTCCAAGCTTTTGAACAAGTTTGGCGCCTCGTCGTCGGCCACTGCCGCCAACGGTGACCACAGCAAGCATGGCGATCTCCCTGCAGCGACGACCTACGACAGCGAAGTTGGTGAGTCTTCTTTGTGGTGATGGTCGTGGAGCGTCCTCCGTTGATCGAGTTCCGCCGCACAACCGTCAACTTGCTAATCAACCATCCCAGGCCGCATCGAGCACGCCCGCGAAAACAAGCGAAAAATTGGTGTCACCACTGCCATCTTCCTCATCGTCAACCGTGTCGTCGGCACCGGTATCTTTGCGACACCCGGTACCATCTTCGCACTCTCTGGTAGTGTCGGTCTTTCGCTCTTCATCTGGGTTGCCGGCATGATCATCGCCCTCGCTGGTACCGCCGTCTATCTCGAATGGGGAACCGCAATCCCCAAGAACGGAGGAGAGAAGAACTACCTCGAATACGTCTTCCGCAAGCCCAAGTTCCTAACCACGGGTCTCTACACCGGATACGTCATCCTGCTCGGCTGGGCTAGTGGCAACTCTGTCGTCTTTGGCGAGTACATTCTGCACGCCGCTGAGGTTGAGGTCGACCGCTGGAATCAACGCGCCATCGGCCTGGCTTGTATCACCACTGCCTTCTTGATCCACGGTCTCGCCCTCAACTGGGGTCTGCGCCTACAGAACCTGCTCGGAACTATTAAGCTGTTCATCATTGTCATCATCATTCTTTGCGGCTTCATTGCTCTTGGTGGCCACGTCAAGCTGCCCGAGGATCAAAAGCCCAAGAACTTCCAAAACGCATTCGAGGGAACCACCGGCAGCCCCTACGGTGTCGTCACTGCTCTCTATAACGTCATCTGGAGTTACATTGGATACAGCAACGCCAACTATGCCCTCAGCGAAACCAAGAACCCCGTCCGTACCCTCAAGATCGCCGCCCCCGTCGGTATCATCACCATCTCCATCCTTTACATGCTGGTCAACGTCGCCTACTTTGCCGCCGTCCCGAGAGAAGAGATCCTTGAGGGTGGTCGCCTTGTGGCAGCATCCCTTTTCCGTAATGTCATGGGCGGCACTGCCGAACGTGCTCTTTCTGTATTCGTCGCCCTGTCCGCCTTTGGCAACGTTCTCAGTGTCATTTTTTCGCAAGGACGTCTCGTCCAGGAGCTTGGCCGCGAGGGTATCCTGCCTTGGTCCCGCTTCTTCGCCAGCAACAGACCTCTCAACGCCCCCTTGGCCGGTCTCTTTGAGCATTGGCTGATTTGCGTCATCACCATGCTTGCTCCCCCTCCTGGTAAGAAAACTTAATCGAGCTCTGTGTCATGACGCATGCGTACTAACACATCTATAGGCGATGCTTACAACTTCATCCTCAACCTCATCAGCTACCCCCTTGCCATCATCAATGTCTTCGTCGCCGGCGGTCTCGCTTACCTCTACCTCAACCGCAAGGAATGGAACTGGAACCCTCCCATCAGCGCCAGCCTGCCCGTGGTCATTTTCTTCATGCTCAGTAACGTCTACCTCGTCATCGCACCGTTTGTGCCCCCCGAAGAGGGCCAGAACGTTTACGAGAGCCTTCCCTACTACCTTCACTGCGTCGTCGGTATCGCCATCATCGTGGCCGGTGGTCTCTACTGGGTCGTCTGGGCCAAGATCCTGCCCAAGATTGGCAAGTACGAGTTGGTTCGCGAGACTGTTGTCGATGAGATTGATGGCTGGGAGAGGAATGTGTTCTTCCGCAGACCTTATGGCGAGTCTGTTCCATCGGAGCGTCATGTTGGGTCTCCAGAGCCTGAAGTTGCCAAGTGAACGTCGCTTGCCGCTTATTCTGACTAGGCCCTCTTACCATACATCGTTTTAATTATACCCTAGAAGCAAAATCTACCATTTAAATGTCATGCATGCTCTTTCCCCAGCCTTGTCAGTACACTGCGACTGTGAGTCAGTAAACTGCCTCGGATGCTGAACTTCTGCGGCTTATTCGATAGTCGCTGGCAAATGTGTATATTCTTGGTACATCATGTCAGCAGTCACCCAATGAGACACTTCTACGAAGCAAAAATATGCACGTAGGATACCTTTCAGGCCACTTACATTTTGTCCTACCCACCACTCATCAGGTGGGTGGGGATAGTCGACATGTCAGAAGGTAGATGACTAGGTATGTTGAAGAGGCAGGCTGGTACATAAATATGCGGTCGGGATCTTCTCAACTTGGCATGGCTTCTCTATCTCTCTCTCATTTCCTCTCTTCTGAGCAGTCTCGGAATCTCTCAATGACGTCCACACAGCCTGCTTCCCTGGATCATGTTCTCCAACAACTCGCCAGCAACCTGACCGAATCGAATCGAACTCTCTCTAACCAGTACAATATTGGTCAGCTTCAATCAGAGCAATGCAATACTACAACTTCTTCACCGTCCAAATTTCACAACGACTCGGGAGGTTTGACGCAGCCAAACGTCACTGCTGCAACAGAATTTTGCGCAACATCAACACGCTCCTCTATCCCCTGGACCCGGAAGACCACTCCCGAAAACGTTTCGTTGGACATTTTACAACCACAAGATATCACAGAAAGACCTATAGAGCCTCTTCCACAGCAGGAACGCGTCGTAGGGGAAGGACCTACAAATTTTCATGAATGGATCGCCGGTCGCTTATCTGCCCTTCAATCCTTGAAGGATCTACGCCCAGACCTCGACTGGCTCTTCGATGATCTCCTACTGGGGTTTTCGACCTTAAAACTCAACTTGAGGGCCGTAGACGCTCCAGACTCCATGCTTCTCAAATACACGGAATATCCCGGCTGTCAAGTCTTTTGTAAACACGATTCTCATTGTCATGGGACCAATTACCAGCTTATGGGCATCCCATCTCTCGGTGGGGGCAATGCACGCCGGCTCTACGATTACGCTCTTGCTAGGATTCGTGAGCTTTCCCAGGCTAGGTTCGAGAGAATTCTTCACAATGACCACCATCTTTTTCTACCGGCTACAGTGTCATCAGGTTCCAGATATGTATGCTCTCCATCGGGGATTCTTTAGCTCTCTGTTGACTGAACATCTTTAAGGACTAATAACGCTTCAGGATTACACAGAGACATCTCTGGGAAAGATCTGGTATAGTTGTCGTTCTCGCACCTGAACTCTGCTGTGGGAATGAATAATGACAAATTTCAACCGTATAGGGTAGTGAAGTCGTGCCGTGTGCTCAGAAGGTCCACGCTGAGCATCCCCGTCTTAGCCTGTTTATTAAGCTGGCTCTCACTGGTGGATTATGACCAGGTCATTAGAATTCTTTCGTCTTACACCCTTCCTCATCATATCCTCTGCACTCCACGGCCTTGGTGGCCAAAGCAACCTCGGCCACCTTTCCCAACGAATGATGAAAATGAATCCTTGACTTTCATCTTCCATATGAGCTATTGGGTTCCCACGATACACTTCTCGCTCTACGACCACCACGATTCACAACCCGACGAAGAAGGTGTACTGATTAGCAGAGAACTTGGTAGTATCTTTGGGGCGCAAGGGCGTAGAGCCGCTGCCGCAATGAATCCCATCTCATATATGCTGGAAGAGCAAGAATTGCGTCGGCGAAAACTCTCACCCATCCAAGATCTCCGCGGCTTTCTTTTAGGTAATCGGCTCGCCCCGCTGATTTGGGTGATAAAAGCCATAATCTACCCGATAGTATTGTTGGGAACGCCTCTCTGGCTACCAACGAGAAACACAATACGAAGAATAGAAGCCAGGAGAAGCCAAAGTCTTTTGAAGACGATACGTTCACGAGATATGTCAGGGACCGAGTGGGAAGCGGGTATGACGGTGATGGAAAAGTGGCAGCGAATTATTTCAGATCAACGAAGGTCCACCGTCCTCGAAAGAAGATCAATACTGGTGATGACCCTGGAGCAGCCGTCACCTGGGGCAAAATACACTATGGTAGTATTGTCTGACGACGATCTAGAGCCCGCTTCCCCTCCGGAGGCACCCGATAATATGAGGTCCGGAAACCTGGAGCCGATATACGCTGCCAGACCCTCTGGCTTTGACCACTACCTAAATAAGGTTTCAGCTTTGATGAATATCTGGGAACAGCATTGGCATGAGATCTTGGATACAATTGAGACGGAGATATCTATACAGGTTGGTACACGACACATCCCATTGCAAATGGCAACCTTTAGTCACCCGTCATTCATTTTGCTGTTTCTTCACTTTCCGCTACTGCAACGAATGGGAAAGGGTTGAGGGGTTCGCTGATCTCCGAATAGATGCATGAATTCCAGGACAGAGAACGACTAGATCAGCTGATGTTCGACAAATCGTTCGAACTTTCCAAAAAGTACTTTTCAGTGCTTAAATTCCTTGAGCTTGCTTCAAAGTCTTCGGAAGATCCAAAATCGAATTTTGAAGCAATGCGTGGCCGATTCGATGCCGTAATGACACGATCTACTCGATACCCAGACCTAGAAGGATACGACACCACGAAGGGGAACTGGGAGCGTGTCACACAATCTATAAGTGAGGTGACCGGAAAGCTTCAAAATCGTGTTGATCAACAAACGAAAAGAATTAGGAGCCATCAAGAGAGTGTAAGTTGGCATTTTGGCTTAAGCCACTCACGCTCTTGCCTAACTCGTACAGGTTTTTAACGCAACATCGCTTCGGGAAACAAATAACGGCATGGCACTGAATAGATCGGTCTATGTTCTCACAGCAGTCACAATTCTGTACACTCCTGTGGGTTTTATGGCGGTACGTAGAAGCTTCGGTCTGGAATCTGTCGCTTGATCCAAAAAGCTGACTGTGTCGACAAGACCTTTTGGGCTTTACCATTTTTGAATAGCTCCTCCCAAGATGGGCAGGCAATAGAGCCTCGCGGATTTCGGGCAAGCTTTGTCATAGTTCCTTTTGTCACTTACCTTTTGTCGCTCCTGGCTTCGCTCTTTTTTATTTCTTTGCGTTTCCGCAGGACCGTAGGTCGTTTATATCAAGACTACCTGCCGTACTCACACGACGCGTTTGGCGTCTTCAAGTTCCTTTGGCATGGCTTTTCGAAATCTATTGCGTTCGGTAGTCTTGCACTTTCAGCCTTTTTCCGAACACCAAGACAGTCGCACGACGAGGCATATCTGAATGTATGAACAAGTTAAAATGTAGCCTTTTCTATCACAAGTTTGACGACTATATCTAGGTGATGTCTCAGGGAATGAACCCGGTCTTACTTTTCCGCCAGACTAGGAAGTTCTTCTGGGCTCTCAGGGAACTCTTGGGGCACATTTTTCTGCTACATGTTTTCTTATCTCAACCCCGTTGAACTTGTATCTGGTAAACTAGGCGTAGGGTGGTCCTAGCTATCTCCCCATGCTCTCTTGTGTGCTCTACCTACCTAGCCATAGGAAGACGAGCCAATGTATCGGTTATATGTTCCATTTCTTTGCAGAACTGAGTCTCGTCTTTGCCGGGGTTTTTGAGAGAATGCATCTGAAAGTTGACCTGATTGTCTTCGTGACAATTACCAGTGCTCACGCACGGAATAGCCTTTTCTTTGACGCCTTGCAGCACCAACACTTAGTGAGATATGTCAGCCAGCAGATCTTACACGAAGCATCACTGTAAAGTTATCGGAAAGACCGATTTACCTGCACTGTCATTTGTACGCTCGGATCTGAACTTGAGGCAATCCAGCAGTCGGCATCGTTTTGGCCGGACCCAGCAGGGCAGGGAAATCCGCCAAGCTTGCCCTTTGCTTCACAGTCTGCGGATGAGTCCTGAAGAAAGCAAGATTAGATAAATTTGTGAAGCGTGGCAGCTTCATATTCGGACTAACACAGTTGACTGTCTCTGACTGGCATGTCACAGGTGTGATACCGTTGTTCTGGGCAAGCGATCCTGCCGCGAGGAAGGAAAGCAGCGCGATGCTTACGGCGAATGAACGCATGGCCTTCTGGTCTTAGTCTGGGTTATTGACGGTGTCTGGTAGAATAATCTTAGGTACTTGGCTGAGTGCCTTGGCTGAGTCGTAACCCTAAGTTTCAGATCATTCTCAAGATTGTGTCAATCAGGCGCATTCCGTTGGTGGATTGAGAACCTCTTTATCAACAGATTTCGGACACTTAAGGTTGTGTCTAGATATTGCGATCTACGTCAACGATGCTAGTTCGGGGCGATCTGACGTCGTTTTAAAACCAGAGACTTAATCAATTACTGACAGTGAGCTCATGAGCAAGCCCCAAAGGGACGGCGAAGCCTTCGTAAGGCTGCTGGATATTATAGAATATTCTTGATGCCAAGAGAGTTATCAATCGTTCTAAGGCTTAAGCAGGGGCCCAGGTATGAGTTTTCTGAAAGGTAAGTCAAACCCCCCACTTCCCGGCACCCCCCTGTTTCTGGCACCCACAAAAACGCGAAAATCCACCACAACGCAATGCCCACCCCCAACCTCCTTTTATCACAACATTTTCAATTCGAGTCCAAATGGGCTCATTTTTTGCACATACCTTCTTCTATATCTAATGCCTCAATATACCGAAGATCAGCTTCGTCAGGCTCTCGAGGACATCTCAAACGGCAAGAGTCAAAAGAGAGCCTCATTGGAGTATGGGATACCACGATCAACCCTCCAACTACGTCTCCAAGGTGGTCAGACTAGGAAAGTGGCTTTGCTGACTGGCAGAGGCTGTCTCCTGACCAGGAGAGTAAGCTGGCACAATGGGTTCGCATTCAGGCTTCGCTGGGCCTCGCACCAACGCACCAACAGGTGAAGGAATTCGCAGAGCGAGTTCTGGCTGCTGCTGGGGATACCAAACCATTAGGAAAAGGCTGGATCTATGCCTTCGTGAGAAGGAACCCTATCATTAAGGTTCAGAGAAGTCGTTCCATCGATTCTAGACGCGTTAATGGGGCATCTACTGAGGTCATTAGGAACTGGTTTAAGTTCCTTGCTATCCCTGAGATCAAGGACATCAAACCAGCCAACAGATATAATATGGATGAGACTGGCATCCTCGAGGGTCAGGAGCTAATGGGTTAGTGCTGGGCATGGCTGAGACGACGTCTGTTCGCAAGAAACAACCTGGGTCGAGGGCATGGGTCTCTATCATTGAGTGTATCTCAGCCTTGGGTAGGGCACTTCGTCCTCTTATCATTTTCAAGGAAGACGGTCCAACAACAGTGGTTTCCATTACATCTGGTTCCATACGATGGGTGGGAGTTTACAGCAACAGATAATGGCTGGACTACAGACTTAACTGCCATTGAATGGTTAGAGAAGGTGTTTATCCCACAGACTATGCCCGAGGCTGAGGGCGAGGCTCGACTGTTGATTGTGGATGGGCATGGAGTCATACGACGACAGACTTCATGTGGAATTGCTATATTAACAATATCCATTTACTGTTCTTACCACCACACTCCTCTCATGTCCTCCAGCCACTTGACCAGTCTGTCTTCAGCCCTGTTAAGTCAGCCTATCGGAAGGAGCTCGGTTACTTGTCTCAATGGAACGACTCTACCATTATAGGTAAAAGGAACTTCCTGGACTGTTACCAGAAGGCTCGACTTGCTGGTCTATCAGTCTCGAACATCAGAAGTGGTTGGAAGTGGACTGGTCTACACCCTGTAGCGATGGTTAAGCCCCTGATGAACCCTATGGTATTACCTGAGCCTTCTGCTAAGCCCACCACACCCAAACCAACCAGTCGGGGCAAGCGATGCCATAATGGTCAACAAACTACCCCTGTTGAGCCATGGGATTCTGCTCTGCAGTGGTCTGGTCGACACCAGGAAGCTGGCAGAGCTCAGCGGTCAACTGCACTTATACACCCAACTCGACAATGATACCAGCACTCAACGGCTGCTGTTCAGGAAGGTGAAAAAAGGCTTCACAGAGCAGGCCTGGCAACTGGCAGCTGCCCAGCAGCAGCTGGCTCACCTGAGGGCCAAGTTACTTAGGAAGAGGAAGACTGTTCAGATCGATCCCAACACGAAGTTTGCGAACATCAGGGATATCCATCGGGCTCAAATCGAAGCGGGTGAAAAGGAGGTTATTACGGCTGAATCCAGCGACTCTGAATGCCCTAGTGAGGCTGGCAGTTGTATTGTAGTGGGTGTGGTTGAGGATCAATAGTTAATAGTAATGAGGAGGTTGGGTTGTGATCCCATCGTTTTTGTGGGTGCCAGAAACAGGGGGGTGCCAGGAAGTGGGGGGTTTGACTTAATTGGGTGAGTTAGGGACGGACATCAACTTTAAGCTCGGTTTCGGTGGACGGAATTCTTCTTGAGTCAGATATCCCCAGTATTTTACTATAAATGACTTTTGCTTGAGCCACGGCCAAGACAATGCATCAGCTGATAGCCAGCAAGTGTCGGAAAGGCAGGCGTTCCCACGAATTCTCGCGCTGATGGTAGAATGGGTCAACGGCTTGAAGGCTCTGATTTTTAGGTACCGGATATCGTGGGCAAGAAATGGGCAACAGGGTGATCTTCCCGTACCGACTAGGTGTACTGAATCGATGACTCTTAAGCTCTCTTCTTCAAAGGCCAGGCGAATGCTCCCAACGAAGAGCAAAGCATGAAAGAGCCCAAGAACAAGATTAGCGACTCATAACGGCCCATCCCATACCCCCCGCTCACTGGCTTGGTCAATAATCCAGCAGTAATCGGGCCAGTGGCCAAGTTCCCGATGCCCTTGCCAAACGCCATCATGCTGTACACAGGCTGCGGGTCGTCGGAAAGCATCGCCCCAAACTTTGGCCAGTTGATGAGGAAGCCTCCAGCAAACATGCCAAAGACCAGTGAAAAGATGACTAACAGCGGCAGAGAATGGGCGAATCCCCAGAGAGTGAAGGCCGCCACCGCCGATGTAAAAGAAGAGATGAAGATGAGCATAAAGACGTTATTCGTGTGGTCGGAAAGCCATCCGAAACCAATCTGCCCGAAAACGGTTGCCAAGTTGTGCGCTGCCAGGAGAAGTGCTCCCATGGTACCAGAAAGCCCGATGGCACTAGCGTAAGAGGGCAGATACAAAGACGGAATGTAGTAAGCGAAACCCTGGAACAGGTTCGAGAGTGCGAAGCAGTAGAATAGGGGCTGTCTCAGGAAGCTGACGTCGAACATGCGCATGGCACCGTGAGGTGACGGTGGCAGTCGGCCCTTGATCATGTGTAAGATGGGCGCAACTCCAAGGAACTGAGCGACAGCTACAGCCCGGAGTGTAGTCTGGTATCCATACTTGGACAGCAGTAGTTGCAGCAGGAAAGGCAGCCCAACGCCGCTAAACCCGCCACCGGCGTAAAGAACGCCGTATGCAAGTCCGCGCCGGGCGACGAACCACTCGTTCAACATCCGCAACACCGGGAAGTAGAGCATCAAGAATCCAAATCCGTACAAGACACCCTGGGTCGCGATGAGACCCGCGATTGAAGTGGCAAAGGACGCGCCGACCAGAGACGCAACGCACATTGCCCAGCCGACGACGACCATGTGCTTCTGGTAGCGGTGGAATCTTTTCACCACAGGCGCAGCGAGGGGCGCTCCGAGGAAATAGATACTGGTGGATACCGTGCCAATGACAGCGATATTGGAGTCACCCTCAAATTGTGGTTGAGAGGAATAGTATTCCTGAAAGACACCAAAGGTCAAGGGAAATCCTGGCAAAGTTAGTGACACCGCCCCGTAAGACTCTTCCGGAGAATTTAAGAAATACCCCATAGAAGTGCCTCAATAACAAAGCTGGAAAGCAAAAACTTCCATGCTGCAGCGCCCTTGTCTGTCGGCGGCATAGTGTGGATCAAGGTGTTTCCGTCTTCCTCGTCACTCTGCGGCGCCGAGGCGACCGCGCCGGAGTTCGGCATCGGGCGCAGTTCAACCGACATCTTGACTGAAGCACCGGAGCGTGAAATGTTCGTCGCTCAATACAGGCCTTCCGTCGAAACACTTTCGAGATGCACTTTAAATTTCCTCTCATCCCCCGTGGGGTAGCCTAGGTTTTTATGACAAAGAGTCTTTAAAAACCGACACCGGTGCCGGACCGGGACAGCTTCCGGTTGTGGGGTAGCAACACTGGGTCAAGAGTCATTTTCACATGAAAGGGCGCACGCCTTTCCTAGTTGGTGAGGTACTTTGGCCGCTTCGAGTTATGCGGTCTAATAAGTTTTGTAAAAGTAATCGTATTGTGCGTAATAGGATTGAAGTCTTGGGCCTTCTGTTCTTCGTGTCCTCTACCGCTGTTTGTCGAATTTTGTTACGATAGTCGTCGAAAGTGTTGGTGAATTCAATTTCTCTAGAGTTGAACAGAACTCTAACTTCGAACCAGAAAGTCTCCCTTATCACGTCTACCACCAATTGACTATTCTAGCATTATCTCGACACTCCCTACTGTGAATTATTTTGATGAATATCTGAAACATCTGCCCCTGAAGCATGGTCAGCATAGCTCTTTTAGGTCGGCGGCGGACTTTGACATTTTACTTGACAAACGCGTTCTGCCCGTTAATAGAGACACGACTTCACTCTATTTAAGCAGCAAGTTTTGGAGGACACTTCTGAGCGTTGATCAACAAGATGGTGTGCTCTGAATCATACTGAGTAATTGACTCTGCGTGCCTCCAATTGGTTGAAACATGAGTCCTACAATCCTGCAATGTGACCAATGTAGTAACGTAAGCTCGCTGGCCGACATGACGCATTGGACCCTGATTCTCCCGGCGCAGGGGTCCTTGCACTGTCAAACGACGCCCTTTGGAGTTCTCCCCAATGAATACCGGAGGTATTACATCCACCAAATCCTCTTATCAACTCTCATGATTTGTTTGATACTTTTTCGCGATACAGAGTGCATTGGAAAATAAATAGAGAAGCGCACACCTTGGTTTCGAGCTTCGAGCTGCGCAAGACGCGCGCATCCTGATTAAAGCATTTTACTGCCGAGTCATTTGCATTTTGCAGGTTTCAGTACAACTTCACAAGTCACATCTAGTACTCCATCGCCGCAACAACATCCCATCGAGTACTTCAACCTCAGCATGACAAAGACCAGCCTTTTCGAAGACTATGTGGTCACCGACAGAGGCGGCGTGATCGAAAATCGACACGCAGTCCACGCTGCAGTCGTCGACGCCAGTGGCAAAATCCTCTATGCAGTCGGCAATCCCTCACGAATGACGCTGGCTCGCTCTGCATCCAAGCCAGCGCAAGCTCTCGCAGTGCTTGAAACCCCAGGTTTCAACAAGTACGGTTTCGATGGAGCTGATATAGCTCTGATGTGCGCATCTCACAACAGCGAAGACCGGCACGTCTCGAGGGCAAAGTCGATGTTATCCAAGGTTGGGGCGCAAGAGTCAGACTTGCGGTGCGGTGGTCACCCTTCGATCTGCCCAGTCGTGGATAGGTCCTGGATCAGGGCTGGATATACGCCAACCGAGATCAACAACAACTGCTCTGGTAAACATGCGGGCATGTTGGGCGGCGCGAAGGCTCTAGGTGCGAGCTTCGAAGACTATCACCTGCCTAGCCATCCGATCCAGGACAAGGTGAAGCAGGTTGTTGAAGACTTGAGCGGACTTAGCGGTGACGAGATCAGGTGGGCAGTTGACGGCTGCAATCTTCCTGCACCTGGGCAACCTCTCTATTCAATGGGCCGCATGTATGCTGCCTTTGCCGCGGCCGCAGATGCTATTGAAGAGGATGAAAGCGCTCAGCTCGTGAGAGTAAAGCACATGTCCGATATCTACAACGCCATGGCGACGTATCCCGAGATGGTCGGCGGAGAGGGGCGTTTCTGTACTATCCTCATGGAAGCGTTCGAAGGCAGTCTGATCGGCAAAGTTGGTGCAGACGGATGCTACACCATTGGTATCCGGGCATCAGAGTCGACGAAGGAGCTTGGTGCGGAAGGAGCCATTGGCATTGCGGTTAAAATCGAAGACGGAAGCCTCGAGATCCTCTATGCTGCGGTTCCTGAGATACTGGATCAGCTTCGAATTGGGACGCCGGAGGTGCGACGTAAATTGGCCAGCTTCCATCACTTGAAGCGTACCAACACCATGGGCGTTGAGACGGGTCAGGTCTCACACGCCTTCAGCGTTCGCCGTGTGGATTGAGTTGTATTACGGGCCCTTTGCGGTGGAAGTGAACTTCTCAAAATGGTTGGGATGAAATGATGATAGTCATAGAGGGTTGCTTTCTCTTACTGGATGATAGACCAAGATAGATGAGTTCATATTACCAAGCAATTGCGGGGTGACTCACTTTCACCTATGATGAACATGAGTACTCAGTGAAGTGAGGTGGTATTCCGATGTCTTTCCTCCATTGAGTGAAACCAGCGGCCCGGGTTTAAGCCTGGGGATGCAGAATCTGAGGGACTGAAGTTAGGCCGACTGAAGTAAGCAAAGCTTAGCAATCACGTACCAAAACATGTGCGCCTAGCGCTCACTGGCACTGCACTGGAATGCCCCTCGTCTTATTCCCGTTTGCTGCGTGCCTGGGCGAGTCGTTGCATCCCCGCACGCCACGATACATGAGGGGCCACTGAAGACCAAAGTAGGGTAAGTGATGTAGTAATTACATGTGTCTTTGTTCTGAGTGCCAGCATAAACTGGATCATACCCTGTCACTTATAGTGATAACACGTCCACACGATCAGCGGTCTTTTCTGCGACCCTCGTTGATTCGCAGTAATCTAAGGGTCTGGACTGGCGAATTTCAGGTGTTAATCATGGTCGACGGGAAAGCCTCGAGACTACTGCCAAGCCCAAAGGGCTTACTTGGGCCATGATGCTATACGAAACTCGCAGATGATCTATATATCCAACGCTCGCCCCTCATCCGGTTGATTCTATTTCTTCTTCCATAATCACATTGTTTCCGACTATTTATTACACAGTACGTCGTCGAAATTACCTCATTCACATCACACATCATGTCTTCCATCGCCAGAGACGACAAGACCTCACCGTCATTCATCCCTCTTGCCGGCGTATCTCAGGACGGCTGGTCAACGGAGAATGAAGCAACGGCAACGTGCCTCTGTGGCGCCGTTCAGCTCTCGTTTGTAAGATTTCACATCAATTCATCTCATGACACCAACCCAAAGCCCCAGAATCATCGCACTAACTACCAGACCCCTCTCAGCCAACCCAAGGCCGCGGCCTGCTCAATCGCTTCATCTGCCACTGCACTGACTGCCGCAAAATCTCCTCCTCAATGTTCTGCTCCAACTTCTCAGTTGCCGACAGCCACCTTCGCCACATCCGCGGTAAGGAGAACCTAAAGTCCTTCAGCCAGTCCCGCACCATCGCGACAGGCAACGACATGGCGAACCACTTCTGCGGCACCTGTGGCACGCTCATGTACCGTGTCAGCTCCGGTCTACCAGGCATGAGCATTCTCAGGCTCGGGACTGTCGACGATTTCCGCCTCGTGGAGACGAAACTGAAGCCGCAGGTTGAGCAGTTTATAGACACGCGCGCATCTTGGTTGAAACCGGTCGAGGGCGTCATGCAGTTGGATCGGATGCTTACAGCAAAGGACATAAAGAGTCTTTTATAGATGATCCATGCAATTAGAAATACTTAATGCTGTTCAATCCGAACATCCGTCTGTACTGAAATAAAAAGGCGGCAGCCTTAGAAATCCAGGCCAATGGCGAATTTGTACACAAAAGTAACAAAGCCCGCATCTCCCAGTGGTATCATACTGCTACATACTCTTCCCTGTCCACGATTTCACCGGTCCTCTGATTCTTCAGGTAGAAATGCACCTTTTTCCTTGGGGGGATCGTGGCTTCCGGCGGTTCTCGAAAGTTCATCGCGACTATTCGCCTCTCTTCCGGCACGAATCCACCACCGCCCTCATCAGAGACATCGAAGGCGTCCGACTCGATGATATCGCCGAGAGCGATGTTATGCTCAATCTCGACCACTCGCTTTGCGATAGACCATGTCAAATTCCTCTCCCAAATATTCCTCCCAGGCTGCATGAGCTTCTTCATCAACCTCAGGGCCTCGAGTCGCAGTCTTAGGTTGCGGCACCGGATGACCACCATGAAGAGGAGAGAGCTATATCCGAGCTCGAGGACGCTTTCGGTTCCCCAGCCTGCTGAGGACTTTGACGCCTCTGAAGAGCCTTCCGCCTGTAATGCAAGAACGATGATGGCACGGAACTTGTCCGTGTGCGCATCGTACACGCACTCGCCTTCGTCTTTCTTTTCAGAAGCCAAGAGGGCAATCCTGGCCACGAGGTAACGAATGTCTAGTAACCGTATCATGTCCTCCTCCTTGCTGGTATACCTCTCCTCTTTCTTCATCTCCCAGTATGCCTTGTACCATGCATCTAGATCAATGAGGATGAATTGTCGAAGCCATTTCGCGTCTGGTTCCGGACCTTCCTTCCCGGTTTCAAGCCAGCGGTCGGTAATACACGCACATTCCATGTGCCGGACAAGACGTACGTGAATTGTCAAGAGTCGAGCGTGAGCTTCTGCGACATTCTGAATCCGTTTGGTCGAGGTCGATAAGGGCTGGCGCACTGTTGGAAACGTCGTTGGGTTGATGCCATATCGGTATGGCGCAATGCTAAGCTGCCGCATGACCGGCGTGACGTGGTTCCGCAGAAAGTCGGATTCGTTATGTATCTCATTCAGGATGTTGATCCCGTGCCGGCAGTGAGTAGTCGCGTCTTTTGGGTTCCGGCGAATCAGCTCTATGCAGATGAAAAGCACACAGACGAAGAGAATCAGCGCGCGGTCTGTCGTCGTTCGGAGGAGCTTGATCGCCTCGTTGTAGTGCCACACAGCAAAGGAGCTTGCTTCCCATGATCCGTTGCTGAATGTCTCGTACACGGAGCTGAGCGCCAGCACAGCATGGCTGGCCACAGGTTCTTGGTCCGACATTTGCATCACGACATTAGTCCAGAAGTATGAGTTGAGGGACCCAGCAAACGCCGGCGCTGTGACCTTGCGGTAGAAGTCCATTGTTCGCTCGGCATAGACGATGCTGGCTCTGGTCGGCTGTGTAGCCCGAATCGAAGATACGTTGTTCACGGGGCATGATCTGAAGAGTTGCGCCCAGGAGTACGTCGTCGTCGGCGGAGAGATGTAACCGTCACATTTGCGGCCAGTGGAGATGCATCTCGCGCAGGATGGACGCGCCTCGTCACATTTGATACGTCGGATCTTGCAGGTCGTGCAACCCGTCTTCACTCTTTGTGTCCCTATTCGGGCCATTGCGATGGTCGGCTCAAAGGTTGACTAGATGGCCGTGACACTTCAGGCGTGAAGTCATTCCATTACATCCAGCCGTTTCAACTAAGTCGTTCAACGAGAGGTGCGAGATCGGTCCAGCCGAGAACACAAAGAGTGATAATGCGGGGGAGACGGACTCGCTATATCAATCATACACATCTCATGATAGATAACCGGTGGCAACACAGATTCTTTGTACAATCTATCAAAGTTGGACGTCAATCTTGGTCTTCGAGGTTTCAACAGGTCACCTGAACTAGCCGCTTGAACAAACATCCGCAACAGTCGAGCGTTGGCAGCAGGTCTGGGCGAGTATTGGTTTCGAAACGAGATATCTGGGGATTTCGAAGAGCTTAGGCAAGTTCGGATGCCGTGGGGCATTTAACGAACACACCAATAGGTAGTTCGTAAACACTGAAAGCTTACTTGCCCGTGCCAGACTTGGTTTTTTTGAGATGAAACCGTTCGGCTACCGGCGGCGTGCCAAACGGGAACATTATGTTGACGATTGATCGAACCTTGACTGTCAATAGAGACGTATGGGGTCATGTGTAGAGCTGGCATCCTGGAATATGCATGATTCGAAGCTAAAAATCACTGGTGAGGTTTATCTAGCGATTCGAGAACGCTGAGTACGTGCATAAATGAGGGAACTAGAATTACGAAGTAAGATTGGTATTTGATTTTGCAGCTTAGAATCATAGTCTGGGGAAAGCATAGACGAGCATAGCTGATCGTAGGGCTGAAGTACCAAGCAGCCGGTAAGCATAAAAGAGTGCAGCATCGTACAACCTAATGGATGGGCCGCGATAAGTGCAAGTGTTCACCGCTCACCTTGCTGAGGTGAGGCGCTCACCGATCAGCCCAGATTCACCGGGGGATCGACGGTCCAGACCGCTATAGACCGCAGAATGCTGCATTTGGACTGGTGCAAGACGGAAGCGAGCCAACAGAAAGCTCCCCTGAGAATAGACCAATTACAGCTAAGCTTTCTTCGGAAGCCTCCGGCCTGAGCACCGCCGCCCTTGTTGCGATTTCCCTCCCCCCCTTCACCGCATTTCTTCAACGACACCCCGCAACCATTCCTGCAATTGCCACCTCCCATTCACCGTCCGCGGGTGCTCCCTCGAGCAGGTTCGGAAATGACCTGATACGCGTGGCGACTGCCGTCGAAATGCCACCCAATCGAACCCATCCAACATGTCGCCGTTTCGCCCGCTGCGGCCGCGGCCATTAGCCGAAGGGTCACCGGCCACTCTACGGCAGAATCCCGATTCCAATCCTGATCCCAGTGCCGAACCCGGTACCGGTACCGTACGCGGTCCCGGCCTTGGGCCTGGTCGACCTAGCATCAGCCTTCGCCGTCCTGCTCGCCCACGCAAGACCAACAGCGCCTGCGATCCGTGTCGGAGGCGGAAGACAAAGGTGGGCCCCGGCTTCCCCTGTCTTGCATTTGCCACTGCGGCGTTGTTTCTCGACGTGCCAATCAATTTACATGCTTTGGATTTCGTTGCGTGAGGTGCTAATTGCTGTCCTGATAGTGCGATGGACGACTCCCACGATGTGTCATGTGTGATCACCGAACAGAGAATTGCGAATACACCTATACCGTCCGACATCGTGTAACTCTTGCCGAAGTGGAGCAGTCCAAACGAGGTGGCCCTGCCGAAATACTCGAATCTCTTCGAACACTTCCACCAGAGCAAGCCCTCGAATTGTTTCGTAAATTACGCAACGAGACGCCCGGCCGGGCTCTGAATCTTGCACGCCCATCCGATCAGCAACACCTTAGAGGCCTTCTCCCACCAACGCAGAACAGCCTTGGTTTCGAATTGACGATTCGACACCCTGTGGCTTATCCTGCCCTGTTCCCGGTGCCGTACACGGACTTGACTCTCGGAGCCTTACTTCAACCTGTGACGAAGGCATGGTTGCAAGGGCAGCAAGGGCAGCAAGGGCAGCAAGATGCGTATGTCAATCTTATCAATTATCTAATCCAGATCCTCCATTGTCAGGGGAGCTTGTGAACGTACCTTCAACCGGCACAACCATCACAAGATGGCTCGAGGCTTGGCCGAATGCCACCATAGTGTACTGACTTATCAGCTACAGGTCTTCAAGGCAGGTCTCTCCTTTCGGGGATACATACCTGACTCCCGAGCGAGATGAGGACGCAAGCCCAGTATCCAAAACCGGTTCACCTGACCATACAGGGGCTGCGACTCCCAAACCACTCTTCGACGAACGATTACGTCTGCTTGATATCAGCAAGTGGACAAACATCCCTATACCGAACGACCTTGCCATCAGTATTATATCGCACTATCTTAACATTGATTACGCTACGATACCCCTTTTCGACGCCGACCTGTTTGTACGAGATTTGGTTAATGTTCAACATTTCTTTTGCTCTCCGTTTCTTGTCACTGCCGTCTTGAGTTGGGCATGTGTATGTTGCCCATCATCCCCTTTGCAATCATCAGGCGCTGACACAAACAGCAAGCATATACGACCCTTCATACCGATGCCGCCGCTTTCAGTGTAGCTCTGTTCGCGGAATCTCAGCAGTACTTCTCTGATCAGCAGCAACCCAATAGTGTTACAACAATTGCTGCACTGCAGATCCTAAGCATGTGCGCCGTGACGTATGGCAAAGACGACATGAGTCTTCGGTTCCTGCAAGAAAGTGTCAGGTTGGGTAAGGCGATGGGACTCTTTAATGTCCAGTCCGAGGCCGAATCTGCGACCGTCTGGCTTGGCGGCCATACAGAGTGGACGAGAGCGGCGTCATATACGGCTTGGGGCGTTTACAATTGGGTATCGTGAGTAGCCTTTACGTTATGAACGTTGCGATTGAGAGATGCCTCTAACCTTCGTAGGGTATATTCCCTCCACTACCGCGTCCACGAAATCCACACACCGCCGTTGCTGCCGATGCCTCGAGATCTGGTCTTATTACTACCAAACGACGATCCGAGGTCCGCCAAGACAGCGTTCCATGCCCAGCTCCTCAGTGCCGCGAGCGATATGTGGGTTATCTTCAAGGACATGTTGGAAAGATTCTACGGCCCTCAATACCACGGCACAACGCTCGAGTCGACACTCAGATTCGCAGAAGGGACATATCACCGTCTGCTTTGCTGGTCTGGCGCGCTCTCTCTGGATATGGCGAGAGGTGAAGAAAGCAACCACAGCGTCATGCTGTTGCAGTACGTCTGGCCTAGATCTGAACCCCATGATGCGTTTTGACTAATACTGGCCCAACAGCGTTTACTTCCACGCCGTGGTGACCGATCTATTCCGACCTTTCCTCGCAACCGAGTACAAATCACAGCGCCTCTACTCCTTCAGCACACAACACGCCACTCCCGAAGCCGTCTATGCATCGTCCGTTACACAGCTCAAGCGACTCCTCCTGCTCTACCGCCTGAAATACAAGAACGCGAATTACTCCGTCCTCTGGCAGACCGCAGTCGTCTACGTCGCTAACGCCATGATCCAAGAAGGGGGACTGTCACTACGGGCTGACGGCCAACCTGGAAATGAGTGGAAGTTCTACTTGGACGTCTGCCTCGCAGGCCTAGAGGACTTGTACGCGTCTTTCCCCGTCTTTGGGTCAATCGCCCAGGGCATGGTGGGCATGGCGCTGCGACACTCGGCGATACAAACAAATAAGGCTACCCGCGTCTTGGCGCAGCTCGATGATATCGAGCGGCGGCACGCATCTCTCAAAGGCATGACGGACAAGACGGAGGCGCGGTGGATCATCGACTTGAACCTTGCGACGACTGATTTCGAGGGTGCTCAAGCTCGCAACCTCGTGGAAGAGCTTCAGAAGTTGATGGTTGAGCAGACCGAGTCTGAGAATGTTGGTGAAGATGCTCAACCATGAGGACATTATATATACCCTTGCTTCTCAAGCTGTCATAAGGAAATGCACCGCAATGGATTTGCATTCAGCTGTATTGAACGTCTGGCCGTAGAAAGATGTCGACCCATCGTCGGCGATCGTCGGTCATTCTAATACAAGATATCAACCGAGACTATGCGATACCCAATATGGAAGCTGGATGAGTGATGAAATTGAAGTAGCTCAATATCTAAGAGGAGCTGATATGGACCACAAGTCGCCCTCCATTGAACCATTGAACCATTCGGAGGAAGTTTGGACTATCTCGATGGCCGCGACCACTCGGTTTGATGTGACGCTGCGCTGTGGGTGAAAAAACATGCTGGTTCTTTGTAGAAAATCATGGAAAGCAGGACAACAGGAAGATGTCGCCTAGATCACTCGCATGCATTTTTTCTCATTGGTCAACGGAGTCTGTCTTATATTGCATCTCGACCAGAAGGCTCATGGAGTGTACATGTAATTCTGGGGAAGACAAATCAAGGGTCTCCAGCAGACAGACAAGCAAATGTAGGCGAAAGGCTGTCTGGATCTGTCCCATCCACATTCCGGATTCCTAGTGATCTGTCCCTATTCAATCGCAACCAAGTATCTTCAAGGTGACTGATAATTCATTGGAGGCCATCAACATCGTGTGTTCGAGATCTTGTATAGTTTGGCGTTCCTTGTATGCTCGAATCATTCCCGTGACGTTGTTTCGTGTATCTTGCTGGTGACCTTTGAAACGGTGAGTGTTGATATGGTGTGTGCGAGAAAAGCATTCTTGCCAGTGTAGCCAAATTGTCGTAGGAAATAACAGAGCAACCCAGAGGCCTGCTCGCCACAGTTACCATTGCCTTATCAATGACTGCCGTCATCTCGTCCGTAAGGCTCTCCAAAGAGCCTTGCCCAACTATCCTTGGCCTCCTCGTCCAAAGGCCGACCTTGGATGTGCGCGCCAAACAATGTCAGCCTATTCCAGTAATCGAAGCATTGCGAATTGAACATCAACTTCGTAGTCAGCTCAAATACTGACTCGGTGCCCTCCCTTCCAATGTGAGTGACAAGCCAGGTAAACGTGGTTAAGACGTTGGCAAGCTCTCCGTCCACCGCTCGAATAGCGGCGATTGCGTCGTCAGAGGATCTGCCAACGTTACCATCACCGTCTGTAGTCACGTCGACACCCAACAGTTCTGCGCAAGAGGCGATAAGCTGATCGGCGTGCATGTCGCCCGTCTTCTAGGCGGACGCCACTTCGTTCCAGATCCTCGACTTCTCGACGTGTGTCGGACCTAGACAGTCTTCGAAGGCCTCTCGCACCTTGGTGTTGCCCAAATCCACATCGTCGATTCTGATGAGAGCTTTGAGTTCTCGAGCACATTTGGCCACATGCTTCCCGTCAGCTAGATCTGTTTCAAACAATCTCTGAAGAATACGACGGTCGATCTCCGAGATCCGATCGGCATCGGCGGCGTCGCATTCAGCAATCAGCTTTTGAATGTTGACCCCACCGGGTAATTTATGTCTTGTGCCGTACTGATTTCCCAATCCAGGCCAGGTGAGATAGCCATCTGGGCCTATTGTGACCGATTTGTCGATGAGCCCTGCGTTCTGTCCCTGCCGGATCGTTTTGATGAAGACTTTATAGTATTCCTTGGTATCTTGGATATTCTCGTCATGTGAGGTGGGTGAACCGGACGGATTACCGATATGTCTGTCCTCGGCTTGGACCTCAGGCGACACCTGCGTATCCTCAATGTCCGGACTGAAATGTGGGTCGATAGTCACCACCTCAGGCCAGGAAGATCGAACAGACATCTTTGGCGCTGACCAGATCTGGTGATCGAGTTGATCCTGGTAGGGCTCCAAAGCCTTGAGGCTAATCTCTCCATCAGCGATAGGACGCCAAAGGTCGGGGTCGGACTGAATGTGCTTTGGAACGAATAGTCCATGCATCAGCGTATCCCTGATTATCCCGCGAAGGTTAGACCCCTTTCCATTGGTATAACCAGCGAAACCCAGAGTGTAGATGTCGGGCATCATCAGCATGGCGGAGAGCTCTGGGGAGGGCGGTGCTCGAGATCCGTGGTTCAGGGGCATCGTGAGCTGTGATCCTTCCCAAGATGGGGGCACGATCTCTAGCCAGTCCTCCTCTTCGAGTCCTATCTCATCAATGTACTTGAAAACAAGATCAGTATCGATGTCCCCATCGTTGATCATGAAGGCGCCGAGACTTTTGTCATTGCCGTAAAAGTAGTCCACAGCACGAAAGATGTGGACGTAGGCCGAGAGCTTGAGTTCTTCGTGGATCCGAAAATAGTGCGGCCCATACAATATCATCTGGGCAAGTGAAACCAAAGGAACAGGCTTCATGGGCTTTTTTACCCCCTTCTCGGCTCCTAGATCAAGAGCGTGGTAGCAGTCATGATAAATGATGGCTAAGATCAAGGCAAAGCTTGGAGACACAATATCCAGCTCGTACTTGCCAAGGAACGCGTCGATCTCGTTCATGAGACCTACTGGGATTCTGATTCCCTGCATCTTGGGCATCATCATTCTAAAGTGCCTCCACTTGTCCTCTCTGGTGTCAGATATGGCTGCGTAATCGGGCATAATCTCTGCAGAGGCCACAAGCAAAGGACATGCTCCTCTCTGGTGTCAGATATGGCTGCGTAATCGGGCATAATCTCTGCAGAGGCCACAAGCAAAGGACATGCGTGACCCGCGGCGAAGGCATCCTGCTGCTGTTTCTTGTATTCCGCTATTTCATTCTCTGGTACGTCTCGGAACTTGCTCCCATAGTCTTCCTCTCTCGACAGGTACTTTAGAAAGAGCACCTGGTTGGGGCGAAGCATATCGACGGGCGGGATAATGAGGCACGGTACTGTCATACCACAGCCGCTGCGTGCAATATTTTCATAGACATTGTTCTTCAGCGAGCTCATAGCGACGCTGCGAGTGAATGCGGGTGTGAAGTCGGTAGCATTGATACCGACGTAGTAGGAGTCGTTCGTGAGTGGTTTGTCATTCGTATACCGTCGATGACACCGTGTAAGTAGGGTAACGATAATGGAATTGCCAGGGTCGTTGAGGACGACCACCTTTTCCAGATCATCATGAGAAAAGTTGTAGCCATCGGTTGAATCGTCTGGCGAGAATTGACGATTGTTGAGTTTGAAACGAGTGCCGGCAAGTTGAATGGGTTTCGGTAGCTCGTTGTCTTTATCATTCTCGACGGCGGATTGACCACTAGGCCAGTGGCGCTGTATAGCATCCTCCATAGTAAGGTAGTGATTTGGGACCAACAAAAAATTGGCTCTTGTATTGTGCTTGCCGGGAACCTGGAAACGCTTCGTCGAGAGGTCGACGTGGCGGTTGAGGGGGAAGTTGAAAACTTGAGGGAAGGAAAGAAGGCCAAGATTTGAGGACGAGGGTGAGGCAATGGCGAGTAGTGTCGTTGATCTTGCGTCTGTTTGGTGTGCTTATCGCGTGGAAGCGACAGTCGCCAGTGCGAAGGTTCTTGTGTGAGGTGGGTTGAGTTTGACGAGATAAGCTGCAGGGGGAAAGAGCGGAGCATGCCAATTTCGAATCAAGGAAAGACCACGAATTCGAGTGCGAGGTACCTCCCCTTCGGTATTCGAGGTGAGGCGGTCGGTGAAAGAACGATCCAGAGGGTAAGGTGCACCTCATGCATAAAGGAAAGACCTAAGGGGGCTTTGCTACCTTGGAGTGAGAGTACCTTACTCAGCTTATTCGGAAGTGTCTTTCGAAGCTAAAGACAACTTCATTTGGCCTGGCCATGTTCATGCTTGGGAAGTGGGAGTTCTAGAGTATGTCAAGTGCCTATTACGCTCAAAGTCAACAGGATCAAGGCAAATTACTCAATAAGGTACTGAAAGAGGACCCGGGATGTCGGCGGCTTCAGATATTTTAATATGCTCTCATCGGGATCCATCTACCCAAGACTACCTTTACAACCTACCTCAGATGGGATCAGCCTCCGCATCATCAACAACAAGCTCCTCCTCCTTCTCTTCAACCTTCACCTTCTCGGCCCCGATAACGCTCTCACCTTCATCCTCCGGCCCCTCTCCCTCCCTCCAAGCCTCAGGCCCAAGATACCTCCTCGGCCAAATATTCATCGCAGTCTTCAGCCCATCCCCAACAGGCAACCCAGCATGCACAACCCTCCCATCCCCCGTCCCATTCCCATGCAAATTCACCCAAAACACCGCATTTCCCCTCACAGGCTTAAACGCGATCCCACCATCATTATGCTTCCTCCACATAGTCCCTTCATCCTCCTCCCTCCGATGCTGCGGCGTAACAGCCTCAATCTTGGGAAACCACGTCTCACCACCCGTACACTCATCCTCCAAAATCGCAAAGAAGCTCGCCACCCGGTTCCACTTCCTTCTCCGTCCCGTCCTGACATCAGGTTGAAAATCATCGTACCAGTCGTGGTGGACGTTGAACCTCTGGCCCTTTGTATACCGCACCAACTGAGGCGGTCCAATCTCGTCCCGCCCGGGCGCCATCATCGTGCCCAGGAACCCTTCCGCCCTGGCGAGCACGCATTGCACGGCGACGTCGTGGGCAGGGAGACCAGCGGACCAGGAGGTTCTATCTGGCGTTCCCTGCGTTCTGCCGTTCTTGACGACGTAGGAGGGTTTGAAGGCTGGCTCGCCTGCTTCGAGGAGGGATGTGATGTCTGCTTCGGAGAGGAAGCTGTGGATGTAGATTACCAAGGGGTCGAGGGAGACGATTTGCGTGGTGTAGTTTTGGGATTGGCAGGTGTAGGGCTCTGATGGTAAGATCTCGGGTTCGGAAAGGGCATCGTCTGTCGGTGGGGAGAGGATCCTGTTCAGTGATGATTGGAGACGGGAGGGGATGTTGTGTTGTTGGATGTACGGGAGGGAGATTGCTACGAGAGCCGTGTAGGCCGATAGCCCGAGAATCTTGGTGATTGCACTCATGATGTATCACCCTTTCGTAGCACTTCTACACGATTCACAATGGCGTCGATGAAGAGACGTCATGGAGGGACAGAAGACGGGGAGTCTGGGGGGGTGGCATCTTCATTTAAGACGGCATCTCAGACCCTGTCCAGGGCCCTACACCTACCTGCCATGCTACTCGTGAGCGCCGATCCGGTTCATCTACATCGAATCTGTCCCCAATCCGATGTTCCGAATGCTGCCTCAGATAGATCAAATGGAGCGTCGTCCTCCGACTGGGCGGAGAAACTCTGTCTTCACCCGGACCGCATCCCGTACCCCGCATTTTTGGGGTAGCTGTGCCACACCGAGCCCCGCCTAAACCACTTGGGGCACAGCTTTAAGTGAGACGACGGTGAAGGTTGATGCCGTCTACAAAATCGCACACCAAACGCTTGACCAGCTTCGTGTCAGACTTTTTCAAAGCAAACAAGTGACAAGTTAGAGAGAACAACGGGCATCACATCATCGACTGTGTCCAAACTAGCAAGTGGAATGGAAGAAGAAAAAAGAAAGAAAGAATGAGGGAAGGTGGGAAGGTACAAGGCGTATGTCACAATGGCCCCTTTAGCCACTGCGCAGCACCGAGCTCGTCATTCACCAAACGTCAAACATGGTGACAGAACACACACGGTCCGAACGAAAGGAATCACTTTGTGGCTCCATACCTTACCTTAGTATACAGATATGCAATGCTCCCAGACCTATAGGCAGCAAATTTGTCTTCAAGATATTTCCCACAGTGGTATCCACAGCTTTCCACAAACAAGTCCACGTACGAGGACCATTTGCGTATAGCAAGACCCGGCGCAGCAGTCTGCAAAGAAATCAAACAACTTCCTATTCCCCTTTTTGCACAATCGCATCCACTCCGTCCCAGTGTTGTACGAGAATCAGTGGGTAAGGTGAAGGGTTCCAGGAAACGCCAAAAGCTCCATCGCAAAAGGATCCCTAAACTATGGTAGCAAACGCCACGCAAGAAATGCACCATTAAATCCGCTCCCTGTCGCTCTAGATCTGGCTGTGTCGCGCACGCTTGCGAGCGCTTCCTTGAGATGATGATGGGTGCAGCTTGTCGTTCTTCTCCCTCTTGAGCTTGTCGTCGAGAACACGGGCTATTGTTAGTTAGCATGGCCATTCGTTTCACCGTATTCGAGCGCCGCCACATACTAAGCACATCGTATCCGAACTGGGGGTACTCCAAGCACAGAGAGCGGAACTCGTCCTCGGCCTCGGAGCGGAGGGTGTGCGAGCGCATGGCCCAGAACTGTGCGACGGGAGCGCGGATTGTGGTGTCGTCCTTGCCAGTGTAGGCGTAGACGTAGCGGGCGTAGGCGATCTCGCCCTTGGCCGTCGAGTTGACGCAGTGAATCTTGGAGCTGGCGAGCGAGCGGAGACTTGGGACACCAAACTTCTCAGCCAGGGTGTAGACGCGCGCGTGCTTCAGCAGCTGCGTGCCGTCTGCATCGACTTCGGGAGTCGAGGGATCTTGCTCGAGTGTGCGCGAACCTGCGACCTTGCGGGGGAAGTACTCTCCTGTGTAGAGGAACTCGAGGAAGCACCCGACCGCGTCGAGGTCTTCACCGACGAGCTCGATTTGACGCGGCTGTTGCGCATTGAGTCAGTAACGTCGGGGAAATGCAGAATGCGCCGGGTGAATCCCGCAACCTGGGAGGACCACTTACGCTACCATCGTCGCTGAACTGGGCGCAGGCCTCCTTGAAGAAGGGGCTTTGCACCAGAAGCGCCTGGTGAGCTGTGACGATTGCTTCCGACTCGCCCTGGCCGACCAAGAGGGTGACGACGGGGCTGGACAGATAGCTGACAAAAGTGGTGCGCGGCTCGACGGGGTCGCTCTCGCCGCCCTCGGCAAAGGGAAGTTCCTCAGCGTTGGCATCGCCCTCCTCGGCCATCTCGACGTCGGCGCCAGGATTGGCGGGAGCGTTCTCAACAATCTCGACGTCGTTGTCGATTTCTTCGGCCATTATAACTAGTTCGGTTGCGATTGCGCGGTCGGCTCGTGTGTCTGGTTTTACTTGAAAGAGTGTATCGATCAGACTGCGTCGGGCAGCATGGTTTGTCGCATCAGGGATAGGTCAATTGGTCGCGTAGACGTTTGGAACAGATCGGGCGCGTAAGGACAGGCGTTAAAGAACGTGGTGAGCGTCAATGTCTAGATCGAATTGGAATTGAATCAACGACAAGCGGGAGTTGGGAAGAGAAAGTCTGTCCAGGTTCCAGGTTGGGGCACGGCCGAGGCGGCGGAGCTCTGAGCTTCAAGGGAAGGTAGGGAACCAAGCTGGCTGCAGCTGCCTCCTCCGTGCGCACGGCTCCCAATGGTCCATTCGTTCTGCACCCGATAGAAGCGGGCCTTTGGGGGGGTTCCCTTCCTTTTCCACAGGCAACATGCGACTCTGAGCAGGCACACCCCATCCACCTTGCAGACTGGTGTTCCTGCCAAGCGCAACGCGACGCGATAATACCGGTACTTAATCGATAAGCTTCCTTTTGATGGCCATTTATCGATAAGCCACTTTTCACACGCGATCTCTTATCATTGGGTTGAGGCACATGTCATCGCATCTTAGGTCTTCACCTCTATCAAGGGAGAACAGCTGTTGAGACGAAAGTTAATGTTCATGTTGTCGCGTGGCATTCGTATTAGGAGACCATGAACTTGTCACCAAAGTCAATTGCCAAGGGACTGTTAAAAATTACACCAGCGCCCAACACGATCGTCTTCTTCAATCAAGCAAAAGGAGCCTCAAAAGATATATTCAATACCCAGGGGATAGCCCCGCTCCACTAAGTGTGTACTTTGTGCCATGAAGAATATCGGTATCAAACGTAACATACCCAGAAGTACACCGTTGTAATGCAATGTGATGATGCGCTCTCGCTCCTTCAAATGCCACAGCCATGCTGCAAACACAGTAACCTATCCCATTGCCGTCAGGTCTTCTCATTATGCCCTCCTCATTTCCATTGGTTTTCCTGTCCGGAGTGCGCCGACTCTCTGGGCTTTCGGTTCAACGACAAATTCGGTATACTGGGATGTATGAGCCTCAATGGCTGCTCCTGCTTCAGAACCTCCCAGTGCTTCTTCAGCGTATCTTCTCTGACCACCAGCTCAAAGTTCGCCAGGAAGCAAAAACTAATCTCCAAGCGCGCCAACTCGACGTCGCTAACGCCTCCAACTTTGGCAATCTTGCTGTGCGGGTAGCTGAGGTCTTCCAACGCCTTCATTGCCACTCGAAGTCCCGCTAGAACCAATCGATGCGCATTCCGCCGCGTCACAGGGATCGCTCGTTCGTCAACGGCTAAGCGGTGGATATATAGGCTAGTAGCAAGGTACACGGCAGTGCTCATCGGGCACCATTGGTGGATTCGCGCTAGATATTCGTCGATACCAATGGGCGGCGGTTTCTTAGAGTAGAATTTGCGCGTGATTGCACTATGCTGCAAATTAATCGGCTGCGAGTTCTCCCCAATTATTATGTGTGGTTCGGGTGCTTTCGGTGGCGGTGGTGGTGTCGGCGATTGTGTCTGCCGCAGATGGACACCGTCTATTAATTGCGGTGTCGAGCTACTCGAGCCGCTCATCTGGGACATCATCGGTGGTCGACGAGGCGAGGACGCTGAAGCTGCGGCTGCAGCCTCAGCCTCCTTGCGCATGCGAGCCAGGTTCTTTTGTGAGCTCGTGCGAATGAGCTCCTTCTCTGCCGCCATTCCTCTCATATTGGGTAGTGTCGGGCTTGTAGGTGGTGGTGTCGGAGGAATATCGCCTGTTATCTTCACGAGAGCCTCGATTCCACCACTCAATGAAGCTGCGGCTGCAGCCTCAGCCTGCGCATGCGAGCCAGGTTTTTGTGAGCTCGTGCGAATGAGCTTCTCTGCCGCCATTCCTCTCATATTGCAGTGTCGGGCTTGTAGGTGGTGGTGTCGGAGGAATATCGCCTGTTATCTTCTGCTAATGAGAGCCCGATTCGCAGTCGGCAACGCTCAATCGAGGATCGGACTTCAGGTCGCCGCTCGCCAGAGGCAGGATCAAGCTTGAGCCCTGCGGTGCGTGTTGGTCCTGGGGACACCATCGACAATCGGGTTTGGGTACGAGAGGAGTGTCTCGGTGTGTTCGGCGTGGGCAACAGCGAGCATCTAACGCTTCGAGAAAACAAAGAATCGTAAGCAAAAGCCCCGACGGAGGCCGCGTGATGTGTGTACCGTTGAGCTTTTTCACACAACTTTCATGGCCCAAACTACTATCTTTGCACAGTCGCAGTTCCCTCGGCCAGATTCGGCTTGCGGGGGTCGGAATTTGTCGCGGAGAGCCTCTTTCGCAGCTGACCCCCAAATGGTCTGGCCCGAATGGCGTGGTTTCGAGCCGGTCTAAGACAAGCTAACAGACTTGGTCTCTGGAACAAAAGAAGGAACTTGGTGTGGAATCGTGGTTCGACTAGTAAGATGGTATTATCGTCTTCCGGTCGCAAAGATGAAAGGGCGAGCGGAGGGGCAAGCAGATTAGCGGCGTAAGGCGATTTTTCACCAAGAGTGGCTCTTGGTGGTCAAGAGGCTCGAAAAGGTCGGTCAATATTAATGCGGTGCGGCTGCACCTCTCGTATGGGGGGTTAGAGCAAAGCAAGCGGTTCGGTTGGCAATGTCTCGCTAGGAGCAATATCGTTGGTGGTGGTATCGGTGGTTCGTGGTGGTGGTCTGGACCGACAAGGTTGAATTACTGGTAAAGGTGCTTGTGACAGAGCACAATCTTTTTGCTGATCTCGAAGCTAGTGCGGGGAACTGCAGGCATGCGGCAGGCGAAGAGAGCGCAAAAGATACGGCATCCCCGTTGCGGTGGAGGGATCGGCGATCGTCTGAAGTCGAGGACGCTGCAAAGTGCTGTATTAATGGCCAAACACACTGCAACTGCAGGTAGGTGGCAGACCAGACAACGATGAAGGCCGGGGAAGAGGACGGCTTGGAGCTGCAGGCGAAGCGATGCGCTGAGAACAGATTGGGTGCCACCTGCAAGAAAAGCAAAGGGCTGGGCAGGCCGTAGAACAGCAGACTATGGGTGGCGTTTGCCTGATGGGATTTGGAGCTGGTGCGATGCGGCGGACGTCGCCGGTGCAAAGTGTACAAGCAGGGAGGCGTTGGTAGTGCCGCACAGGGGGATACGGAGTAGAAGGTCGTATTATTCTCTGCGGAGACGACCGTGTAGTTTGTGTACTCGAGCAGATAGCGGTGGATAGACGGGCTGAACAGACCGGCGGGAGAAATGTTGTAGTAGTTTGACGAGCCAAAAATTGCGGTATCAGTGGATGACCACCTGATGAGTCGACAAGTACTCCAAGCTGGTGGTGGCTGGCTGACTTGTTGATGGGGCGAGAGAGGAGATATGCAGGAACCACGACAGGAGGTGAGCCGAGGTGGCGAAGAGGATGGCCAAATATTAAGAAGAATGGGATGATAACGGAAGGGCTAGTGCGCTACCTTAGCCAGATGGGTACCTATTGAATGTGTATTGATGAATTTGCTGATCCTACATCGTCGTGGACGTCTCCGGTTATGCGTCGGTCGTGGTCTGCGTCTGCATCTGCATGTAATGTCGTTGAGTGCACCGGGTCGGGATGGGAGGCCGGGACATTTTAATGAGCGGTTGAAATTTTGGAGAAATTTCACTGTTCGGAAGGAGGCCGGGATTTTGGGAAGGCGGACGTGGAGGTGGAGGTGGAGGGGCAGGCATGCAGGTTCCACAGGCCGAGGATGGAACTGTGTGATAGTACTCCGTAGAGGCAGTCCCTTCCTTGTTGCCCGTTTGCCCGTATTGCTTCTTCCCCCATCCTTGTTCTTGCCATCCTGGGTGCCTTCCTCGAGTTTTCTATTTTCCTTCCTATTTTCAAGTGATGGTTACACCTTCCCTTCAGTCATCTGCCCAAGGTACCTAAGGTACCGGTAGGTAGGCAGGTACCTACCATATGGTATTAACCTCAAGCAAGGAAGGTATTTACGTACACAGTTATCCGTCCATCGATCCATCCATACACGGATCTCGAGAAGGACCACAGAAACAACACCTGCTGACTTAGACTTGACACATTTTGCTCGCACACTCTTACACACACGAACAACATGGCAGCCGCGCCCTCCAATTTGGGTTTACATCGCCTCGCATCGGGCAGGACGGCTGCAGAAATAGCTCGGCTCCCGCGGTGACGGTTCAAATTCTCGTGTAATAAGTGAGGGGCTCCCTGGCGACGGGACATCACTAAGATGCGATTAGGTGCCCGTTCAGGCCCGATAGCAGATGGGTTGCCCTGATAGGTATCAACGGAATTTCATTCACCCAAGCACAATGCCTGCGGCTGCCCTACCTCAAGGTAGGTTAATTTGCGGTATTTGATAAATAGGAGACACACATAAGGTACCTGTATGGTGTTGTCTTGCAGGTGGCATCCGCTCGCCCTTTCCTGCCTTGCCTTGCACTGCAGTGGTCCCTTCCTCGTTCTCAGTCCTGTCGCAAACCTGGAATGTGCTTCCTCCAAATCCCCTCAGCGGGCACCTTCCATCCATGCAGTGCGGTGGTGAATTTGAGCAGGGGTTCGACAGAGCTAAGAGCAGCACAGACATTGGCCTGGCCGGTGCTGTGCCCCCACTCCCCCGTTTCATTTTGGAGGCAGGCGCCGATGGTGGCTCAAAGTGGAGTTTTAGGGGTCCCTTTTTTGCTTGTCAAATGACCAGATTTGATGCACGAGCCCCCGGATAATTGAGGCGGGCATCACTGTAGGCTCTCCGAAGCTGACGGGACGCTCTTCCAGATCTTCTAGGCTTTCTATCCACACCAGGCTTGACTGGCTGGTGGGGTTTTCTTCATAATGTGTCTTGATTGCCATTGATTATTTCTGCATCTTCCCACGCCGCTGCAGATTCGATGTGACGGCAAACTGACGATAATGATACGAACATCCAATATGTCCTTGTCCAAACGACCCATCGGTGGCAAACACATCGAGGTCTCCGCTACACACCACACCACTTCCTTCTTCCGACTCAGTCGACGAACATGGTATCGAACACTTACCTACCCCCAAGCTTGTGCCGCAAAACCCACCCATCCATCCCTGATTATCTTCCACGCCCAGTCAGACTCGTCGCGTACATTACACACCACGCCGACTAGCCTTGATTCTAGCCGGCTTCTCAGGGAGATCTACCCGCTGGGTTAGGGGAGGTCTAGGTCGCGCAGCTGCTAAGGCTTCTTTGGCGTCATTCACCATTGCCCGCAGATCATTACAGCAATGATAACGAACAGCTCTCGCATTCAACAATACCATCTCAACAGTATCCTCCGTCTGTGTGGCTACTAACGTCGGAAGCTATCCAGCGAATATGGTCCCATCCCGAAGCTAGATGACAAGTCACTGTCCTCAATGGATTTCTTGCAGCACCTCGAGAATTTTACTTCCACCCAAGGCTCACCCATGCTCGCCCGACGATGTTCCCAGCGCTATCGTATTCCAATCAAAAATTCAAATGATGTTCGGTCACTCTCTATTCTGCCCGGTGAGCCCCGCGATAGTCCATCTACGTCTGCGAAAACAAGCGTCAAATCTACCAAGCCACGCTATACCAGCCTGGTGAAAATACCTTATGCCATCCGCTTATACCGGTCCTCTACCTTCGCCGTTCCGTTTTACTTCGTCAACGCTATATCTATGAACCCAGGGCCACTTTGATATCCAAAACAGCGGGCTGACCGCCTTGCACCGTCTCAATAGCCTTCTTCAGCACACCATCAAGATCCGCCGCGTTGTCTACACGAGCAGCAAACAAGTCTCCGCCCGCTGCCGCCTTGGCAATACCGGCATAATCGGGGGCCGGGTCGAACGAGATGTTGATCTCTTCGTTCGTCGCCCTGGAACCTTCGCCATCAGGGTGCACCAGAAGAAGTGACCGCCTGGGGGCGTTCCATCCTATCGTCACGTCAGCTTTCGTTTCGAACCCGCCAGAAGGCTTGTCAACCACTTACCCTTGTTATTTAAAATAATCGTCAAAATAGGGATATTGTATCGCTTGGCGATCCAGTATACGCTACCTGGCACAGAGAAGAGGAATGTGCCGTCGCCAACTATTTGCACAACAAACTTGCCCTTGTTGTTGCCACCGTTCTCGAAGTCGGTTGCCAGTTTGATACCGAGAGCGCCACCGCCAGACCATCCAAGGCCACCGCCACCGCAGTTGATCCAAGATCCGGGCAGTGTGGGCTGAAGATTGTCGTGGACGAAAATTGTGTTTGTCACAGCCTCAATGGCCCAGATGGTGTCCTCTGGGCACAGCTTCTTCAGTGACCGGGTAAGGTGGCCAGTGCCGAACTCGCCATCTGCCTTGGGCTGCGCCTTTTCCTCGATCTTGGCAAGAAGCTGCTTGTGAGACTCCTTGACCTTGGCCTCGCGCTCCTTGGCTTCCGCAGACTCAAGTTGAGCAGCATACTGACCCTTTAGGTGTGCAGTAATCTGTTCAATCGACACCAGGCTACTCGCTCGGTATCTCGACTGGGCGGCGATGTAGAAGACGGGCATTTGCTGCTTGAGCGGGTCAACATCGATATGGAAAATCTTGGCGTCCTTCTTGGGGTGGCACAGAGTGTTGATCCACGGGACGTCGCAGTCGAGAACGACAATGACATCGGCAGTGTTTACCGCGTCCTCAATACCAAAGCGAAGACCCAGCCAGCCAGGGTGGTCTGCAGGGAAGCACATATCGCTACCACCTGTGTCAACAACGCGCAGGCCCTTGACGGTGTTTGCGAGTTCAACGAGAGCGCCAGGGAATTGATGGTCTCTGCCGCCAAATCCAGTGACAATGAGTGGCTCCTTTGCACCGGCCAATGCCTCGGCAATCTTGTTGACGGCGTTCTTGGGAAGACCTCCGAGCTCGACGGGGTCCCAGTCCTCTTGACGAATGCTGTACGGTTCGACCTCAGCCTCCATCACCTCTCTAGCACCGCAAAGATATACGGGCCCTTGAGGGTCTGACTTGGAGAACTGAAGGGCACGATTAACCATCTGCTTGACGTTGGTTGCTGTCTTGAGCTCGCCAGAGTACCGGCAGTATTGCGAAACGATTTGCTTTTGATCAGGGACATCCTGAATCCAGTGGATGTACTCTGTTCTGCTGCCTCTCATCTCGCCTTCGATGGTGAAGGGAGACAGACCGGCAAACACCAAAACGGGCGCGCGGCCGCATGACGAGTTGTGGACAGCAGCGCCTAGACCTTGCGTTCCTACGTCGACGTGGACAATAACACATTGCGGTTTTCCGGTTAGGCGAGCGTAGCCGTCGGCCATGGACATGGCGACCATCTAGATACCTCATTAGCACATGCCCGAGTGGACGCACGCGGAAAAGACGGAATCTCATTACTTCATTGGGACACGTGATGATTCTGGGGAAGTTTCCCTTTCGCTCCCTCTGACCCTTGACCATGGCTTCGATGATACTGGGATGGTCAGAGCCTAGGTTCACGAAGCAGTGGGTGACGCCGGCGTCCCATAGCGCCTCGAAGAAGGCGAAAGACGCGGTATACATCTCGGTTGATTTCGAAGAAAGGTTCCTGGCTTGTTCGATGGTGGCCTTGAACTCATCCTCGACAAGGGGCCGAGAGGTGGCTGGCTTTATACCAGCGCCAGCATGGGAAGATGGTGGTGATGTTGATCCCCCACTTCGATGCAGTGGGGCAGCGGATGAGAAACCGGCAAGTTGACGAGCAGGGCCGCCGACAACGGCTATGCTGGGCGCCAATGTCTGGTTGAAGCGGACTAATCTCCCTGGGCGCCCACCTGCAGGGCCGAAGCTGCGCAAGCAACGTGCCATTGGCACCGGCAATTGTCTGAAAGGCATGGTGAAGAACGGCAATAACAGACCAACTAGCCGGCCAGCAGTGTGTATTGGAGGGGGGGGGGGGGGGCGGGGTAGGTATCAACAAGTGAGGTGGATGTGTGTGTGTGTGTGTAGTGTAAGAGTATGTGTGTGATTGACTACTTCACAGTGTTATCAAACACCTTTGAGGGAGGGGAAGAGTCTCGCTTGGCAACTGCGTCAGTACTGAACAGTCTAGTACCTGGGAGTCGTCGAGCTTGTGTGGCACACTTGAAGCAAGCTGTGGATGAACGACTCGACCGATCACCGGTGTAGGGGATACGGGATTTGACCGATGACGGGCCGCGGCGGAGAAGTTGCAGAATTCTGGAGACTTTTGTATAGGCTTCGTCCTCTGAGCTGAAGCCTGCTGGGGGTAGTTTGACTGAAGTCAGTCGGGACTGGGTTTCCGGTGACGGGCGACAAAGACGAGTTTATACATCCGGAACTGGGATCATTCCACAGACCGACGGCCGGCCCAAGCTTGTTCCCCAGAAAAGGGAGCATCACGCCCTTGCGGCCCCCTTGGGCTAACCCCGCAATCGGCCCAGGGCCCGGTTTCATAGGGCGCTTGTTGTCGGCTCACTGCAGGGTGTCCAACACCACTTGTCACTCATCGCTTTAGTCCCGAGAGAAGGGAGCACAAGGCGCCGTGGAGGGACATGTACAAGGGTTGAAGAGCAGGAGCGAGAGCTTGATAAGAGGAGACAGCCGTTGAGATGACATATGGCAGCAGGCAAGCATCATCCCTGAGTGATGCCGTTGATGAGATGAGCTGAATGATACGGCATGTAGGTACATTTCTTATTCAGATGGGATCTCAAAGCCAAATGCTCCCAACTGCCCTACTTGGGGACTTATGTGTCAAACACCGCTCTGGGCCGAGAATTACCGCTTCCCAGCCCCAAACAAGACGTTTCGAGGTAAACAATGGGCTACGAATCCCGATTCTCAAGTCCCCGTCTCACTGCACGGCAGTTCCCCGCACCAAAGCGCGCGTCCGGGCGTTCCCTGGAGCACCCAGCTGGTGCGTCGAGCTTGTGCGGGGTGCAGGCGGTGTTATCTGGTGGCTTTTACTATTAGCTAAGAGGATCCGCTCGGCCTTTGAGCTTCGATGCAGAGAAGCCCGAATCTAAAGCAGTCGAAAGGCGGCTACGAGACATAGCTCAATTGATCTAGTAGTTGGCCATGGCATTTAGGTAGTATTGTTTTTCATCTTCAAGTATCATCCCATGACTAAGCCACATTACTATGCACTTCATATGTACAGCCACATTCATCCATCTTGCCTCAATGCATCCGGCCAAATCCAACCAAGCAAAGAACCAACGCCAAAAGCAACGAGGCACGTCAAAATCATCGTCGCCATGAGTCCCGCATAGCTCGTCTTCTTCGGCACCGCCACCGGCGGTTTCGCCGTCCGCCTCCCCGCCGAAGCCTGTCTCGTCGCAGTCGGCCTCGCCGTCAAGAGACTCTCCCACGAATACACCGTCGGCGCCGTCGGCGTGCCATACAACGTCGTCTCCTGCTTATCCATCGTCTGATACCCGTAACCCGTGGTACTAGGCACCGCGCTCGGGGTGCTCGTCGTCACGGCCGTCGATTCGCCGGACCAGTCGTGCCCGTCGAACGCTTTATACCACGACCACTGCGAATCCGGGTCGTTCCAGTCCGCGAGGATACCGGGGCACTCGTTGAGGCAGTTGAAGAGCCCCGCGGCCGTGCCTTGCTTCTTGTTGCCGTACTGGTCTGCGAATTTGAGGCCGCAGGTGCGGAAGCAGCCGTACGAGGAGCAGGGGAGGGAGTGCCACGGCTTCAGCCAGCCGCCGTAGGATTCCCATGCCGTCCAGTCTTTGATGTCTGTGTTTGTGAGGGTGAAGTCCGGGGAGGACTCGACGCCGTAGTAGTTTGTTTGGATTTTGGAGCCGTTGAAGGCCATGGCTGTGATTTTGTAGGGTTCGGAGGGGCCGAGGTCTTTGGGGATTGTGATTTTGGGGTTGGTTGTGCCCATTGGGATGAAGTCGCTTAGGTAGCCTGCCAGTCGACCCCTTGTCAGTGATGCACTCTATCGGTACTGCGCAAGGCGCAAGGACACCGAGGTAGGAAGAAAGGGCCTCTTACAGGTGTACATCCATTCCTCAGTGTACAGGAATATCTGGTAGTGCTCGTACAGCATGTCATGGCCGCAGCCGACGTCCTCGTTCACCGGATTGCGGCATACCGCCACAACCTCATCAAACACTGGCCCGGGGAGGGTCTCGTAAACGAACGGCTGTTTCCAGTAGTCGAAGCCAATTTCGATTTCCGTCTCGACGCCAGCTTTGATCTCGGAGGGAACGGTGACGTTCAAGGCGTGCGCTGTTGTGAGAAGCGTCGTGAGGAGCGCGAGGAGGGTGTTGGGAAGGGCCATGGCTGTGGTGGTGGCGACAAGTTCTCGTGATCGCGATCGTGGAGGTCGAGTCTGAAAGCCGGTAGTCGCTCACGTGTACCAGGCGGTGAGCGAATGGACGGGAGGCGAGCGCTCCCTTGGTGCTGGCGACGGCAGCGATCGCGAGTGTGGATGACGGAGGAAAGAAGCCATCGCGAAGAAAACTCGTGTGACGGCTGATGGTGTTGATGCGAAGGATCGGGATGCTAGACAGGGGGCGATGGGATTTGCTTAGCTCCTTCCTGCTTGGTCTACGCTAAAGAAATAAGCCTAAGTAGGTACTTTGGTCCCTGGTGGGGTCCCCGGAGTCGCCCGGGGTCGGGCCCGGAAGTGGGTCCATTTTCGGTGAATGGTCTGGGACAGGTCGGGGCGAAGTGCGGTGATGCGTCCTTGCAGCTTTCGGACACTGGTCGCTGACCATCGACGGCCTTTTGATTGGAGTCGCGATTTGGTTCAAAGCTTCGTGTCATGCGATGAGAAGGTAAAATGATCGGACGACAGTGCTTCACAGAATCAGTCCAGGGTTATATCAACTTCGATGCACTACTCTTGGGACTCTTGATGCACTCGTCCTTAAGCATTGAAACCCTTGGGATACAGTACGCGACAAGCAAGTCAGTCTCTAGAGAATGTTCTGTCGCATTATGGCCACCACAGCCGGGAAAGAATGGCGTCGTGTGTTCGGGGGTCTGCTTCAATACCATCCCGCTCGCATCGGACTGCCGCATGATGCTTGGAGCTCGAGTCCTTTACTCTGAGCCCCAACCTGGAGCTCCGCATGACCCGGTATGCATGTTCAGATGAACGCTGTTTGAGATATTTAAGCCGCTCTCCCTCTGAGATCACAGTCGGAGAGGAAGCTCCCATTCGTGATCGATACTCCTTTTCTACACGCCAGATACCGACCAGAAAGGAACAAAATACGGAAACTTGTGAACAAGCGACCTCAGTAAGAGATATACACAACTGATTCTGAGCAAAATGTCTATGAACATAGCCTCCCCCTTCTCTCCCTACCCGAGCTACGTCCTCGGCACTGGCCTCACTTTCATAGGCCTTCTAGGCTTCGTCCGGCCCTTAGCAATCTACGACGCCTTCGGCATCGCCAGACCCCTCTCCGCTGAAGCCGAGGCTTTCAGCTATGCCAAATCAGCGCGCGATCTAGCTACGGGGTTGCTGTTCCTCGGGCTCGAGACGTATCAGGAGGGAAGCGGGAATGAAGACGCGGTGACTGCGTTGTTGGCTATTACTTCGCTTGTTGGAATCATGGATTGGTGGATTGTCAGGACGATGGGTGGGAAGGGAGGACGAGGAGATGGGGGAACAGCGTTGACGCATTTAGGGAGTGGGGTTGTGCTTGGGATTTTCGCTATTTGGAGGTGGATGTATTAGTTTTGATGAAAGGCGGCTATGAGGACCTCTCTAATAATTGGCTTCTGTAGTATTATGATCTGACAAGATTCCGCACATTTTCATTAACTGTCTTCAGCAAAACAGCCTCCATAGCTACTTCGACTAGTTGATAAACTGGCCGAAGAAATCGTCAACGCCCTGTGGGTTGTCCAGTCCGGTCGCAAAGCCCAAGATACCGTCGGGTCGGATAACCACTAGGGCGCCCGAGGCTTCATCCACCCCGAACTCAGAATGTGCCATACCGTTACTGTCAAAGTAAAATTTACCCAGTGGCGGTCCGCCGGTAGCCATCCAACCACTTCCAGCAGTACGGGCGAGCAGAGTCACGAGCTGAAGTAGCCCACGATGACGCGCCTCCAGCTTTGAGAGCTTTTGTCGTAGTGTGGGGAATATCGTCCTCGTCTGATTCGGGTTGCCGGCATATACGACCACACTCCAACAGCCCCGAGGCCCGTTTCGGAAGAGAACATCGTGGAGGCGAATTGGAACGTTGGGTCCCGGGGCGCGAATGAGCGCGTCAGGACTGCGAACTCCGCACTGGAGAGTGGTCTTCGTCGGGGGATGGTTAATGATGGAGGGTCCATAACTCACGCCAAGCCCAAGATTGAAGGCAATGTTGTCAGTCCAGACCTTCATCAGCACTTCATCCGCGGAAGCCCCTAGGCCCTCATATCGTGCCGGTATGTCACCAGAGATCGTAGCAGCGGCTTCCCTGTCGATCTGGATGAGCTTCTGCGCCGCAGCACGTCTCTCGGAGGCGTATGTAGACAAAACCTCGGGCTTATACCAGCCCTTGATGGTTCCAGCAAGCTTCCAAACCAGGTTGGTGGCGTCGTGCACGCCGGTGTTCATGCCTTGAGCGAAGCCAGAGGAGTGCGTGTGGGCGGCATCGCCACCAAGTAGAACGAAGTCGTCTTTTTGGAGGGTCTTGGCAACGCTTTGCCGGATCCTAGATAGCCTCGAGTAAGCAGTCTGCAATCGAGACAAGGAACGCAAAGAGACAGCAACGCTAGACATACTTATAATGGGTCCACCAGTCAAGCCTCTCAATATGAAACTGGAATGGCTTCATCCCCTCCACGGCTTCTTGTACCGCTTCAGCCTGAGTGATCCCGTTTGGATACTTGGCCAAGATGGACGGTGTCAGCGCATAGCCGATGCGGTGAGCATCGTGGTCGAGTTTGACCCATAAAATGTTCCCGTGGTGAGGGGTCTCGATAGAAGCAAACCCAATGTCAGCGTCAGGCATATCGGTGTTGATCTTGCCATCGATGCGAATCCATTCGTATGTGGTCGGGTCCACGTCGAGTGAAATGTTGGAAAGCTGGCGAACCGATGAAGCACCCCCGTCAGCTCCCAAGAGGTATTTACTGCTTTGGTCAGCATTGGGCTCCACGAAGCTTGATGTGTGGCTTACCAGCGAACCCGGCTCTCGCCTTGGCCCTCATGACCCAGAACAGCAGTTATATTATAATCGTCTCCAGACGTCTGGTCCACTTCGTAGCGAAGAAGCTTCCATCCGAACCAGACAGCCTTGCCGTAGCTTTCGTAGCGGCTCCGGAACACGTCCTCGGAGTATCGCTGTCGGATATTCAATGCGTAATCATGAAAGCTCGCCTTGCAATGATTGAACATCCCATTCCACCCCCTCTCGTTGGCTCTCACACCGTCCTTATAATTGGTGCTAGCGCGAGCGACGAAGCCTTCTTGGAGTACGGCACTGGTGAGATCTAACTGCTCCAGCAGCTCCAAAGACCTAGGGTACAGCGTCGTGGCGCGGCCAAATGAGGCTTGGGCGTCACGTTCTCGTTTCTCTATGAACGTTCGTCAGCGACGCAACGACTCAGAGGCATCTGCCAAATGATGACAAGGACTTGGTCATACCAATCACCAGGCAATCGACATCTTGTTGCGTCAAGCCGACTCCAGTGAGGAGGCCCACGGGACCGCCACCAACGATCAGAACATCGGTTGTTGGAGGAAGAGGCATGTTCAAGTTGGGCACAAGACACTGCGGACGAATCGGCGAAGATAATAGAGGTAATGGGAAGTTAGTAGAAGGAGATGGGTTTTTTGACTTAGTATATGCTTGAATGGTCGCCGGATTGTTTTGAAGAGCGTTTTCGTGCTTTTAAGGTATTATAGTTGATGGTCAGGTAAGGCTCAATGAAGACAATAATAGCCCGTCACTGGCAATATCTGACAAAGCCCGGTACAGACCCTTCGGCTCACGGCATTGCATACAGACCGCAGTCCGAATCAAGATGGGACTGAGAGACGGAAATCTAACCTTCGAGAAAGGCCGTGCCTTTCTTGAGGTGAATGACTGACACGGTGGAGAGGCCGACCAGGCTGCACCACCCAATTCTCCGAGCCCCACTCCGGTTTGTAGGACCCACAACGGCCCCGCCACCACCGCCAAGCCCGAGAGGGCACGGCGATTCCGCACCCATATGAAGGCTATCCCTCACCTGGCCACACCTACCTACTGCAAGAGTATCTTTTGAACAAAAAAGATACTCACATACTCACCCTTTGAAAGCATCCGGACGTGCGCTTTCAAAGGATACTTCACACTACTATTGGACAAGGATCCGAAATTTTCAGCTCAGAGCCTCAGTATCTGTCAATTTGCACCACCGGATGATACAAGGCGACAAAAAGGATGGATGACCTCGGAGAGCTCGGCAGGTCAATAGAGCTTGTCATATCTCCAACTTACAAAGTTTGCGCGCCTCTGGTCGAGGCTAACGCACCTGCGATTGAGGCGACCTTGCGTCAGACGCACACTTACGGTCCGCACTTCCGCCACCAACTCGACATTTACGCACCATCCACGTGGCCCGCAGAATCAGCGTCGACCAGACCTATCATGGTCTTCCTGTACGGCGGAGGCTTCACGACCGGGGAACGGATCAGCCAAGCCCGACCGCTGTTTTATCAAAATGTCGGGCATTTCTTTGCCGAGAAAGCCGGTCTAGAAACCGTTGTGATGGACTACCGATTGGTTCAACATGGAGCCGAATTCCCTAGTGGTGCCGAGGATCTCGCACTTGCTCTCAGTTGGATCAAGCAAAGATACTCGGGGCAGAGTCGCGACCTCTTGTTGCTTGGAAACTCGGCCGGCGGGATTCACCTGTGCACCTGGCTGTTTGAACCCAACTTTGGAGACTCTCGGCTGAGCGTGCTCCATGAATCGCCCGGACTGAGGCTTGCTGGCGTCGTATTACTTGGTGTGTTGTACCACTTCCGCGGCACGAGCACTTCCTTCCTGGACTCACTTTGTCCATACCTTGGAAGCAACCCGCATGATCAGTCGCCTTGGATGTCCTTTGAGAGATGCCGAGAATCGGGCCAGCTAGGTCATATAACCTGGCCTCAGCTGATTTTGGTTGACAGCGAGTTCGATCCCGTTGACATAATTGATGCCAATCGGGACTTCGTAGAGCTTCTGAAAGGAGTGGGAAACGTACCAATACAGTACTTACAGGCCAAAGGACACAACCACATCAGTCCTCCCTTGGTTCTAGGCACGGGGAATCGCGAGATGGAGAGTTGGGCCTATGAAGCCCTATCGCTTGTAGTACCTGAAGCAAATCGGTCAATCTGAGTAGGCCTTATCTACGCTAATTGACAGAACAAACATCAAAAGAGATGGTGCAACTAAGCTTTGGCCCATATGATGGCGGTCTAGGAGTGTGCAATTGCAGTTATATTGCTGCCAAGCGCTGTTCAATTCGCTCAAGTGGAGGCGATATCTTCTGGTATGGCTACATGCATCTTCCAAGCTGCCAACCGTGGCGCAGAGGCACCAGAGTAGGAGTACCTAGGCTGAGTCACAAATGACATCCAGAGGAAAGAAACAACCGCAGCGACCACGCAAGGTCTCTGGGAAGATGTGCTGAAGTCATCGAGGGCTAAGAATCCTCAAATCTCCTGAAAGGGTAGCCGATAATATCCGCCTTGATCTGAAGTGCAATAAATCTACCAAAAAATCGAGCGTGTCCGATCGTTCCGCCGGTGAACCACATACCCGGATCTGTGTAACGAAATCAGCTCGGCTGTGCAAAGTCCTCTTCTCAAAATGCATCTACTTACGCCCGGGGTATTTGAAAGCACCGTTAATCTCCCCCTCGTTGTCAACGCCCCAAAAGTCTTGAATTTGATCCGCAACTGGCTGTCCGACATACTGGGTGATAACGTCCTTCAGATTGGATACAAATCCCGTAGCGAACACAATCACGTCGGCCGTTACCTCAGTTCCATCACTGAACGAAAGACCTCTAGAAGTGTAACGTAGTGGAGTAGAATCTGCTTTCACCTTGATCTGTGGCCCGGGAAACTCGGTTATTAGTTCGCTGCATTCACCAGAATATTTCATTACAAGACAGGGCTGGCGGAGAAGATAGGAAGATTCAAGACAGACGATGCATGCAGCGTACTCACCTGTCCCTGAGAGATCTTGGCTGACGTACCCACGTCAATATAGTGACCGCCTAGCTTGTCGTACAACACCGATATAATGTCTCCGAAGCGTTCAGTCTTGAAGCCAGCCCTCTCCAAGGCGTCAAACCTTGCACTGTTCTCTTGTGCCATACCATGCAACTTGATCATTGCAGACTTCCGGGCTATCGACAGTGGCGAAGAGAAGTTCAACCTGTCTGCCCGCTCTGTGGCAACCTTGTTATTATATAGAGCTTTGACATCACGTCAGCATGAGCGAAGCAAACTCTCCGAGAAACGACACTTACATATCGTTGTTGCGAGATAGTGCTCAGCTGGTAGAACCCCTAAATACACGCGTCAGACTTCACTTGCGGCTACTGAAGCAAGAGGAGATTAACCTACAAGTTGTGCCTCTCTGGATCATCGTCACAGAGCTGAGACCAGCTTCAACCATATCACTGCAAACGTCATGTGCTGGTGTAGATTACGGTTGTCAGATTGAGCGGGAATAGAGCTTGAGGTTGGGCGCTAACCAGTATTAGCAGACCCGATCACCACGCCTTGGAGACCCTTCCACTTGGTTGCAGATGCATAGTCAACCGAGTGCATGACTGAACCGTGGAAGGCTTCCTGAATCGGTATCAGCATGAACGCATATAGAAGAGGGTACTGTCTTGGAGGGAACCTTATTCGGGTAGTCGGGCATCTTGGGAATGTTTGAGCCGGCTCCAACAGCGAACACCAAGTGAGGTGTGGTCAAGGTACTGCTCACGCCACCTTTTGAGACCTGGCAGGACCATAACTTCTCTTGAGCAGACCAGACGCAGCTACGCAATTCCGTGCCACAGCTGATGTTCTAAGCCAAATGATTTAGTGTCAATGAGTTCAGAGGACAAGGAAACAAATTACAATTCCGTATTTCCTGACATAAGCCTTGTGACCTTCCGCTATCTGTACTCGGGTGAGGAATTCAGGCAGTTCTGGGCCATACGTTCTTTCGAAGGGCATGTGAGCTGCAGTTATCTCGTTAGAACTTGAGTCTTCCGGATAGGTCAATGCTTTCCCTACCGTATTCTCGTGCAGTGTGTACTTGAGGCGTCAGCATGCAAACTGCAACTTCAGGTGGTCACGGCTCACGACATACGTTTAGCTGATTCGTAACGCTGTGCCCAGCTGTCCCCGACATTGGGAAGCTTATCCAGAATGACATACGAGACGCCTAACGCTTGCAGGTAGCCTCCCACGTCCAAGCCACTTTGACCACCGCCAACAACAACACACTCAAATTGCCGGGTCTTGGAATTTGCAGCAGTCGCAGCATGCGGGCTTTCAGAGGAGCTTAAAGGTGAGAATGAGCTCATTGGCAGGGCCACGGAAGGAGACGAAGGCTGTAGCACGTCAACCCGGGGGCAACCTGAGAGGTCCTCCAAAAGAGTCCGGATCATCCATATCTTCCATTCGCCGTTGACGTCCATAAATATGGACAAGTATCCAGAACACTGCACAAGCGGTTCAATGGCTGTTGTATGAAAGGTGAAATCCAAGTCCACCCATGACTTTGTGCCAACCTCCACACTCCGGGCAGAGTTCTCGTCAACGCGAAAGCCTTCTGGGTGTCGAAGGGCGCAGAGTTTGGTCCACGTACGGTGGACAACGGACGGTGAATAAAATGTCCGGAATGTTCCTGTCAGAGCTATCATGTCCCTCCAGATGGCGGCCTCTGCGAGATCGTCACGCTGTAACGTCCGAAGCTTCTTCGCGAAAGAGTTTGAGATGGAGGACAGGGGCAAATTTCCACCGTGGTAGCTGTCTGGAAGCTCTCCAGGTAGATGCTCCAAATTGGAAGGGGTCTGAGCAGAAAACATGTTTGCCGTTTTATTGCTGTTATTGGCTAAGTGCTTTATCGTTCAGTCAAGTACGTGAAGTTCGGATATCGAGATACCTGGTCAGCATGAAAGGGGGAATTGCGAATCTTTGTCCTGTCGCAACGTACGCAACGGAACCAGTGCAAAAGAATATAGATACACAAACTCGAATCTCCTGCAGTTTCTAACACGATCTTTGTAGAGGATTTCAACGGACAGTTCTTCCCATTTCCGTGAGCCCGAGTCACTAGTGGTGGTGGGTCAGTCCACTGGAATTCCGGTGGTGATGAATTGGTCAGCCACCGCGGATCACCGTCGGAGGAGAAAAGTGTGTTGCTAATGGCAGAAACAACTAGGCAACTAGAATACGGCAGTGACCATGGGTTCCGCGAATGGTGACCGAAAGGATTGTGTACCAGATGAAGCGCGCCGCCGTCCCGGGGGAGCATTTGAGTGATTTGGGTTCGGGCTGGGATTAGATTCCTCAAGTCCTCTGGGACAGCGGCGTAGAGAATATTAGTTGGCAATAGGAAAGTAGTCAGCGACAGACGCATTGTTGAGGGCATTAGTATGACACAGCGCGGGAATCCACCCAACCCCACGCAACTGCATGAGCTGGATATGCGATGATCTCTTGCTCACCGCTGCATGCACAAGGGCATTCACTTTCTACGGATCTTTCAAGGCAAACGCAGCAAGCTTCAGAGAACCAATCCTATTTCCGTTCGACTTGAATCAGGGCTATGAATGCCCAAAGCAATTTCTGGTGCAGCCACTTGAAATTCCAAATATTTAGTCGTGGCGAATGGCTAAGATCTGCCTCAATGCTGACACGTATCCCTCATCGGGACAAGGCTTCCACGAGACCGGAGCTCAGATTGTAATACCACCCCGTAACAAGTACGGAAGACTTGATGAGCGGGTGATTCCGGAGGAACTCGACATCTTGATGGACGCTGGCCTTCACTATCTCCTCGTCGGATTTTTCATTACCCGTCCGACAAAAGGGCAAGAAACATATCTCCTGGACCCAAAATGCCGCTCCATCCTTATAGGCGCCAGCCGGAGCCCGTGGATCGTTGGCCGCTATCATATCTTTTGCCCACTTGTCTGTGTAAAACAGAGAACCGCAATCTTCAGGATACGTAGGAGTGATTTAGAACAGGCTACGGGCACTAGAATCGATGGATGTGATGTTGCTTACTCGCATGATGGACGACCCTGATCTCTTTCAGTTCAGTGGTGGCCTGGATGATAGCCAAGGACCGGAGCACGCCCGGGTCGTTAGTTCTGCCACCTCCATTGCGAATGACGATGGCTTCGTTTTCTGGCAGCTCATAAAAGTGTTCCGGGCTTGCCCTAGAGTCAACGCAGACAATTATGGCAGTCTTGGACCGTGGACCGAACGTCAATGCTTCTTGACTGGGAGGGGTTTTCTGACTGTACTCGTTGTTCGCCTTCGCAAAGTCGTACGGCAAGTGAGGCTTCAGCTGCTTGCGACCTAACTCGTTACTGGGGCCGACTGTGCTAGGCGGTTCAGGTTCCATTCTGAAATCTTTATTTCTATGGTGTTTGAGTTTGGTATGTAAAAGGACAAGGCTTGATAAGGGGTGGAAGATGGGATAAGTTGCATGAGATATAGAGATATTGGGAACGCGAGCTTGAATCTTTTGAGGCATAAACTGCCTATGAGGAACGCCTAGTTTTATCCATATCTTTCCCTTTCCTTAATATGCAAGTCGTTATGGGGTTAGCGTTTGATAGACGGAGCGGAGTTGTGGTGGCGGCGGCGGCGAAGAAGAGCACATGGCTCCGTCTCTCGATCACTGGTAATAGAGTCCAATCTACCTCGGCCTCGGCCTTACCAACCCGCCGCTATCCTCTAGGCTTTTAATAACGACGTTCCCTTACACCAACTCAATGAGATAGAACCATCTACGCAGCACTCAATCAAAGCCAAATGTCGTACCCGCTCTTCAACAAGCCATTTGATTTCGCCGCCGCGAACGAGCATTACGCTCTCAACGGGTTCCCCGAGAGAGATCCCGTCGTAGGAAGCCGTTCCCGGGCTGTGATAGTAACATGCTCGGACGCTCGTTGCAGCCCGGAACATTTTTTCAAACTCACCGAGCAAGAAGCGTCTGTCATTCGGAACGAGGGAGGCAGAGCGGCCGATCCTGGTGTTCTTCGGACCATTCTACTACTCAACTGTTTGCTGGAGCCGGTCAAACAACAGATCTCCGAGATTATGATAATCCACCATACAGGTGTGTTGAACAGTGCACATATCCTAATTCGCAGCTCTCAGGTCGCGAGGCACTTGACTTCAGGGCTGATCAAGTGATAGACTGTACAGCTTTGAGGTTCACCGACGAAGGCATCCGGAAGGCCATTTTGGGCAATGAATCCAACTTCAACGGAGGGGGGGGATGGAAAGCTGGCGCTTACCAAGCTGCCGAGGCCTTGGCGTTCCTCCCTTTTCCGCCTGGTGAAACTGAGAGAGATAGGCTTGAAAAGAGCATACGCGACGACGTCCGTTACCTACAGTTACATCCGCTGTCCAAACCTTCAATTCCAGTATCAGGCTGGATCTACGATTTGAAGACGAGAAAGGTCGAGCGTGTCTTGTGCTGAGGTATCGAGGAGTGGTCTGTAATTCCAAGTTTCGGAAGGCATTCAGGGCGTTTCCTGTCTCTTGATGAGTAGTCAACTGTCACCTGAGTCTATAAGGTACGCAAGGGATAAGCTCGTCATTCATTCACATTCGAGGCGGAGGCTAGCGTTTCAAGGTAGCTGCGCTGCTAGTAGAAGGAGATATTCAATGCAGTGTTCTTCTTAGTACGCAGACACTTAAGCAGACAATATGCTTGGATCAATTTCTGGGAGGTAGCCTGAGAGAGAACCCATGATAACTTGATCACCTCATTTTGGTTCTTGCAGCAAACTTGTTCTCACCAAAATATTCAGAGCATTCCCGATGAGAAAAATGGCGATGGTGTGCTCTGCCCCTTTCATCATCACCGTCTCGCAGACAGACTGATGATGCCTAGTGAGATCTGACGCTAAAGATAGCAGAGCTCCCTTACGTGTACATGAAGATGTACTATGGGACGGGAAATGTGACGGGTCGACCACATCCGACAGCAGGGTGTTAGAGCGGTTCCAGACCAGTTTGGACCATTGGATGATGGGTTGACTTTGAGGTCGTTGAACCTTGCACAAGTGTCCGTTCTTGCGGATATTTGGTACTTTAGTTAGTGGCATTAAGTCGCTGTACCTTGTCTCATCTACCCACTTTTCGCCATCCTCTTTACACCCCAAGCACGTAGTAATTATCAAAGGTTTATTAAAGTTTTCCTGTACGCGAACCGGAAATGGTGTCGTCAAAATGGAGGCGATGGAGGCCCACCACCGGAATTCCGGCGGTGGTACGCGTCATAGGCCCGCACATACACCTCCCGGAAGCCCCGAGCCCTACCGCAGACAATCGTAGGCAATTGTGCAGAACCGCTCATTACGAGCTTTGTGACGCCGTTGGCTCGCGGATCGCTCATCAGGAGCGTGAGAGACCAGACCCTCCCCATCAATGTTCACAACCGAACTTCGGGTTATCATGTGAAATTGACACCCAGATCTCTTGAGTCTCCTGTCTGGGATAAAGGATTCTGTTTTCGCCTCGTTGAATCTTGGCATTAAGGCATGTAATGATGCTTACCCATTACAGTAGCCTTTTAGAGCCTTGATGACTCGCGTGTGCTTATACCCTCTACAAGAAGAACGGTCATTCCATAGTAGCAGCCTCGTGTAATAACATGGAGGACTGGGCTGCACCAGATGTTGCGTTGTGAAATCTTCTGGAGTAGCCCTAGACAATAAGACTTGGTTCTTCGAATTTGATTTGCATTCCGAGGGCCAATGGCATACCCTAACATGCATTTTTGTAGAAAAAGAGTAAAGGATCCAGATGAGATAGGGGTTAAGGCATAGCCATTGTTTTTGAAAATGCATCATATTCTTTCTCATCTACCCTAGCCAGGAAGCCACGATTCCTTTGAGAGATTCAGAAACCCATGCATCGTCGATACTGACGTAGTGATCAAACCCATGCTCGCCATCTCTGACGTCGAGTCTGAAATTGAGCTCAGGATCTAGTTTTGTCAACAGCTCTTGCAGGCGATAGCTAGCTTCTACCTTGACCACAGAGTCGCCTTCCGCATGCCACACTACCAATCCTCCTCGGGATAGTCGAGCGCCATCCTGAAGCCTGTAAAACGGAAACAAAGTACGTTGGTCCTTCGGGAAGAACTGACTTGCCAGTCCGTGCTGAACGAAGGTCCACATGATATCAGCTCGCGACAACATATCGTCTTTGGAAACGACAGCCTTCCGCCCAGTCTCATGTTCTGCTTGTCGCATGCGAGCCACATGCTGCTCAAATGTGGCCCGCGGATATGGCGGCTGATCAAATACAGATTCATCAAGCCGGGGCTCGACGTTCGTCCTTTCAACATCCACTAGAGGATAGCTTACTTGAACAGCCTGCATCTCGTCGGGATAACTCAATGCCAACTGTATGGCCAGGTATCCACCAGCGCTATCACCAGTTGTAAAGACTTTGCCCAAGTCAAGGCGAATCCCCGTTTCGACTTCAAGAAGACGAGGGAGAGATTGATGTGTCCAAGCCCAGCAGTCATGGACATCATCAAGAGCGTTCTGAACGGTGGACTCGGGGATCAGTCGATAATCAGGGGAAATAATGACTGCATTGTGCTTCTTGGCAAGTTGGAGAATCCAAGGGGCAAAGAAGGGAGGGCAGAGGCTGGAGCCACCGACTAGACCTCCACCATGGAGCCGAAACAAGACCGGCCTGGGCGCGGGCGATGGAACCGTTGGATTGATGTATAGAATATTGACCTCGAGGCTGTGTTCTTCAATGACCTTGTAGATCTTTGAAACAATCTTGAATTCCGCGAAGCGCGAGTTATCGTGAGGATTCATTTCTGAGTGATTTGATTGCAACAATGCAGACACAATTAGGTGACAATGTAGACTGGATGTTCGGGAGAAGAGAAGTGATGGGTCGGGGTGGCTCTCACTTTATAGCCATATGATCAAGTCTGTTTCCTGCTCTTGCGCAAATCATATGCATAAATGATTGTAGGCGTGTGAAGTTATTGGATTTCCACGAATATGCACTGTTTGCCAGTAGTCGTACGTAGTTGAGTTCATCCCATCGAGTGAGAGTTGACATCAGTACATAGCTCCCCAGTTTTCCCTCACCTTGACGTTTTTTTTTTGTAGGATTCCATACGCGGGAATAATGAGAATAGAGTCGGATCATGATTTGATTCGCTATTGTCCCTTATGAGAGTACGTATTGATGTACTCATGTTAACTCGCACTCGATGTAATTCACGATATTACCTTATGCAGTGAAGTTCACGTGGAACCAATTAAAGTAGGCGGAGTGATTGGCTTGCAACTGTTTTTTAGGCCTTCATTTCTTTCACTGAACAGTCAGTCAGCCGGATAAGTCCATGTCCCAATCAATTGAGCTAGCCTTGTACAAGAAACTTTGGGTAGGGCAATCAGAGGGCCAGGACTGTGCTGTCGTTGACTCATGATAGGGCTAGTTGATGGGCCCATTGCTCGCACCATCTGGAGATCCAGAAGACCTTGACCCCCGTTTCAGAAGGAGGGATCTCGTCTAGATAACCTTTCACAGAAGCCGGTTGAACCCAAATCTTTCGAAGATGTGAATGCACTGGAGGGACAAAAGATCTGGCCACCTTTTCTCCCATTAGCCACCAAAAAGCGGCCATTTAATCTGTCCCCTCGGTGTTGTGCTAAAGCGAACGTCACCGAAAGAATATGTAGGGTCTTGACAACACCCATGATGACTCGCAAAGCCGTCGTGAGGCACATCGGGAAAGTCTGAGGGATGATATCTGGAATGCTGTCACTTAGGCCCGTGCTATTCTAGAGTACTCTAACGTTAATCTGCCACAAACACGTGGTCACCGTCACGGCATTTGATTACATCGGTTATCTCCCGCCCCATTCATTGAAGCGCGGACAGCCAAGAGTCTCACGTAGGTACGTGTAGGTCTTAAGCCGTATTGTCATCGCGGCTTGAAGTTTTTCGCTGCTGATTGATGCCGTTTCGCCTGCTCCGCACAGGCATAGGGGTTACGCGACCTAGGTAAAGCAGTGGAAGGAATATACCCGTAGCTGTCGACGAGTGGCTTCTCGGATCTGCCCCTCTATGAACTCTGTCAGTTCAAGAGCCCTTCCATTGGCTATCGACTGCCTGATGAACCCACTACACGGACATTTGTTTTTAACCCTACTCCGCCGTCTTCAACCAGACTCTTACCGATCCAGCTACTAGCCTCCGCAAGGTCGACGCTAGACTTACTGTAAGCGTACTTGTAGAAATAGGGCTATGGAGCGACTGAACTTAATCATACGATACGTTCTGCAACAAATAGAAACAATAGCGTGATGTATTGGCCATGCTAGTCCAGCTACCCCCTTTTACCACCCCAACCACCGCGGAAGAACCTCGGAGGAGGAAGATGAAGACTGGATGGATTCAACCTTTAGGGGTAATGTCACCTATTTCACCGACACCAGCTACTAAGAGGGAGGTTGCTCCCATGACAACACAAAAAGAGAAGAAATTGCCGTTCAACGTTACGTCGTTAATTGGAGAACAAGGTCACAGCATCGAGCGAGTTTGCCGAGCAAATCGAGTGCTGTCTTCCGTGGCTCATCAATTGAAAGTCGCAAACCATGATCGTTTTCCTATCCGTTGATTCTTCTACATATTTACGAATACATTTGCATCGGGAGGTCATGGACGAATTATCCGACATGGTTAACCCTTGTAGCTTTGGAAACAGAGGAACTATGCAAGACGGAATAAGCGATGTCGTATTGAACTTTGGTCAGCTGATATGGAAGCACTTTATCACCATCGCATCCGCAAGTCTTGAACAGACCTAGGACCAATTTGATGAGATCAATGTCCTGATATGAAGTCGTTAAGGACGGATTCTCCAAAATATTGAGGAAGAGTGCGTTTACACTCCAGGTGACTTGATGCAAAAGGTAACTAAACTTCCTTGTCAGCCTTTCCTTTTATGAAGATAGCCAGAAAGCGGTCACGTTGCGACTCTTCGAGAGAAAGCAAAAAAGAGACCTACACTATCGGGGCTTTCCGAAGATGAGGAGGTCGTAATAGTGCAATGGCTGCTCTAGCTGAATTGACGCAAGGTGCTATACTGCGTGATGAAGTCCCATCGTTATCATTCAACAATGGTGACAAAACCGCCGCGGATTGAATAGCTACGTCCATCTGAAGGCAGAGAAAATGAAGCCTCAATAGACTACTCCACTTATTGACATCTGAATCGCTGAAATTTGCGGAAGCGTTGGGCAGAATCGGCTCAGGAATCTTTTCCTGCCACTTGCGAAGCCCTGCATCTAGCTTTGCAATGTTATCTGGCAGAGAACTGGCGGAAGCGACGGCAGCATTTCGCAAGTACAGCTTTGAGCAAATGATGCCTTGGATATGAGATAGACGAAGTTGGATGTACAGGGTGTTGATCAGGACGTTACCCGGGAATATATGTACACCATACCAATCGGGGGGGAATTCCTCGGGAAGGTCTACCAGGATCGCGTCGGGGATGAGGGCTGGTTTGCCGGTTCGAAACGCAAGATCACGATCAAGCATGTACGCCAGCCAGAAAAGGCGATGATTGTGAAGAACTTCTGTATCTGAAAGGCCGCCATTACCTGGCGGATCTCGATGATGATAACCAGCTTGGATGGTGAGCTGAACGGCCAGAGCGAGAACAGAAGTGCTGACGACATCTTCGGCCGAGAACATGAAGTGAGTCACCTGATTTGGTTAGTGAATCGGTCTAAAGTGCCATTGTTGAGCATCTTTTTGTACCAGCAAAAGAAGCGACCCGATAGTCATTGCATTCGGGGTTTGGAGGATAGCGTGGGGAATTAGTAACAATGCGTTACTGAGAAAAGGCCGATGTTCCTGAATGCCGAGCTCCCAGTCCCCTTTGCGGAGAGTATGCATGATAATGACGTTTAAGGCAAGTTCCCATCCTGATTCGTTGCTTCTTTGCCCATACAGATAGGCGTTGACTGCAGCGCGGACTTTTGGTTCGAACAGGAATCGCAGGTCGTTGTTCAAATTTTGGAAAAAGTCTATAAAATGAATCAAATTATGTTGATCGCGATAGCTGGACTAGGATAACCCACCTCTAAGGCAAACATTGATCACATCGTTGGGCGGAAAGGGGTGACAGCTCTGGGACGTCGATAGGATAGAACTCGTTTGATGTTCTGTGGTTTGTTTTGTCTGCAGGAGGTGCTGCATAGCGGCAGAGAAACGTTTGTCACCTACTAGGTGGTCGATATGCGTGATTATGTTCTGAGAAAAGTACCAGGGGCCTTCAAGAAACGTTAGTTTGGTACGATCAGTGTGTTGTGAGTACCTTATTCTGATGTGCAGACATGGCCAGAGGAGAGTACCTTTGGGTGATGCGGTGCCGTTCGGGGCCAGCAAACCAGCTAACCGTGCCGAATCCATGGGCGTCCGCGAAGATGACACTGTGGGCTAAGGCGGGGACAATGACTGCATTCGTAGTTGGTAGATCGATGCTTCACGTATCAAGAACTTAACTGCGATGTTGAGAAGGGTGGCGATGATGGGGTATACTTTTGTTACGGACTGAACCCGAGCAGGCGGATCCGAGCTGGTGGCCGTATTCTACCACTGCTTACCGCGCGAGGCCCGCGCAGATTAACGGATGTGTTGATGAGGTTGAGGTCGCATCACAGACGAGACAAGCAAAGCATTGAGGAGAGTTCTGGCCGAGCGGGCCCCGTTTTTACGCTTTGCCTCCCGGGAAGCCCTCGTAATCTTCCCTACTATAGCTTGAATGCTTGCATCAGAAACTACCCCTGCGTTGCCCTGCGTTGCCTGGCGAGGGGTAGGCTCTTGCCAACAATTGCTCTGGCTTCTGAGGATCTCAGGGCGTGGTTTTCGCCTGAAGTACCTGGTATCGGCACTTGAGTATTGTCTTCCTCTCTACCTGTGTAGAATGCCACCAACGTGATGTTTCCCTCCTGGAATTGTGCCCTATCCTTTTCGACTTTATGGCATTATTCATTAAACCTACCAGTCCCAGCCATGGCGAGTGTTTCACGGGCAGAGCAGACTGGCTTTGCCAGTAGTACATACCCATGTCCAGCAGGCCATGTCCAGCAGGCCATGTCCAGCAGGCCATGTCGAGCAGGACTAGTCGGGAAGTTCTAGGATGGAGGTGGGAAGGGTATCGCGCTGCGGGGGGAGGTGGGCTGTAGTGAGGCACTAATCCACGGACTACTCACCTACTGCGGTAAGACCCGGTTACCAGACATAGCCAGCTTCTCCAGCTCTGGCTTCTGTGCACGACGCTAAACAGCCCCGAACTCTAGAAGCTCGGAAATAAAATTGACCAAAAACACTCGTAGAACGTACAATTCAGGCCCATATTAACCTAATGTAGACAGAACCAGCCAATGGGAGCGCAAGAACCCAGCAAGAGAAGAAACCCCGCGCCATCCTCAATGCCGGCCAAGCCGTCAGAACTTGGAATCCTACCAGCACTTTTCCAATTCTACGATACACGTAGGAACGGTAAGAACCCTCCTCTTCACCTCTAGCAAATCCTGTCTACCTCATACTTTGATTTATCCCTATAGAAACCAACAACTCCTGTCAAGAATCGTGTTTCAGGAATGGCTGACATTGCATGTGCTGTGAGCCTCACATGCGCAACGTGTGGACGAACGTTTTCACGCAGGTAAGACTGCAGTAAACTCTAAGAGCCCGAGATTGTGGATTGAGACATAACCTTTGCCTGCTTGGCCTCAGAGATAGCCTGCTTCGTCATACAGCTACACACAAGAAGACTAGAAGTCGGGGAAGTCTGCGAAGGAAATCCTGTCTCGAGTGCGCAAGGTATGTCCCGAGCTGTTGGCAGAGGCCCCCTCGGCGCAGACGGCACTAAATCCCATTAGAGCCAAAATCCGGTGCGACAATGCCCAACCTGTTTGCTCCTCGTGTTTAAGGCGACAAATGGATTGCCAGTATGATCACATAAACCAGGGACCAGACCATACGAGCCAGCCAGTCTTGCCACCCGTCGTACCCGGAGGACAACAGGCACATAGCGTAGCGAGGACTCCATCCGACTTCAAACAGACTCAAAATCTTTCACCCAACCACAGCTGCCGTCTTCTCAACAACGAAACCCACTTGTCGGTTCTCTCTGATATTATGCCAATATCATCCCAGAAAGACTGTCTGAAGAGCGCCGATGGGAACAGTCAGACATTGAACTTCCGTTGTCCGGAGGCCTCCTTGAGCATCGACAGCCGCTTGCCAGACGAACACTACGTAGAACGAGGGCAATTATCCGACTTTCTCAGCGTTGATATGCCACTTTTCGAAGAACTCGTAAATGATCCAGTCAACTTCTACGTTCAGGGATCCAACGACTTGGGCTCAGGCCTCAGCAACTTTGACATTTTCAATGCCATTTACAATATCTCCCCCGCCGCGGATGACGTGTCTATCTCGGCAAATGTTCCGATGCTGAATATTTCATCATATGGGCATGACACGGCGACAATCAATTGCTTCACGGAATCATTGGTTACTCAGCCGTTCCCTGGTGAGATGATCAGTGAATCAGTTTGTTCCAATCTTCAAAGTTGGTTGTTCAGACGAGCCACCGATGGTGCTGATTTTGGCATTGGGATGTTAGAGTCACACGAGTTCCCTGATACTGACACCCTCAATGCCTATCTAAATGCATATTTCGCTCACTTCGGCCAGGTAATCTATTTCTGCAGTGCTTAGAGATTCCAAACTTACACATGCAGGTTATCCCGATTGTGCATAGGCCTACTTTCAACCCAAACGAATGTCCATTGCTTACCTTAGCAATGGCATGCGTTGGGGCTGGCTTCAGTGGGCTCCAAAATTCCATGAACGTTTCTATCAGACTCTCTCGCATGTGTCGGGACGTTCTTTTCACTCTGGTAGGCAACCAAGCCCATTTTTTGCAATTGATAGAGCTCCACTCATGCAATTGATGATCAGATGCGGAAGTCTTCCGAATGTCTTCATACCTTGCCGTACCTTATTGCACAGCTCTTACAGGGCATCCATGGATTCTCATGCGGCGAATATGATCTTTACGACTCCAGCCAATCTTTAAGGAGTCTTTTAAGTAACAGCTACAAACGAATGTTGGCATCGGGTACCATCAAATCGAAATTGGCGCTCAATCCCTCACAGAATAGCTCTCTAGGAGAACGTTGGTTCTTTTGGGTCCAAGAAGAACAGAAGCGCCGAATCGGGCGGTATATCTATGAGTATGACTATTTCGCGTTTCAAATGCATAGCAGCAGACCAATTCTTCATACCTCAGACGTCACTTTTGATCCAGACGGCCCTTCATGTTACTGGGAAGCCACTACGGCCGGGGAATGGCACGCAGTCTCTTCAGGTGGAACAGCCCCTCAAGTCTACCCAGTCCCCGCCCCTCCTGGACGAGTACATTCCACAGGCATAGACGACTACACCGACCAAGCGAATCCTGGTCCCGCAACATTCGCCCTTCAAGTCCTCCTACGAAGCCTTTGCAGTATCGTCGACCTGACTGACAACGACTTTGCCGGAATACTTTGCAACGAGCTGCACCTCACATCAGGGACGGAGGACATTCTTGACCAATTACGACCATTCAATCGCCTGCTTGCCCCGTCTGACAATATTTCTCCGATCATCTCAAAAGAGACGATAAGATTGGAGGTGCAGGCTGCCCAAATGGTTCACATGGCTCACCTCCATTCCGCAGGAAAGATGATGAGGTTATTCCAAGACGTGTTCCAACTTGGATCGGATTTCCAGACCGCAATCCAAGAAGTCTTGACCTGGGGTTCAAAGAATGTTTCAAAAGTCCGAGACGTTGCTTTTCACGCAGCACAAGTTCTCGGCATTGTACGCCACTACCCATTCCACACACCCTCGGAAGCTTTCAATGTGTTCAAGTCCGGGCTAGCGTTGTTTTGCGCTTCTAGGTGGCTATCGGAGCAGCAGATTTTGATGGATACTCCCGACAGAGGATCATGGAGCACCAGTTCTTTGCGGCTTGACTACATACCGATAAACCTGGTGGCTAAACGACAGTGGGAGTCCAACATCCAGGCGTGGGTACAAGAACGTAACCTTGTTCACAACCCGGCGATACTTGGGACGCCAAACATCCTTGGTCCTGCGGGTCAGAAACACATTCTGGGCATGACTATGGACCTTCTGCGCCAGAACACGCCATGGGGAATATCTATGAGACTGTCTGAAGTTCTTGCACGTATACTCGGTACAGTGTTTCTGGAGCATGAGTAAGACCACAAGAACCTTGGTTATCTTAGCGTTATAGACTCAGCCTCAATTCCCTGTCTCCCACTTCTGGTGCTTCTTTTTACCCCTTCTGAGAAACCATTTAGAGACTACACTTGTTACGACGGGCTCTTTAAAATGATTACTTATTGACAACTGTCAAGGTTACAATAGTAAGTAGTGATGAAGATTCCAATTACCAGCTTTTGCACATGTGCCAGGTATTACTCTTTGATTTGTCCCATGCCCTTACATACACGAGTCTCAACCACTAGTTTTGCCGACGATGATGTGAGGCGAGACTCTGATCTGCCAGTCGCTGATGTTATGGTAGTCACCACACTTTCGAAGTGCCCTCGACAGGATCTTGTACTCGCCATTCTCGATCGAACCACCGCGCGAGAAGTTGCCGCTTGGCCACCACGTGCTCGACGGCAGGCGCGGGGACTGTTCGACGGGGGCATCAAAGTAGGTGTCCAAGATAAGGGTGTAATGTTAGAGGAAGCCAATGTGTCTGTTTTGGCCTGGGATGTATGAGTATGACCAGTCTGTGGGCTCCCAGGAAGGGTCGACAAGCTTGAAAGGGTTAGCAGCTTTCGGTTGTCGTCCTGAGATATGACACAGGAAGCTGGAGTACGTGCATACATCGGAGCTGAATTGGCGCGTAGGCCAGAGGATATCAAAGTCAATGGTGAAGGTGTCCTCGATCGTTATCTTGAAGGTGTCACTCTCTTGGATCAGCACGAACTCAGGGGTTTGAATCACAGGGTCAATCTATTCGGTCCAGATATTGCTGCCGTAGATGATCTCCTTGATACATATGGGGAGTCAGTGACTTCTTGCCATATCATTGAACTGGCATGATCTACTGATGAGCATAAGTTAACCGCAGAGGCTCGTCGTTAGACCTGATAATGTTGATGTATCTTCATACATCAGAAACAGCTTCGCATCAATACTAGCAGGTTCGATGAAGATTACCATCAGAACTCCAGTCGTACCAGGAGCTAAATTAAGTGCTGTCGTCGAGAATTTGACCGTGGCTAGTTCAGCCCCGTTGGAGGAATAAGGCAACAGGGGCAACCCGACCACGGGGCCGGAATCTGCTTTGGTGGAAATAGTGGAGCCGACTTCGTGAATAATGTTGTATGTCACAATCTCGTTTTCCCTGTTCTCAATCCTGATCTCGTGTGTGCCTTGGAAGTGATCTGTGTCGTTGAGGTTGATAACCGCGGGAGTGATGGATGTCTTGTAGGTCATAACCTTGAAACCGTCGACGATGCCGGCACCTTGCAAGGGAATAGGGCCTACAGCTCGTCAACTTCAGTAGATCTGGAATCTTGGAGAGAGATACTAGTACTTACGCTAGAGAGCCGCTCCCATCATGATGAGCGACTGGCTTGCCACTGAAAGTATGAGCTGGTGGGCCGAGTCGCCGGCACTGATGGCGCTGTTGGAGCGGCCGCCGTTCGCTGAGAAGTACAGAGCGATAACGCCGGCAATCTAGGGGTTGGATCAGAACGAGTTGAGAGAATTTTCGAACAGTGACCTACATATGCAGTGGGCATACTGGTCCCGGGGAGGACAACCTTCCCACCCTCGGATGTCAGATACGCGGAGAAGAATGGAACCACCTGATATATGAATTCGTGAAAGTCGAGATTGCTGAGAGAGTGACTTACCGGGAGCTGAGACCTCGGGCTTGAGGCGGCTGTCAACTGTTAAGCCCTAGGACGAGAAGTAATCAATGGCACCTGCGATGGACTTGAAGTTGGCGCCGAGAATGCCAACTGCCTTGCCACCGTTGTTGGCTACAAAATCGGAGTCTACCTTGCTACCCGTTCGCTTTGCTGAACAAGCCATTGACATCCTCTTGGCTAATAGTACGTCATGATCGTGTTGTAAGGCAGGGGACTTTGGGTCATGGGAATGACTTACCCCTAAGGAGCTGCTCCTCGGGGTTGTAGACTCTCCGGTTGGGAATCTCCTAGGCAGCATCCTCAAAGTTGTAGTAGAATACCCACTGACACTCGTTCCGAAGAGGTTGGAGTCGAGGACTTGCCAGCACTAACCATTCCGTAGCACATTTGTTGGTGAGGCTCAGGTCGAATCATAGATGAGACAGGTACAACAATAATGAGATTTCCGCCAGTTGATAGCAATTGTTAGAAGTGAGCTGAAAAAGTTGCAAAGTTATCTTCAGCGATGTAATGCTCGATTTTGGTTGGCTTGTTCCCATTGCTCTGCGATTGTGATCCCCAGACCTTCTAATTTCTTTGTTCTCCCCTTCGTTTTGAAACACCGCCGCGGCCCCATTGAGGCACATAACATTGTAATACTTGTTTCCCGTACCTCTCAAGAACTAAGGCTTTGTTACACCCCATCCGACTCCCAAGTTCATTGGAAAACGGTGCTTTCAGCAGCTATTTTGGTAATGCTCAAGCCATTGAGATCATTGACCGACTACAATGTCATTGTTCAGAGGCTTCTTTCGGCGTGAATGACATTAGAACCATTATATTGATGACTATATGGCTCCAGATATCTTATTTAAGATCCCGTTGCAACCTAGTATTTGCATCACCTACGATCATCAATAGCCTGACCATCGACGACATCGCCAACACTTCTTCAGCCCCTGGCGTACAACTCTAGCCCGTATCTTCCTTACAAGAATAACTTTTTGACTACTATATCTTTTGAACATCTCTACTCTGAGAGACCGGATCTCTTCTTCAGCGTCTTTTTTATATAGCTCACCTGCCTTACTTACCACATCGCTTGTCGACAATGGCCCCGCCTACTTCCGACCCGACTGACATTCTTTGCTGGATGAGGGATGTGTCCGAAAATTTGGAGGACACAAGCTCAATTGAAGGAGAGTTGCCAACTTCCCCTGAGATTACCCAAACTCAACAGACCTCTTCTGGAACCGCCTACATCGCTGACCGGTCTGCTTCTGGAAGTGGATCACTGACAAGCGAATCTGGAGAGACGCCAGCTCTGACGACAAACTCGATACGTACCAAGCGCTCTCCACGATCTGAAGATGGAACTGACAATGAAAGTGTTAAGAGGCGTAGGTGCAGCTATGTTCAGTCGCCAACGTTTATACAAAGCCCGTGGGAATCTGCGACCGGTTGCCATATGTACTACCGAAACAGCTGTCGCCCAAAGAAGCTGGAAACTGTCACATCGTCTTACTGGCCAGACATTCGCGACGCCTATGCCAGATCACTTCATGACCCGAGCATCAAATGTTGCATCCCCTGTTCCATCTGTCATGAGGATTGCGCAGACGAAAGTACATCTTGGAAAGTTGGATGGGAACTACCCGTCATCCTTGCTTGTGGCCACATGATTGGGGAAGAATGCCTCAAATCGTGGTTCAGATCGCGGGCAAAAAGCAATGGGCCAAAAGACTGCCCAGTGTGCAGAAGGTTGCTCCAATGTTCCGAATGCAAGGGAGCCTTCATGTTCTCCATCCTTTGTCGCGATTCTTACGTCCCGAATCTGAAGACCAAAACCTACGGCGAGCAGCCTATGGAGCAGACCATTTGCAACGATTGTCAGGCCGAGACTGATTTCGGAAGTCGAGTCCTCCAAGGTGAGCACATTGCCGAGCCATTTCCCCGCGGCGGCGCCCCTCAACACATGATAGATTGGTTCCGTCAAGTGAGAGATGAGTTTGAAACCAAAGCAAAGTTGAGCGTGGGCCACGGAATGAGACCGATCGACGTCCCCGGCATGATTCACAAAGAGATTTTTGCCGAGATGGAATCATGGCTGTATTTCCTAAAGGAGGATGTGGCTCACAGAGTACAGGCAAGTATCGCTAAGATTGAGACAGAGCTGGATGAAGCTCACTGGTGGAATCGCGCTGGAGTAAACGAGGAAGAAGAATTCGACATCACCCCAGGCTATGGTAACCGCTCAGATGGTGATGAGGATCACGGCGAGGACGGCGTGAGATACGAGGGCTTTGATGGCCGCTGGCATGGCAATGAGAGTCAGACTGAGAATATGGGTTACGACGCCGCTAATTACACTTGGTAAGACTTGCTGAGATCGAGTTGGTGATAAACCATACTTTCGAGAAGATAGAGCGTTGTTATTTTTAAATCTGATCGATGAAATACGACTTAGATAAGTTGTGTTCAAGAATGTGAGAAGTTGTCACAAGCTCAATCTCACAGCTGTAGTAATTGTGAAAAAGTCTACTTCGTCTATCCGTTGGTGGTATCACGATCTCCATCTGTTCCGGACGTGCAGTTGATCTGGAGCAAGTTCTTGTCCAGATTCTTGCATTCGTACACAGGCGGCTTCCCGCTCGGCACCGTGACTGTAACGTTCTCGGCGCGGATGTTGCTGCAACGCTATATCATAAAAGTTTTGTCAGTGATGTGTCCGGAAAGTCAATATCCTCTGATAGCGATAGAAAAAAGCTTACGTCTGCGGCACTGCAAACAAGGCTTCCGGCTTGCGGGTCTAGCTTGGTTGAAACCGTGCCATAGATGTTCTTCAGAGTGATGTCGGAAATTGTAAGGTTGGCCTGGAATCACCATCATCAGCACTCAATTGCACAAAGATACCGGAGAGAGATCAGGGGCCTACCGGGAACTCTTCGCAGAGTGTCTGGTTCTTTTGGCCGTAGCATTGCGTGATCGTAATGGCCCGATCGTTGTTGATATTCTTGAAGAGGTCATACGTGACGTTTCTGACACGCCCGAGACCACCTCCACCATTCAGGAGTGTCTGAAAAGCAGTTTCAATACCAGGCCAGACTTTGATGCGAGCGGCATCGCTAGCGTTGGCCATGGTTGTGTTATAGATGTAGAGGTTCTCGACGATGTCGGTTTCGCCCTTGTACTGGCCCAAGGAGCCAACACTCATGCCGTGTGAGCCAGTGCAATCCAGGTTCTGGACGACGACATTGGTGCTGTTTGGTTTGAACGACACACAGTCTGCATAAGCCATCGAAAATCAGTCCACGAAACATAGGCGGGAGTTTCGATAATTAGGCTGCAAGCAACCAGACCATCCGTAGCCAAACTCACCGTCTGTGTTGATAATGAGTGAATTCTGAATCACAATGCGATCGGATCGATAAGTATCCCAACCATCTGAATTGGCGATCTTAACACCATTTTGACTCTGATCCAGTCATCGTGTCAGCTTTTGCGCCGCCCTGAGCTAGGGGTGAAGAAATGGACAGACATACCTGGGCTTTGAGGTCCATATCGCTAATGATAACGTCGGTGCTGTTCGCGATCAAGTTGAACCACTGGTGTTGTTAGCCTCTGACTGTATGGATGTGGTAGCCATAACTCACGTTGGGAGGGTTGCGCATCCGAAGGTGTGACATTGTCGCTCCCTTCGCTCCGTCGAAAGAGAATAACATGGGCCTCAAGAGCTATCATGTCCCTGTCAGCACACTCGAGAAAATGAATGACCTAGCGCTCTCACACTACTGTTGGTCTGAATGGCCTCCCAGTATGCCTGACCGCGACCGTCAATGACAGATTTATTGTTCCCAAGATCACCATAGATGTTGATATCCTCGCCGCCAAATTTCCAAAAGACTGACTGGTTCTGGAAAGCGAACTTGAAACTGTTGTCGGCCCAGTAGAGAGGGTCATCATTGAACTGGATGTCGCCGGTAATGACTACGTCAATGCGCTTCAGGAAGGTGAGATCCAACGGTGAGCTGATGAGGTAGGTTTTGTCGAACACCACTGTGCCGCCGTCGTTGCATTCCTTGAAGGCTTTGAGGATCTTCGGCGCGTCGTCCTTGCCCTCGGTACAGCTCGGCTTAACGTAGCAATAGCGGTCTTTGTCTCTGGGAGGCGAAAATGGCATGGCCTTTCCGGTGTTGAACGGAGCGGGCTCAACCTTAGGGCGCTTGGGAAGCTCATCTTGGGCGGAAGCAATCGACAACAGGCCAAGGGCGGCGGCCCATAGAGCCGGAGAGGTAATTCGCATCTTAAGAAACTTGCACACACACGGGAATGACAGAGTGGTGTTAGGGACGTGAACGCACCACTACTTGAGTCCTAGTCCCCGAACCATCCGTGCTCAAATACCCAAAATCCCAAGAGCTTAAGTTTGATGAGATGTTACCGGCGGCGGATCATATCATCATAATTCCCAGATTGAATGCAACAATACGTGGAAGATTTGTGGGGTTCATGTAAGGTCCCTCGGCCGGTCGGTAGAAGATTTCGCGGACCGGGGTGCGACCAAGCAGTTTGATTTTTCCCCAAAGAACGTTCCCTTCAACCTGACGAACCCCTTGCGGCTGAATCCTTCCTGCGCTGCTCCGCATACTGCACTTATCTGTGAGCGCGGGGTAAAGAGGGGTGCGGAGAGATTACCAGGGACAACTTGGCGAGACAATTAGCGAGCCGGTGGGTGTAATTTGCTTCGCATTTCCGGTCTTGGCGTTGACATACTATGAGATCACACAAGTAGATGATGTTTGCTGAATCAGTGGGCTCTCGAGACACTCATCTTCAAGAATTCTGCGAACGGGAGCTTGGTTTCAAGCCATCTACCCGCAGACTAGGCAATGGGGCCCCGGGGCACTCGCAGAAGTACGGCGCCATTCAGGCTGTTGGTGGTAATTACTGTGTACATCGATGTAGAAAAGCGCGATTCGAGACCCGAAGCGACAGATCGTGGTGATCATGGTAAATTTGACTCTCGTTATAATCTTCGCCATTGGCTTCCAAGGTAAATCTAAAGAATGACAACCTCGATATTCTCACGATCAGGATCGTTGTGCTACTTCATCGCCGATAAGGTACATCTAAGGGAAGGCTCTTCAAACTCAATTCGACCATGGAATGTAGCCAAGCTCGACTTATTAAGGGGCTTCGAAATCAAACGACCCATCAAGAAGTCATACAAAGAGGATCCGCTGCTAGTGGGAGAAGGGGGGGGGGGGGTATCAAATGTTGCATGTATGTAAGCCAAACGGTCATCCTTGATCATATCCCTGCTGTCCTGCTTTTGTCCTCAAGATCCGACTACATGATGTTGTATTCGCGAATCACTTCCACTCGCGCCATAGACGTCCAATAACTTCCTTCATGTATGTGTGTATGTTGAAAACATAAAGGGAATGTTTCAGAATCGCAACATGACGGTATCGACGATAGGCCGCATCCGAGACCAGACTTTAATCAGAGTTAACTTATTAAAAGACCCGTGTCCGATAGCGCTGAGGCGGCGGGGGTTGCTGACGGCGAAATGGTCCATTGGTCTTGACTTTCCATGCGTCGTAACGATTAATGTGGAAAGGTTGGGGTGGTGGTGCTTGTGGTATCGGGCCGGGATGCGGGCCGGGAGGCCTTCGTCGGCCCCCGGGCCCCCAGATCGGCGGAGGCATCCTCGGTGTCCTAGGCCCGCGAGACCCGGTAACCCCGCTTTCGGAGGAAGAGTCATAGTCGTACAAAGAATCCCAGTCCGGTGGCGGTCCTGGTCTTCTCTTATTCTGAGAAATGCAGAACCAAGCGATGAGAACAATGGCGACGAAGGCCACGATGCCACCCAGGATTCCTCCTATCTGTGCGCTTGATAGGGATCCGCCTGACCGGTCCGGAGGTGGTGGGTCCGTGGTCGGAGCAGCGGCCGGGGGCGGATCGGCCGGGTTACCATCGGAATATGATGTCGGTGGCCCGCTCCCTAGTGTAACATATGTGACGAAAGTTGAACTTGGTCGATAGATCGTCTGAGTTATGACATGAAAGCCTGTCTCTTCCTGTCGGGCAGCGACGGGAAGAGGGGTTTCGCGGGGTTGCAGCGAGATCGGAGTGGGAAAGGTATGCATTGCTGACGGGATCTCATCAAGTTGGTTGGTAAGCGTCTTATTCGTTATATCCAGCCGAGAAGAGAAGGCCTCACTGGCTAAGGCAAAATGGCATCGTCCAGTAACTTAGATGGGGTAATAAACAAGGTACCACACGGATGAGTGTGAGGAAACCGAAGAAGTCACAGTTCGAAAGAAAAACGAAAGAAAGTGCAAGACGTGTTGTTCTTATCCAAGAACCTAGAAGCAGGCTGTGGTCTGCAGAGAGAGTTGAGTACCATCTTACATTTTCTCACGGATGCCAAGTAGCATCCAGCGCATAAGTCAAACCCCCCACTTCCTGGCACCCCCCTGTTTCTGGCACCCACAAAAACGATGGGATCACAACCCAACCTCCTCATTACTATTAACTATTGATCCTCAACCACACCCACTACAATACAACTGCCAGCCTCACTAGGGCATTCAGAGTCGCTGGATTCAGCCGTAATAACCTCCTTTTCACCCGCTTCGATTTGAGCCCGATGGATATCCCTGATGTTCGCAAACTTCGTGTTGGGATCGATCTGAACAGTCTTCCTCTTCTAACTGCAGCGTTGGTAACTTGAGCCTCAGGTGAGCCAGCTGCTGCTGGGCAACTGCCAGTTGCCAGGCCTGCTCTGTGAAGCCTTTTTCACCTTCCTGAACAGCAGCCGTTGAGTGCTGGTATCATTGTCGAGTTGGGTGTATAAGTGCAGTTGACCGCTGAGCTCTGCCAGCTTCCTGGGTGTCGACCAGACCACTGCAGAGAAGCAGAATCCATGGCTCAACAGGGTAGTTTGTTGACCATTATGGCATCGCTTTTGCCCCGACTGGTTGGTTTGGGTGTGGTGGGCTTAGCAGAAGGCTCAGGTAATACCATAGGGTTCATCAGGGCTTAACCATCGCTACAGGGTGTAGACCAGTCCACTTCCAACCACTTCTGATGTTCGAGACTGATAGACCAGCAAGTCAGAGCCTTCTGGTAACAGTCCAGGAAGTTCCTTTTACCTATAATGGTAGAGTCGTTCCATTGAGACAAGTAACCGAGCTCCTTCCGATAGGCTGACTTAACAGGGCTGAAGACAGACTGGTCAAGTGGCTGGAGGACATGAGAGGAGTGTGGTGGTAAGAACAGTAAATGGATATTGTTAATATAGCAATTCCACATGAAGTCTGTCGTCGTATGACTCCCATGCCCATCCACAATCAACAGTCGAGCCTCGCCCTCAGCCTCGGGCATAGTCTGTGGGATAAACACCTTCTCTAACCATTCAATGGCAGTTAAGTCTGTAGTCAGCCATTATCTGTTGCTGTAAACTCCACCCATCGTATGGAACCAGATGTAATGGAAACCACTGTTGTTGGACCGTCTTCCCCTTGAAAATGATAAGAGGACGAAGTGCCCTACCCAAGGCTGAGATACACTCAATGATAGAGACCCATGCCCTCGACCCAGGTTGTTTCTTGCGAACAGACGTCGTCTCAGCCATGCCCAGCACTAACCCATTAGCTCCCTGACCCTCGGGATGCCAGTCTCATCCATATTATATCTGTTGGCTGGTTTGATGTCCTTGATCTCAGGGATAGCAAGGAACAAACCAGTTCCTAATGACCTCAGTAGATGCCCCATTAACGCGTCTAGAATCGATGGAACGACTTCTCTGAACCTTAATGATAGGGTTCCTTCTCACGAAGGCATAGATCCAGCCTTTCCTAATGGTTTGGTATCCCCAGCAGCAGCCAGAACTCGCTCTGCGAATTCCTTCACCTGTTGGTGCGTTGGTGCGAGGCCCAGCGAAGCCTGAATGCGAACCCATTGTGCCAGCTTACTCTCCTGGTCAGGAGACAGCCTCTGCCAGTCAGCAAAAGCCACTTTCCTAGTCTGACCACCTTGGAGACGTAGTTGGAGGGTTGATCGTGGTATCCCATACTCCAATGAGGCTCTCTTTTGACTCTTGCCGTTTGAGATGTCCTCGAGAGCCTGACGAAGCTGATCTTCGGTATATTGAGGCATTAGATATAGAAGAAGGTATGTGCAAAAAATGAGCCCATTTGGACTCGAATTGAAAATGTTGTGATAAAAGGAGGTTGGGGGTGGGCATTGCGTTGTGGTGGATTTTCGCGTTTTTGTGGGTGCCAGAAACAGGGGGGTGCCGGGAAGTGGGGGGTTTGACTTACTTCCATCGCAAGGCCAAGACTCGGCATAAACGCGATTCCTACGAACGAGCTGCAGCGCCACAGGCAACACCACGCCCCCCAAACATATCGGATAAGACACTCAAGACGCGACTAACCTTGTTTTGACATTTCTCTGCCCAGATTTGTCGATGTCGTACGGCTGCGCCTGACACATCCAAAGACCTGCAGGCAGGCTGCAAGCCGTTGAGGCTGGCCAGTGAGGACCGACAGCGTGGTGCCATGAACATGCAAAACGCGCACATGATTCTGCCAGTCAACACTTGCGATAACTGGGGGTAAGAGGCCAGATCCACCAATAAGCTGAATTGGTCGGGCTGAGGGGCAGCAGTCTTAATCAACCGAACCAATGTCCTTGAGTTGCGAACAGCCATTAGCAAGTACCGCACAGTCAGACATCGTATACACACCCACACGGGGGCCGGCCCGTCGAGTTGGATCTGTGTGGGTGAGACCCTTGACTGGTGTGCTCATGTGGTTAGTTCGAGTGAGACACGGTATATATCAACCACGGCGGCATCTTAGTTGCCGGACCTTCCTCGCGTGTGCGAATTTGGCCCCCAATTCTCAACCTTGACTAACATCAATCCACGCAGACACTAACGCAGTCATTGCATCGGCCAATTTGGACGAGAGTCCGTCATCACTCTCACAAAGATAAGACCGGAAGGACACGGCAATTATTTGAACGAATCCCGACGAAGTGAATTGCTACCTCAACGGGTGACGCGATGCCGGACCTCATCGCTACTATTTCCAGGTGTCGTCACGTCCTTGATCGTGCTCGATCTATCCTTTGCACCCGCGAACTCAAGGCGTCATTTTAAATCTCTTTTTCATGTCCCCCAAAGTTACACCACGCCTGGAAAATATTACACGCCCCCAAAAGTACACGAACGAGAATAAGTGAGAAAATCATCATGCCAAAGTGCCAAGAAGCGCGTGTGCGCGCGCGCGGATTGCCAGTTTTATAAGTCCGCAGAAATTCATTCAAAGACTGAAGAACAGAATTGCGTTCGATCAACGGGGGCCAGGCGAGCGAACTTCAACTTCTCTGACAGAGTATCAATGGCAGTATCTGTAAGAGGGTTGAGTCAGCTATTCGTTCTGTTTCGTTTCATCAGAGAACAATTCATCAAACTTACTTTTACTTCGATCGGACTTTAGCAAGATTACGCGACGGCTCTCCTCCCCTTGCGGAAAGCAAAACAAACATTTGTTCCACCTATCTCCTCCTCTCAGCCTTACCGGCACGGTTTGGTTGAGCAGCAGCGGTAGGGTTATTGTCAACGATGATACCGACGCCGGCACCGCCCTCGCCGTTTCCGAGTTGGATCTTGGGACCCTTTGTGAGCGCAGCCTCGGCAAACGTGAGGGCACGATCGAAGCCACTCTGGCGCTTCTCCACCCTCTTTGTAATATCTCGGCCTGCGACAATGCCTTGTTGAGCGGCTCCGGGGGCGCCAACGCCGGCAGCGGCAGCGGCAGCGGCTGCTGCGCCTTCGCCTGCGGCGGCGCCTCCCTTACCCTTTCCAGCCTCCGCCTCGCCTCCGAATGTGAGCGCACCATCACCGACCACCAACGCAGGGGAGTATGCGCCGAGGTTGATGTTCAGGGGTGCGGGGGCGGCGTTGATCCCTACGGCCAGGACGGCGAGAGTCATGAGGGTGCTGGTGATCTGCATGGCGAAAGATTGGAAAGTTGAACTGAAAAGATTGGGTATCGTGTGTCGGCGCAGCCGGTAAGTGTCTCTCTCTTCAAGAGGAATTATTAGGTAGTACTGGAAAAGAAGTGGATTCCTTTGGTAGAGGAGAATCGAAGAAGCAGAACAAACAGCACAGCTGAAGTGAGGAGGAAATAAAGAGAGATGACGGAAATCAGGTAATAGCACACGCGTCAACGAGTGGCAAGGCAAGGTGGGAGGAGAGAGCGTAATGAATGAAATCCCCACGGAGCGCCAAGAAGAGGTTCAAATACCTGGCATGGAGAACCACGACCAGATCCAGAACCACAACCAGTGAGAGAGTGTCAATGGTGAGAAGTTGGAAGGTGGAGGATGGGACAAGAGAGGCGCGGAGACCATGCCATTCGGGGTTGCGGCGCCGTCATGCGTGTCAAGACCTGCCGCTGCCAAGGCCAAGCGGCTCTGTCAAAAATAGAAGCTCTTCCAGGTGCCTTGGACAAGAGATGATAGGTTCTTGGGCGTTCTAAGCTCCAGGGACTAACAGGCACACGGACCTTGAGGAGGGGGCTTTCCGCTTGGGATTCGAGGAGAAGGGTAGCAGAGCCGCGGGTTGATCCAGGGGGGCCATGTGGTTTCCATCGATGGTATGGTGATGGTGGTGGTTACGCGGGATGTGGTGGAGAAGTGCGTCTGAGCGGAGGTGAAACGGTCCAAGTCCCAAGACCTCCAACAACGAGGGCTCCCCGAAACCATATAGAGTCTTGGCAACTGGGCTGGATGCGGCCCTGGCTTTGTCAAGAAGCGGTTTCTTTCTATGGGAGCGCTGCAATTTCTTCTCTGTTGCCCATGGTGTTGCGAAGTAAAGATAGATGAAGCTGATGTTTGACGTTGGGGCACGAGGGGTCGGCTACCGAGGATACGATCTGCGACCTGCCACAGGCTAGCAGCTGCAAGGTCGTTTTACCATTCGCAGCTCCGACAAGAGATATCAGTGAATTACTTAGAAGAGCCATAGTCTGCACATGAATACCTACAATGGTCGCCAAGATGTCTGCTTGCCGATGGCCAAGGACCGGGCGTTTCCCAAGACAATTGGCCCGGCCAGCGATCGGGATACCAAGGCTGCGCCCAGGACTTCCAAGAGATTCCATTGTTGTAACCGCAATGGTATACACTTTCTTCCCGCCCGGAGAACGTCGCATACGAGGATATGCCATTCCAGCCTCAAGACCGCTTCCCCGACGTGGATGCTGGTTGGACCGGGCGACATTGATTCGAAGCCGGGACCCAAACCTACTCCTACACCGATCCGAGTCAACGGAGTCAAACAACACTCGAATTGAATCATTCTCTTCCGAAGTAGAGCAGCTTGCAATGATGATCTGACAGTGACAGCTCTTGGTAGATAAAAATTCAGAGTGATTTCGCGCGCGTCGAGAAAGACTCTTTGAATGCTTTGGTGAACTAGAGGCCCATGTCGAACTTGACACTCCGATGCATTGACTAACCGCTAACAACTAGAGACTGGTCGCTGATCGTATCTGAACAGGCTAGGTTGAGCCGTTCCACAGCACTTCCTTGCAACGGCGCGTGCCACCGGAAACACACTGGAGTATGAAACCTTGCGTCAGAAAATTTCTGTCTGCGGACAGCCCCTTGACTCTCGCAGATGTCCAGCTGACTCGTCACAAGAAAACAACTACGATCCCACCGGTGATTGCGTGCACATGTAGAGTCGCATGTCAGCGGCATGCTGCCTTGAAAATGCTAGTCTGGTTGGATAATTGCCACATCACGCCACGAAGGAGTAGTAATGTCAACACTGTTACGTCCTGTAAAAACCAGATTTGAAGCCCTCAATTGTGGATTTGATACAGTTCAAACGCCATTCATCTAGCGAGTCGTAGTCAATGTTGACTGTGTGTAAGTGACTGCCTGTACTCCGTACAGTACCTACCGGTGATCGGAGAACCTACCAGCCGAATTTTTTAGAAGAAGTCAATGCAATACGTCGATAAGCTATGATATTGCGGAGATGCAATGCTAATCTGTGAGATTAAACGATTTCGATGTCTCTAACGATCTTCAGTGACGTTCCGCCTGTCTAAAGAAAGACTCGGAGATTTACCATTGGCTCGGGCACTGCCTCCGCAAGCGTTTCACGGCGACTAGCTTGAAGGGCAGGACAACAACCGCGGCTACATTCGATACGGATCCTCGGGCTTTATCCTTATAACCGTGGCACAGATGAGGTACTGTGCCCTGCGATTGTCTCATTGCACCTGCATAATCCTGTATGGCCAAGACATTATCCAGATCTACATATTGAAGCTTTTCGATACGCCAAGAACTCTGTGGTCTGGCGCCATTGACTTCCAGAATGGTTGAAATGGGATCTGACACCTTCAGAATGCAATTTCAGGGTACATCAAACTCGTCTAGGGCTAAAGGAGAGCTCAGGTCCAGTAATACCTACATAGTCAGCCAGAACATAATCATCTCGGTAAAGCCTGAACTTGTCATTGTGTGCAGCTGCAGACTCAATCCTGCGCTTTTCCCCTGCTCCCGTAGACTCATTCCTTTTGGTTCGCCACCCAGTTCCGATCGTCATCAGGAACTCGACAGTCTGAGGCCTATGCAGCTGAATTTTCCTTTACGAGACATGACGTCCCGTGTCCAGCATCTCCACCCAAGCTTCCTGCCTCTTCTGCTCAGCAGTCGGCGTCAGCCAAGTATACTTTTGATAGATATAATCGCTATGCGCAATGTCTCGAATCTGCCTCATAATGTTGTCAAGCGCTGGTACCCGCTTGTAGTCACTGTAATCTTTCCCATCAGCTTTGTGGTCGTATCTGGGAGCCCAAACCGCACGGGACCTGGTCTCGCTGAGTATGGCTCTCATCAGCGAGTTGGTCGCTCTCTCGACGCGGAGAGCGCGGCACGTGAAGCAACACGAAGGACGGGAGGCACCCTCGGGGGTGGTGAGCGGGAACTTGTCCAATTCTGACATGCTCCTGGGCATAGGCAGGCCCATCATGCCCACATCCACACAGCTTTGAGCGCACTGCGAGTAAGGGCCGATGAGGCCCGGGCAGTAGGGGCACTTTGGTTGACCGAGGTTGTAAAGACTTGCAATTTGTTTGATGCATGCTTCGCACAGGATGTGACCGCAAACAAGAACCATGGCGCGGTTCGAGTTCTGGCCGGGCGTGGTGGTCATTGATGTTGAGCATTTGGGGCAGGGAGCAGCAAACTGCTCGAGGGCCGTGTCGGAGGTCATCCAAGACTTGATTTCGGGCCAGAAAACCTTGCGGATTTCTTCGCGCTTGTCCGTCATGGCGGCGGCATCCGAGGGTACGAGACGATCGACCGGCCCTTGTCCGACCGGCATGTACGGCGGGACGGCTTGTTGGGGTGGGTATCCCGACGGTGGCCGTGATTGCTGTAGACTTTGGGGCGGAACTTGGTGCGGAGCGCCGATGAGAGGGCGGCCGGCTTGGGCCGACGGGACCGAGTCCCATCGGTTGCCAGTGAATGCATCGTTGCCTTCGCCGATATCAAGAGATTCGTCAAGCGAACCGACGACAGAGGGAGCTCCTTGGCTCCCTCCGCTATTCGCCCTGCCGAGACCTCCACCAGACCCTCCGCCGAAGTGCATGTTGCGAAGCTTTTGCAAGGTTTCTCTATCCATTTCATCGGACTCGTTGGATGGTTGAGCTGGAATGTTTCTCAGGTAAGGTGCCAAACAGTGGAGGGACTGAGACTGTCTCGATCAAGTCATCGAGAAGATGTTGTAAGCCCGGATACTCGAGTCTTCTTATATCTGAAATGGTGCTCTTGGTCCTCTGAAGGCATCTGTGCTCCCTCGTAGTTGTTATTCGTTACCTGCTTTGTGTCGCTTAGGCGCCTTCCTCTGACACGACAACTTCTAGTGCCTTTCGGCAGCATCGCGAAAGAAAACGCCGAATCATGCGGTGTTTCTTTGAGAAAAATATCCCTTGCGAGGCACCTACTTCCTGTGCCCGAGGTGGTCTGCGTCTTGTTGGCTATTGTACTGCATCAAGGGGGGACTGGTTGCATCCATCACAATCCTAATAGTTCGCTACGATGCCCTGCGCTGTATCCCTAGGCTTCATAAGTCCTCTTTGTGGTTCTGGAACGTCATGCTTCAAAGAACAAGTTTGGTCTCACAGAATGCTGCGGAACCATTGACTGAATCACATGTAGATAGGAACATTATCTCCGAGTTGCAAATTCCCATTGTCCTTGCAACGTCACTGCAGATATTGCGCGAACGTTTGACTGTGGGCTTTTTGATCCATTGTGATGCTATATTTTCGGGGCATTTCCCCATTATTCCCACGGTAAGGGCGAGTTATTAACTGGGGACACTGTGGTGGACTTCCGAGTTCGGGGTCTGGGCAGTTGGCCCTGACCACTCTCTTTATCTCCCGAGATCCCTCTCTCGGATTTCTTGAGCACCGCCGTGGCGAAGAGCCAAACATGAATTCAGACTTGCTAAGAAGCTTATTCTCATCATGTAGACTTTACACTGGCCGAGACTGAACTTCCGAGTCATCCAGCCCAGCTGTGAGCCCTGGTCACCTCACGCCACGTAGGGGCTACATATGTGGTATGAACTAAGCTTATATTCTCTATATCTCTATAGCCTACGTAGCTATAATATATATATAATATAATATAGTATAGCCATATCTATATAGCTATACCTTAGCCTATAACTATAGCTATAACTTATAACTAACCTTAGCTAATAATTACCCCCCGCTTTTAGGTTACGCATCCTTATATATCTTTTTATAAATTATAAACTTTTAAAATAAAAAAGTAAAAAATAAAAATAAAAATAAAAATTTTTAAACTTTATAAACTATAATAACCTCGTTTTAATATCCTTCTCGATATATACCTAGCTACTTATAATATATTTTATTTATTATAATACTTAATAAAGTACTTTACGTTATTAATTATATTACCCTTATATCCTTTAGCTATTTTATAATAAAAAACTAACTAAGCGTAATTAGTCTATTAGCTTTATTAATTTTAGCTTTTTAATATACTATATTTTTATATATTTATTATAATAAATACGTACTTTAGTTTACTTATTATTATCCGATTCGGTAGAATTATTTATTTTTAAAATAGATATTCTTATTAGTTTTTATTTTTATTATAGCTTTATTTTTACCTTTCTCGGCTTTTAATATTTAATTTATATCCAATTCCTTTATATTAAATATAATAATATTATATTATTTAATAATCTTAGATTTATTAAATATAGTAATATTAGGTTTTAGTATTAGGCTTTTAATAAGCTTTTTATAGTCTTAATAGCCTTTTTAATAAGTTTTATTTCAAGGATCTTATTATTAAATATATCAAGCTCCTTAATAGTCTTCTTAATAAGCTTTTGGGATATTATTATTAAATATATCGGGCTCTTTATTAGTCTTTTAATATGCTTTTTTAAAAATATTATTAAATATACTAAGCTTTTATAGTTTTTTAGTAATCTTTTAATAAGCTTCTTAATAAGCTCTCTTAATATTTTTATATTAAATACGATATCTAAGTTAATTTTAGTTTTTAGTTTTAATCTTTTTATTTACGGGCTTTTTATTATTAAAATCTTTATTAAATTCTATTTTCTTTTACTTATTAAGGTTATTATAGATTATAAAATTAAGGGTTTAATAAAAGAAGTATAAATATACTATATATCGTATTTATTAATATTATTATATTTACTTAGTATAATATTAATATAGATTTACGTTATAATTTTAAATATCTCCTAGTCCGGAACTTTAATAAGAAGTTTTATATATTTTTATTTCTTTTAATAATAAGCCTATACTAATCCTATTTTAATTTTATTATTACTAATTATAATAGTTTAAATAGCTCTATAAAATATATAGTTAGCTAAATTAAAATTATTAACTATAATTATTACTTTTATCTCGCTTTAAAATAAGTTATAAATAATATTATTAAGAAAGCAAATTCTATATCTAATATTATATTAAATAAATAAACTTCTCTACCTTAGTTATTTATTCCTTATTTTTTAAGTAGCTTAATAAGGCCTTATTCTCAAAACTACTTTTTATAAGTTATTATTAAGTATATTAATAATATTTATAAATATTAATCTAGGTACGTATATTAATATAAATATATTAATTCTTTTATAAACTAAATACTATGTATTAAATAAAAATCCTCTTTTATTATTATAAGAATTAAATTCTTAAATAAGGTTTTTAAGTATTACTTTTTATACTCTAAAGAAGGTATATTAGGTACTAGCTTAGGTTATAATAATAAATTAAATTAAAATAATATAGGATTATAAAAAATTTTACTATAACGTTTTATAAAATATTTTCGTTTATAAATAAGTAGTTTAGAGCCCTTTTTTAAAGAAAGGGCTATTAATACTATATATAAGAAGTATATCAGTTATATTATTAAAAAAATTTTAAGAGGAGTACTATAATTTTATTTTTAAATTAAAGGGGCTAGTTCTAAAGGAAAGAGTATGTTTAATTTAAGTTATAGTAAGAAAGTAGTTATTAATTTTTATCTCCTTTTTCTATTTTTAAAAACTTTATTATAGACGTTAAGTTTGCTTAGCTAAGTATTATATTCGGGTCCGAGGTAATAGTATATTATTAAATATTATTAACTTCTAGCTATATCTCGTAATACTTTAATATAATTTTAAATCTTATTTATATTTATAACTAGTAGGATATTTAATAGCGTTTTACTAAATAAATTAATATACCTAGTAAGTTTAAAATAGTTTATTAAAATAATATTATAGATTTTTATATTAATAGTAGTTAAAAATAGTATATTACCCTTTAATACGTTTAATAATATAAAATAATCTTACGTATTTTATATTATATTTATAGCTAATGATTATTATTTAAAGAATTTAGTATCCTTAGTATAAGTAGAGGTATACCTTATTTCCGACGTTAAAAATTTTATTATATACTTACAATCATAATACTATTTTATTATTATAAATACTATTATAATAGCATTATAAATCTAAATTCGATTCCTAAGTAATATAATATTTATCTTAATATTATAATAAATACTAGCAATAATATTACTAAATATAAATCCTCGTACTATTTTATTAGGGTAAGTCCTATTAATTTAGCTTTTATATTTTTATTAAAATTAAAAATATAGTATAATTTCTAATTAGTCCTCTAAAAATTTTAATAAGTAAATATAGTACCTAAGGGCTAATCTAATTATTTAAATTATACGCTCTATTTATTTATCTATTTAAGAATAATATACTATTATATATAATAATAAGTACTTACTACTTTTATATCGTTTTTATATCTATATAAGGAATTTAGGATTACGGTTACTAAAAATAACCTTAGGTACCCCTAGTTCATAATAAGTAATTAGTAATATAATATTTTTACTTAGGTAATAGTATTATTAGTTAATTTACTAGGTATAATTTATACTTTTTTATAAATTTATTTATTACTACGAGTATAGTATTAAATTATCTAATCCTAAACTTAAGTAATATTAATATAAAATTAATAAAGATTATATAATATAAGTATAGTAATAAGAAAATAAGTTATAAATTACTATATACTCTATACTAACGGATCTAAAAATTTTATATTATAAATAATAACTAAAATAAGTTTATAATTACTTTAATCTATTATAAATATAATAATTAGCAAAAATTTTAAAATCTTAGTATATTCGTAATAATTACTATTATAAATTAATTTAAAAATATTTTTAATATAAGTCCTTAGGATATATAATTAAGTATCCTAACGATCCGTTAAGGTTTTTAAATAAGTTTATCCTAAATATAAAAGGTAAAATTATTATGTTATCTAGATTATTTTATTAAATAGCTATATTCGTTTATAATATTAATTTAATTTTTTTAAACTAGATTTTTATTATATTTACGTTAAATACGTTATTTAAAATCCGGATTTATATAAATTATAATAATAATAAACTATTACGATATTTAATTTAATAAGATATTAACGATTTTATATAACTTAGCTAGTAATATAAGTTTTATTAATAAAAGTTAAATATATTATCCTCTTATACCGTATATTACGTATTAAGGAAAACTAGGTATATTACGCTCCGTACTTAATTACTAACTAAAATAGTTAACCGACTTAACTATTATCTCCCTTTTATTAATAGCTCCTAACTTTCCGCCGCCCGTCTATAGGGCAAGCTTTACCTACTCTAATACGCATAGGACCTCCTAATACTAGCTTATATAAGCGGCTAGATCCTATATTACGTACTCCTTCTTATTAAAAGTTAGGGGACCCCTTATATAATCCCTTATATTTATAATATAACCTATATTAAAAAGATTTTTAGTTTTATAAAATATAATTTTTAAGCTAGCGTTAATATACTAAATCTTAGTATCTGTACTAATCTAGTTATTTATAATATTTATACTATTACTTAGCTAGATTCTATATTATTAAAAAATACTACGCTACTCCTTAAATATACTTACGTTAGCTATAATAGCTAGGGCGTCGAGGGGGCTTAATTTATCGAGCCCTA